TTACTTATACGAGCAAACTAATGTTGTTGCTCAACGTATTGTAAGTAGCATATCCTAAACTAATTATATATGTTATACTACAATAGGCATTTGTATTTGCTAAAAAATCATTCGTTTGTGTTGTAGGATGAGTTGGTTGAGCGAGCACTCGGGGATCATTCCACCCACATGGCGCGTCGGGATATATTGGCGGTGGCCATTGGTACCCCAGAGCATCCTGGACGTGTTCGTGGTGCTTGGACGAGGGTGGGCATCGAGACGGTACTTTGGTGCCCCACCAGTGGCAACTCCTTCTTTGAGGCAGTTTGAATGAGCAAGAGTTTGAGTCCCTCAAACAACAAATTAGGAAGGAGATTCGAGATGAGGTGTACTCGACTTGAAGGCGAGTTATTGAGCTCAATGCGAGCGAGTTGGCATCTTTGTCCTCTCAACCTTCTGTCCCGCACGAGAGGCATCCCCGATTCATGTCGGCACAAAGGAGAGTTGTGATGCTCCTGATAGAGGGCGAGAGGTTGCTCCTACCGACACTGCTGGCTGTCGGTTGTATGTTGCGGGTCCTCCAGAGCATTTGGTGGCATACGGTACGTATTATATCTTTGACATGTATTTGGTACGGTGTTAAGCATTATATAGTCTAACATATTTTATCCTTTGTTTACCTTAGGGAAAATGTATGCATTGGGGTCAACCATCCACCACCGAGTATTGGAGATGATATGATCGAGTGGTGGTTGTAGATGTCCGGGATCTTGCTTGCCCCAATCCCTATTCCCATTGAAGAGGTTCAAGCGAGTGGGACAGAGCACTGGCCATTTTATCTTATGGCCAGTTTCATTAACAAGACCCATCCCGACACATGCACGGGTTGATTTATGCATTGAACGATAGTACTTATTATTTTTTGATAGGTTGATGTATATTAATGTTATTGATTTTTGGTACTTGTATAGAAAGAGGTTGAAAAAGCAAAGGAAGTTGTGCATGAATCACCACCACCACCATACGCTTACGGCGAGTCGGTGCACTGCGGCGACTATCGGGACCACTCCCATACGGTTAGATATGCCACCCGAAGTCGTATGCGGGACCAAGACGATCCCTTTTTCTTACTCCAAAGGGATATTTTTGATATTCTCATTGATGCTTGATATGCTATGTGTATCGGTGTTGCGGCTTTGGGAAATGTAAGTATATTTACATATTTTTTATATTCTCACTGGTACATTATTTTATAACTTTATTTATTTTCAATGTTGAAGGTATTTACATCGTTTGTGTGTTGAGAGGAAGATCCGCTTTCTCTATGGATTTGTTGACCACTGTTGCCATTCGGTCAGTTGGGAATAAAGCTGAAGAGGTGCAAACGTACTTAATAGAGGCATTTCAAGCTGGGGGCAAAGAAGTCTACTTAGCACCTTACTTGCATCGGTAAGTATACATCTTATAAATTAATGCACATTTATGTAAAACTGAAATTTTACTAATATTATTTCAACGTGCGGGGGTCATTGGCAGCTCATAATCATTGTTCCTCGGCAATTTCTTGTGATTCTCTTGTGTTCATTACACAAGAAACCAAATGATTTGGATATTAGAAAGCACATAGACGCGTAAGTTTGGTTTTTTTAATTGTTGTATCATATGTGCACTACTTACACCAAAATTATTTGTCCTTTTGTAGAGCTTTGGAAGCTCACCTAAGGTTGCAAGGCCTTCCATCTCATGCTAGAAAGAAGTTGACGTATATTGCACCAAAGGTGACCAAACACCTCTTCCTATTGTTCAATTTGTCATTTAAAGTTAATCTGACATGTATTTAACTTGTAGTGTCCACAGCCACGGGAAGCCATGAGTGCGGGTATTATGTGATGAAGCACATGCACACCATCATAGCCAAAAATATTCTTGACACGATGGAGGGAGGTAAATATACTATAATTAAGTCAAATATGCCAATTATGTAAATGATTTCTAAATCGAAATGTTTCAATATGTAGGAATTTACGAGACTCATCTCCAATGAAGATTGAAGTCTTAGGCGATATTAGAGAAGCGATGGGCTTCTTTCCTTTTAAGCATTCAATCTTCATAGGAAATTTGACTTGTAACAATTTAGATTGAATTGATTTAAGTTAGGAAATTTACATTCGTTTAAGTAAATGAATTGTCTGGAACTGGATCTGCTGCGTACATATATTGCTTTCAATGTGTTTCATATGTACATGTCTGTCTGACAGGATCTGTCTGTAGTGGATATATATCAGTAGCAAATTTATATATGACTGTGCATATCTGCTACGTACCTCGGATCTGTGAATATTTGTCCGGAGCTGTGATGAATAGGCAGATCTACTCGAAGAAAGGTAGTCATCGTGAAGAAAATACATAGATTTAAAAAAATGACATAAAATAACATTTACTACGTCATTACCAGACGTGAAGTACTTACTCGTTGGATATTGACATAACAGACGTAAAAAGTTTAACATTTTATGTCGGTTATAGGCATAACCGACATTGATAATACGATACAGATCACGGTTATTGTTAGCCGATATGAGATCCTGGGGTTATAGAAAGTTAGAAAGTAAGACTTTCTATGTGGATTATAAGTTTAACTAGAACTTTCTATGTTAAGTTATCGGTGTTAACCGACATAGAAAGTATTATGACCGATCAGAACCGGTTATGGCTGATCAAAATAGCTCATACAAAGTAAGACTTTCTACGTGGTTGCCTCGACTAGCAGACGTAGAAAGTACGTCCTATGGCCGATCGAAGCCAAGCTATGATCGATCAGTATAGCTACTATGACGATCGAAGTCAGTTTGATCGATCATAATAGCTCATAGAAAATAGGGCTTTCTACGTCGGTTCCTAGGAACCAGCGTGAGAAAGCCTTACTTTCTATGACCGTAGTATACTATGTCGGCAGCTTTAACTCAGATGTGAAAGCCATTTCAATCGATGTAAAAAACATTTTTGCGTTAGTGTTTTATTTATATTTTTTTCCTCGTTCCTTTACTTTTCAGTTTATAATTATAATCTTTTTTTTTTAATGTAAAATAAATTTTAATTTTAGAAATGTTTATTACAACAGAAATAAAAAGCTTTGATCTAGATTTTCATATTTTTACTTTAACTTCACAATATCCATGTACAAAATTACATGTGAAATTAACAGGTTCACTTGTTTATAAATACATCTTTACTTGGGCCCAGCAATAAATAAAATTAATATTCAATATTTTTTTCTGGCAAGTAAATCGATTAGTAAAAATATTGTGGAAAATATTTATAATTGTTAACTAAGCAAATAATAAGAAGGAAAAAAAATAGTGATCTATTTAACAAAAAATGTTTTAACCATTAATAAAAATGCATAAGAAATAGAGAACAATCACTCATTGACCTAAGACGACAATTTAAAATGCATAACAAGGCATGAATAATTATTCAACGAATTTTGTTGTTAGAGAAAAAAAAAAAAAAGTGTTAGAAAATAATGGTCTATGAACAACCCACGTGATGTCGGCGTTGCTCGTAGGCCAAATGGTTTCTTCGAGCTTCAAAAGTCAACGTATCCCAATTTGGTGCTTCTATCAGATCACAACAACTCAACTAATACTATATTAAATTGATTTTTCATTAATTTGTTTTTATTACGTGCCTATAGGTATATAATAAATTATTTTGTTATTAAATTACAAAATTTAATTTATTGACTTTGTGTATTACTGTTACGACATAACCCCTCAAATGAAATACAAGTCCTTAGATCTTCGATGCGTTTATATATCAAGTTAAATAAGTTTATTGAAATCTCAAAATTGTTTTTATTAAAATTCATATCTTAAAAAAAACAAATTTTTGATATCCAAAAATAAATAAAAATATATGAAAATAAATTTGAAAAACTTAAATTAATGGTATTAATATTTTAGATATTTGTAAGTAGATTAATATGTGTCACTTTCAATTAGTGTGTTAATATGTTAATTCAAAATAAATAAATAAAAAACATTATAAAAAATAGTATATTTATTAAATGTTGAAACAAAATATAAAAAAAATTGAAATAACAGTTTTAAAAGTAAATAAAGATTTAATTTAACTTTTTAATATATTTTGTATCCTTAATTATATTAAGATAACCATGCCTCCTTGGTTATGAATTATAAGGACTATTTTGCAATTAGAGGGTTGATTTGGTGATTCCAAAATAAATTCCGACAGCTTTAAAATAATATTAAGTGCATGTTGACTGAAATTTAAATTACGCAGAATTCTTATAAAAGAAAAAAATAATGTTGATTTTGTGAGTTTCTTAAAATTAAACATTGCTGGATCTTCAACATATATTTTAAAGATATGATTTATTAATCTCAATATTTTGTATTTGAGAAAATGTCAAAAATTATATATAAACATGAAGTTATTGTATAAAAACTTTCAAAATCTATAAAATAATAATAAAAAGTTATATTTAAAATTTCATGTCTTAATTTTTAAACCAGACAATATTTTATAATAAGATCTGCCATTAAAAAAATGAAATAATTTTGTTGTGATACTAAAAAAGTCATAAAAAATAATACAAAATTTTAAGATGGAATTTATGATTTTTATTGATAGAAAAAGTTACGTAAACCACTCGTGTTAAAATGTTATTAATCATTCAGTGATTATTCAATGATGCGAGTACAATCGTCATTTTCAAATAATATTACGAAAAAAAAAAGTTAAAATTTATATATTTTTTTTATATTTTTGCAATATGCTTGACAGAATATGTCATTAAAGTTGCATTACATCTCCTATCATTTAAAAAAAATGCCACTCTGGAGTCGACCAAACGACCAGGTCCTCATCCAATCATTCATCATGCAGTTGACTCTCTTCATAAAACAAAGCTATGCGTTTTGGTAGCGGTTTACGGTTGGTTTCGCTTTTGATTTAATTCTTACTTCACACATTTTCTCTCTCTATTTTAATACATATTACTCAACCTTAAAACCCATTTAAATAAAGGGAATACAAAATAATATTTTTTTCATTTCTTAAAATAAAAACAAGATCAAGTTTTATAATTAATTAAAATAGATGATATGGAAATAATTAAATAATATATCTTTGATTTTTAAGTTTATATAAAAAATATTGAAATAGAAATGTTTTGACCTTAAAAATCATTAAAATAAATTATTGAATTTGAGATAATATCATTTTAATTTTATAAGATGTGTCAATACTTTAATTCATAAGGGATATAAATTTGTATGAGTGTGTATAAGAAAGATATCCATAAAAAGAAAAAAGAAAAAAAGAAAAATAAAGAGAAGGTTTGATTTTGTGACACCGACGAGGTGAGACTTGAAAAGATGGGAGGGGGATGAAGGTTTGAAAAAATGGGTGGAAACAGAGAGAGTCACAGCTCACAGCTCACAGCTGAGAGGGGAATGGATATGTGGAAGAAAGAAAAAAGGTCAAACCGCCAAGGGCCACTCATTGCAACTTCGCAACATCCTTCTAAATCAATTCTCTTTCAAATTAATTGAGTCGTATTTTCAGTTACGAACAATTTCAATGGAATCACATTACCCACATATAATCACTTTCTTAACTCTATTTCTATCCATTTTTCCAACCCACAAACTGTTAAATTATATCTTCCTACAATAAAAAGGAGTTAAAAAAAATTATGTATTGAGTAATTGGTCTGGAATGAAGAGAAGTATGTATATAATTTATAGTGAATAGTTTGAGTTGAGATTTGTTGTGTTAATAATTGGTAAAAGTGTGAATGAAAGTGATTAACATTTACGGTGTAAATTTGATATGGTAAGGCAAGTTGATAGGTATGAAAGAGAGAGCAATGTTTGGGTTTGGGTTTGGGTTGAGACCTGTGACCAAATCACCTAACCTACTGGATGTGTCAGGAAAGGATGGGCCCTACCTATCCCATGAGCATGTGAGAGGGGCTTACCCTTCCCATTCGCCACACTGCTTCTTCTTTTCCTTCTCTTATCCACATCCATACCCTTCCTTCGACGTGCCATGCTTTCACGGCCCCAACGGCACCTACATCTTTGAATTTCTCTTCCTCTCCCTTCCCTAACTAATACGATCAATGCACCTTTTTTTCCACTCCGGGGATTCAATTCTTTTCTAAATATTTCATTAAATATTTCAACTTCAATGCTTTATCCAATCTAATAAATGCAACCAGTTTGGAATTATTTAAGACTTTTTTTTTCTTTTTTATATTCCGGAACGACCATTTTCAATAGAACAAAAAATTTGAGACAAAAAGGAAAGAAAGCATGATCCACAGAAATGGGTTTTGGAGATAAGAGTGGGAAGTGAGAAAAGGGAGTGGAGCGGGGCGGCCAAACTTTCCGCCGTATACTGCCATGTATGTTGGCATTTATTAAAAAGGAAATGAGAAAAGGTTGATAATCATATACTGCCAAAACACACCTTTTTCAGAGTCAATCCCACGTTCCACAACCCTCTCCACGCGTTCTCTTTCTATTTGCACAGGATTACTGCTTCTCCATTCACGGTTCACACTTTATACCTCACCCACGCTTTTACGTAATTGCCCTCCCCTCCCTCCATGGAAACTCCCACTACTTGCCACACGTACGGTGGTTCATGATTTGATACCAGTTCAGAGCGAGAGAGTAATTCAAGGGTTCATGGGTAGAGGTGTTGTGTTGTGTTTTGTTAGGTCGAGTCACATGCACGTACATGAAAATAAATCAAAGAGAAGAGTTTTGGGCCTTGGAAATACTGAGGATTGTCCTTTCACAAGTGCTGTCCTTCACATTTCAAAGAAAACCCTACCACCCCCCCCATACCATACCTTTTCTCAGACACCTTTACGCCTTTAATGCCATCCCCTTTCATTGGTCACTCTTCTCCCCACCTTCATGCCTACTATTCTTCTCTCACCTTCCCACTTTTCACCACAACAAATCACACACACACACACACACACACACCTCCAACCATATCTTCAATATTTGAAATAAACATGCCATACAACTCTCTTGCCCACTCCTACACTTTGACGCATATATGGACGTTGTGTTTTTTTAAAGGAAAAACATAGCCTTTTGTGGGTCAATTTAAAATGTGAATAGAAAAAAAATCAGGGTCTAAAAGCTTAGTTGCGATGAAAACCTATAAACTCTATGAGAAGAAAAATGGGAAGGTTTTGGCAATCACCATGTGCTTCCCATACTTTTGGCTCATGCTAACTAACTAATCAACAAGATTGCTTCAGCATTTCGTCTAAAGTGCATGCGCACATTTTTTTTTTATTTGATTTTTGCGTGGGACAAATATGATTCATAATGGACACAAGAGTAAGTGATGAATGAATCTTACTTTGTGGCTTACACCCATCACTATAATGCCTAGATTCCCCATGTGTTTCTTACTTAAAGCCTCTATTAGCTACACAAATACATGATGGCTTCTTTTTCCTTTTTGTGGGAATTTTTTTTGTCACTACTCACTAATTCACTTCATATGTCTTCAACAGGAATTAGCTTAAAAAGTATCGCTATCACATTCAATGCTATGGTTCTATTTCGAGATAGGTGGCATAGACACGTTGCTGTTATTGCTGGCACCTTTGAAAGTCAACATAAAAGTAGCTAGAGTTCATCCCTTATCAATGCTTATCCTGGAATAAATATGATTACTTGTTCAACAAATCATGCATATTTTTATTCTCGATGCGGTCTAGGGAAATTGATTAAATGCGTCTTGCTTTTCAGCTCTATGCTTTTGTTTTCCAAGTGCCCAAACCAACAAGAAACATGACCGTGCATGAGTCACTCTTAGCACCTCATCCCATCCCTCACACCCTCTTTTTCCGAGACCAAAATTTATCATCAGAGTGCGATGCATCATGCATCAATCAATTTGATATAAGAGAACTAATTGTGGTGTATTTGTTAATTAAGACGACAACATGTATCTAAAAATTTATGTATTTTTTTTAAGAAAGATTATTCGCGTAATTGTAGTACATTATAAATAAAAAATAAAATATATTTATTTTTGCAGTGATAAAAGATAAAAAAAAAGGTTAATTTGATTAAGTAATATGGAATTAAATGTTTACTGGTAAGAGAGGCCCGATGATACGTGTTGGTGTAGGAAACGCGTGGTTCTGACGCAGAAAAGGACCTTTTTGGAATGCCACGTTCTGACCTGTGAAACTAAATGTACACAATATCGCTGCAATAAATTGCAAAAGTAGGCTTTTCTCGTTTGGTGATGTAGTGCAGAGGTCATCGATATGGACCCTCTGTATGTATGTACATGGACCACGAAGGTGTCAAATCTGTAACCTTAATAAACTATACAATAAAAATTCTTGCCCCCTCTTTTTTTGAGCAAATTCTCTTCGGGTAAAGAAAGATCAAGTGTAATTCTTCAAGGCTTTTAATACATGTCTTTGATCAAATCAATCAAATATGCAACAATGGTGCTTCCACAGCTCTTCCTCACTTTATTGCCTCTTGACTTTTGCGAATTTGCTTCTGGACAGATACTCTCCTCTTCTCAATCCATGAATACTAATTAGAATGCAAACTCTCTTAACTAGGTTACATGTAAATGTGTATATGCTATGTAAGGTTTAGGTAATTTATAAATCATTGTATTGATTGAATTAAAAAGACTATAATCTGATGACATTAATTCAGCAAAAACTGCGGTAATCGTTTTCTTCAAGTTAAATCACATATGAAAAAAGATTCTATAGTGTTTTAGTTTATATTGTGTTTGGAATATTCCCAAAACTTTGGAGGAAAAAAAAAGTAGCTCATGTACTTTTTTGCTGAAACGATGATACTAGGTTTTGAATTTCAAGTTTGCGCCACTTACATGCAATAATCATCCAAATCAATGCTTAATTACGTACCCATAAAGAAGTACATGGTAGCTAAGTTAGGGCATTGAAGTCATTTTGTGTGAACCTGGTCAGAGACAATTTGAGACGAAGGAAACGATCACGTGGTGTGAACGGGGATTGGTTGAGTGTATGCTATGAAAAAATCTTTAAGAAGGTGCTTCCTGTTTCTATAAATACACCCTTCCCATGGTAATTGCTAACACTCCCACCATAGCACACTGTTACAAACCCCCCACAACCCATTACCTATAATCATCATCATCTTCTTCTTCCTCCTTCTTTTCTTTTTCTTTTACAAATAAATTTCACTCCACCTTATTTCCCTTTTTTCAAAAACAGTTTCTTTACGGGTTACAAAAGCTATTTTTCTTTCCTATACAGTTGGGAAGAGGGACCAGTGTATTTTATCAGTTACCTTCTTCCTACACATTGTTCTTTTTTTGGTACATCACTTGCAGACCCTCCTCTTCTGGCCTCCTGGTGTTGTGGTAAAAAGACACTGGAAATTAAGGTTTTGCGAAAATCATGGAGGGAATGCAAGAAAGAGATTCACAGCTTGGTAGGGATATTGGTTCCTCCTTATCAAAGCTGATACTAACAAGTGGGTCGAACACGCTGGACTCAATTTTCTCGAATTGTCCCCCAACAAACGCCACAACGAGCAACTCCGTGTTGGATTATTTAGAACCCTTTGGGTCGGCGGGGTTTGAGCCTCTGGGGTCTTCGGTCTACCTTCGCCAAAGGGACATCCTCCAAAAGTTCTACCAAGAAAGCCGAGGGAACGGGAACGGGTCTTTTGTTCCCACCTCCTTGGCAACCCCATCTATAAACTCTGTTTACACGACTTCGTTGACTTCTTCTTTGACCAACCCTTGCAAGAAGAAGCTCTACAGGGGAGTGAGACAGAGACATTGGGGCAAATGGGTCGCCGAAATTAGACTCCCCCAGAACAGGATGAGAGTGTGGTTGGGCACCTACGACACTGCCGAAGCCGCTGCCTACGCCTACGACCGCGCCGCGTATAAGCTACGTGGAGAGTACGCGCGTTTGAACTTCCCCAATTTGAAGGACCCCACCAAATTGGGGTTCGGAGATTCCGCCAGATTGAACGCCTTGAAGAGCTCCGTCGACGCCAAAATCCAAGCCATATGCCAGAAGGTGAAAAGGGAGAGAGCCAAAAAGAGTGCCGCCAAGAAGCTCAGTTCCGCCACCGCTCACACCAATCGCAAGCAGAGCGACAATATCAATTCCTCCGCTTCCTCCTCGTCCTCGCTGCCGCTGTCACCGTCCTCCATTTTTTACGACAATTGGGCCAACGAGTTGTTTTCGCCGACCGTTTCGGAGGACGGGATTTGGAAGGGGGAGAACTCGCCAGCCTCGGTTTCCACGGAATGTCCAACCATGATGGTTACAGAAGAAACAGAGTTCGAAGGTTGTTCTTTGGCGAGGTTGCCTTCTTTCGATCCCGAGTTGATTTGGGAAGTTCTGGCCGTTTAATGTCCTTTCGTAGGTTAGTGTTGGAACGCTGATGTGTATAATATGACAACGAAAATGTTCGTGTTGAGTGTGGTTTTGTTTGGTTTTGCTTGTTGGAATGGTGAGAGAGAGATAGAGAGGTCCCTTAGCGTTTTGAGTAGAACTGGTATGGCTGTGGTTTGGGCCTTGTTTTTTTGCTCAAGGCTTGAGGAGTTTTCCTGTTGCATTATAAATTTGGCTATTCACAGTACTTTTTGTTTCTACAACCTTCTTCTGTTCTTCACCCTCCATGATTAATACAGTACAATTGCACTCTACTTCTGATTGATTTAAACTTGATATTTTTACTGATTTCAAAACGTTAATTAATATCTGTTTGGTTGGATCGCTGGTTCATCGTATTAAAACCCCATCTTGTTACATCAGAATTGTATCCAAAACATTCTAATACGTTCAAAACAAAGTAATATGTTTAGGCTGTATTTTATTCTAACCAATCAATATAAAAACTATGCTTCAGCGTTTCTTTGTTCTTTTCTCATACTAATCTTGGATGAAGATATTCTGCAAAAAGTGGTGGATATTATTTATAGGAAATGTAAAGTAGTCGATCACCAAGGTCGGGGAGATTGTGAAACATGTGTTTGGGTTGGGTGAGTAAATTTGTTTTTGGTGCTGCTGGGTGGTGGAAGGGGTGAGGGTTGTGGAACATGTGTTTAGAAGGACCATTTTCAGAATGCACCTCTTACATGTATCATATGGGTGTGTGACTATGGCTTATGATAAAAATAATAATATTTAACACCTACAGCAGAAACAAACGTGAATGTTTCTAGCGTGAGATAAGAAAGGCTCAAGATATATTTTTAATGTACTTGTATTTTTTATTTGGTTTAATTCTTATGACTAAAAATTAATTAATCAGTATTCCAATTTCTAAAAATACGTAATTTTAATTATTTTTAAGATTTAATAATATATTTTTTAATCTAATAAAATTGAGAATATATATTTATTTTTTTAATTTTAAAAGTTAGTAAAATTAATATTTAACAGTATATTTATCATTATAAATTAATAAAAATGTAAATATAAAGACTAAGATTGAATTTTGTAAAAAAAAAAATAGAGCACCAAATTATAAATATTGGAAGGCGAGCAAAGGACTTTTATTTAAAATAATCATTTACTTCAACTATAAAAACTATTACGAATTGAAACTCTTCATATTCATAGGCATAATTAATTATTGATATGAATTATTTCACAACTAATGCAATTACGCACCTAATAATAATAGTTACGGATATTTTAATTGAACACATATAAAGAGGGCACAAAAGAAAAATCAAAACAGATTATTCTATTATTGCATAGGATGGACCTTTAGGCTGTGCTCTCATTTTTGGGCCATCATTGGAATATTAACTTTTTAAATAAATATGAGAGGTCTTTACAAAATTAATATGGGAGTGCAGCAAGAAAATATGGGATAAGAAAAAGCCCGTATTCAATTGAATAAGCCCAGCGCACAAACTATTCAATTGCAAGTTGTTTTCGTTTAAATTTTTGAGCTAAAACTTGAAAATGACGCTCTTATCTGATCGTCTTCCTAATGACTCTATGTGCACGGACGAAAGTAAAAATATATAAAAATAAATATATTATATATTAAATTAAAATTTTCAAAAATAAATTTATTTTATCTATTTTTTTTAAGTGAATCTATGATTTTTTTTTTAAGTTTCTTTAAAATTTAAATTTATTTATTTTATTCACATTTTACATTATTTCCATTTAACATCAAAATAACATCAAAATAGAAAATCATAAATATTAACTAATTTATAATAAATCAAAAAATTTATATCAATATTTTATATTTTTACATTACACTCAATATACTAATTTATTATAATTATATAAAAAAACACAGTTATTTAATATTTTTTACTGAAATATAAAATTAAAAACAAAATTGATGGTTTAATGAAATTTGTAATATTCAGATAGGCATGGAAAACGTAATTGCCAATCCAACCTTGAATATGCAAACTATACATCTTATGAAGATGCAAAATTATTTGCGACAACATAATCCTGTGTGTTGAGAAAAGATGAAATAAAAAATGAACAGGTATGTGATCTAGAACTAGGTATCTTAGATTGTACGATGAACAATGTTGCATGAAAACTAGAACTGATTCAAGAACTTGCGGATCCTTTTAACCAACCCAGTGTGAGCGTCTTTGATCTCTTGCTCAGGGTCATAAAGTCTCCTCAACAACTCACTCCTCTCCATGCCCATCCCAATGCCTCGGTGGCCCCGTTCAACCAGCCCAAACCTCGTCCACCCGCGTGCCACGTGTCTCGCTCCGCCACGTGCCACGTGTCTCGCTCCGCCACGTGCCACATGATCGAAGTCCTGGCCGTGCTTACGAGGCTTCCACGGCTGGTAATGGTGGTGGCAGCGGTGGTCGAGGCGCGACGACAGCGGCATAGGATGTCTGGGGATGCGAGGGTCGAAACTGATTACGGTGAAGGGAAGAGGGTTGGACGTGTCTATTGGGCTTGGATCGGTGGTTGAATGGACGGTTTCATGTTTGGGCTTGGGATGCCATTGGATTGGGTCGGAATTTTGATTGTTTGAAATTGAATTGGAGTGGATGCGGGGAAAGTGAATCTGGAAAGGAACACGCGCAGATGAGAAGGTAAAGAAAAAGAAAGAAAGGGAGCAGAAGATGATGGTAGTGGAGGAAGCAAATGGTGCATTCATAACTATTGTTAGTTAATCAATTAACTAATTAGCTAATTAAGTAATAATAATAATAATAATAATAATAATAATAATAATTTAAGATTACGTTTGAGGAATTGGAGATATAAAGAGAGAGCCACAATAATTGAGGATTAGAGGGAAAAGGAAGGATGAGCGTGCTACCGGGGAAGCCAACCACGTGACTGGAACCCATTTCACTCTCGTGTCTATTTTTAGAAAGAAAAAATATATATTTTATTTCATTAGAAAAAACTTTATTTATTTTAGTTTAGATTTTAATATTAGCATATCTTAATCGAAATTAATTTGATTTAGTATTATTCAAATTTTAATATAACACGTATTTTAGTTTTAAAACAATAATATAAGCCTAAAGTAGTAAAAAAATTTGGAAACCGTTGACCTTGTTTGAGTGGGGTCTTCATATCTTGGCACTTGAGATCCCTATTCATCATCATCATCATCTATAAGTTTTACTTTCCTCACACTTTTTTACTATCAAAATCGATTGATTCAAGTTTTAATATTGTAAATAAATTATTATTTTTTATTTAACAAAATAACCAACTATATGTTGGATATAATTGAAAGACTTAGCCCCCATAAAATTACATATAGCTTTGACTATTTCTTAAAACATATTTTTGAGTAGGGTTGTTCTGTATGAAAGGTACATAAGAAAAATAAATAATATATTGAATATATAGATTTATAAATATTAATGAAAAGTTAATTATAGGTTATTTTGAGTTGAACTGAAAAGATAAAATTAATTTATTGTGAAATATAAAGTTGAAAGTATAGGTTAGTTGTGGGGATGGAATACTAGTGATATATAGGAAGGAGTGAGGTTGTAATTTACAAGTACATTTCTCCGCCTGACAAATGGAGTAACAGTAACAATGGTGGAAGTACACTAGCTAACTAAACATGCAAATGGGAATTCGAATTCAAATTCAAATTCAAATACAAATTCAAATTCAAATGCACTGCAATTCATCGTCACCAAACCATACATTCATTGCTTTCAAGAGCGTTGCAACGAAGGTTAACAGTTGTTTGTCAGACGCTCACAGGAATCACGCTCCTTTAGTCACTTTCACCAATATTTTTATCTTCTCCCAATATCATTTTTTTTCTTTTAATCAAAATTATCAATATATATATATATATATTAGTCAAAAAACAATGTTTGTTGATGGGTTAAAAATTTCCTTGCATAAACAAAAGTTATTAGATAATCTGCATATTAAATATTTAAATGAACCCTAACATTGATATTATAATTCAAAATTTCCAATACCAATTTTATTCGATCATATTTCATTATTATTAGCTTATATTATAATAATTAATTTATCCTAAAATTTATGTTTTGTTCATGTTTTTCTTACATGTTATAAGAATTGAGGATTTATTTTCATAATTGACGTAAATTGAAATACAGAGAACAATGTTGATTATCGTCTAATCTTTTAATTATTTAATAAATGATGATAAAACCAGTACAAAAAAAATATCGGTTAAAAAGGTAAAATAATAAAAAAAATTGAATCCAATTTACATTCAAAATCATAATGAATGATGTACATTAATGATGTTTTTAATAACAAAATATATTTTTTAACCGATATAATTAGTACACTCGACAAAAGCATTTGCTTTGAACATATTATTACATCATAAGCTTGTATATTTTCTTATTTGGTTCTTTTATGATATGATTATTGAGCACAGAAATTAACGCAGTACAAGTGTTTTCATCTTCTATTACTGGAAAGTTGTTGAACGAAAAATTAGATCTTCTCACACGATTTGGTGCGGTACAAGTGTTTTGTTGGTACGATATAATTCAGTGGAAAATAAAAGGTTGGTACGTATGAGGCAAGGGAACCACCACTTTCCACGTTGAAGCTTCGTTCGATGGTTTGAATTGAATTGAACATTCCACCATTAAAAAAGCTCTTGAAAAAGTTAACCCAGTTTTGTTCCACCTTTAAATAACTGGTCAAACCTAGAATCTACTAGGGCCACTAGTCCTACGCTTCGGTTGGTCAAAGTCCCAAACATTCACATCCTCCTTAAAAAGTTATACAATTTTCCAATTCTTTTTTTATGTTTTATCTCCTTTATCCCAACAATATTTTAGAAGATATTAAATATTTATTCAAATAAATAATTCGTTTACTTCCTTCGAAATTTCTCTTTGCGATAGTAATTCATATTATTCTATTTGAAAAAAGTTACTGTGGTTTTTTATTATATTAAACATTTAAAAAACATGCAAGGACAACGTGCTAAACTAACAAAAACTCAGACCTAAAATGATACCTGACAGAAATTCAAATGTAGTCGTTCAATGTTTTCGGATAAATTTAAAATCTATATTTTCATACTCTCTCTGAGGCATGCAAATCAGTAAGTTAAATGCGATAATGATAATCCCTAGTAAGTGTTTTGGTCTTCTTCTATTATCACATTTATATTATTAAAGTTTAATTACTCTTTTTCTTCTTAATTTTACATCTATTTTTGGAAATAATTTAAGTACGAATTTTAATTTAGTTTAAATTTAAATATGTTTTTTCAATTCCTGAACACACGGTTGTATTTTTTCTCTCTAAACAAAATTTATTCGACTTTTAAACGGGGTAAAGAAATTTCGATTCAGGTTTTGTTGTTTCATTTAGTCCTTTTAAATATTTTTTAGAGGAACTAATCCAGTTCGACCAAAATATTTCAATATATATATATATATATATATATATAAAAGCACAAGAACCAAGACGAAATTATATAGATAAGAAAATACAAAGACTACAAGTCAAATGAAATTAAAAAAATACAATAGACGAAAAGACTAAAATAAAATAAGAATATACTTTATGATTAAAAATATGTTTACACCTATAATTTATTATTTTTTATATTAACTATTTCTTAATTTATGCCTTTCAGGACAAGTAAATTTTGACTTGTACTATGATATTTCTTAAACAATTTGAATTGTGCGGTACATATATCGCGACAAAAATTTATTGAATTTAAGATTCGTATAATTTCTTTTTATTATTATTATTAAAGGCATTTTTAAAGAAAGTTCTTGGCATTAATTACTTAAAAATAAAAATCAATATTTAATATTTTAATATTTTATTATTAATTTTAAGTCTCAGTAGTTTAAAATTGAATCATAATTATTTATATAATTTTTTTATTTTTAATTAATTTTTCTTATTTTAAAAATTCGTGCAACTCATAATAAAATATTATTTTTATTAACAACTCCTCGTGTAAGCATGGATATATTTCATGCGATATATTTGGGGTAACAAAATCTTGATAGACGATAGATAAGTCTAGTCTAAGCCATGAGTTTCTAGAATCTATGAAGACAAGAAATTAGCATGAGCATTATCATTATTTTTGTAGATTCCATATTAAAACAAGTTTCTAGAATGAGTTAATCAACCATTCAGCCTAATTGGATGATCTCTTTGTATTTAACGTCATCAATAACGTGACTCAGTTATAATAATAATGACAATATAGTTGTCAACTTCTCCAGATTTAAAAATTCAACTATATTGACACAATTTGATTCTCATAAGAATTCGTTAAATCAAAAATATTCTGAGATAAGTATACACTGTTATTAATTTTCAGTGGAAAATGTATTTTTAATTGAATAAGAGTCCGACGACAAATAAATGAGATGGTTTTAATTGATAAAGTTATTTTTTTTAAGATGAAAAATTTAAGGACTTTAAAAGGTTGGTTTTGTTGTTAATTCTTAAATTTTAGAAATACATAAACTATACAATTTAGTTTTAAAGATGACTTAACATATTGATTTTAGTACCTAAAAACAGAATTTCCAGTTATAAAATAATAAGGTAAAAGATGAAAATAATTAAATAAACAAGATAGTTTAGATTGTATTAACGTATTTGTTTGTGTTTTTCTTGTAATTTACACTCTCAAACGTTTTGGATTAATAAAATAATTTTTAAATATATCAAATTCGAAAAATTTAAAGTTTTATTAATTACTTCTTTATTAATTATGTTATTATTTTTTAATTATATTTATTATAAAGAGAGAGAAGATAGTTATATTTATTATAAAAAGAGAAAAAACAATATATTATTTAAAAAAAATTGGTTGAAAGATGATAAGGATATTAATAAAAAATTAATAAATTTATTAAAAATAATAAACAACAATACAATATAATCTTAAACATAGTATATTTTAAAATGGAAATTATATTATTATAACTTTTATAAATTTTTTAGCAATTTCTTGAAAATACGTGTATGCAAATACATTTCAGAGTTAAAAAAAGTATACTTTTCGTTGCTTATGACAAAAAACAGCACTGGAGACTTTTTTATTTTATTTTGTTTTGTTTTTCTCAAGATGACATGTTTTTCTTGTAGTTTGTAATTTATAAAAGTGCAATCGCTTTTTCAGAATAACTTTATTGTTCTTGTAATATGGAATTCATATATATATAAAACACTGTTTGTGCAAATAGTATTTAAAGATTGCATTCATACAGGAATGTGTAAGATAAGCGAAGCAATAAAAATACAAATTAAAGGAAGATGAAAATAGAAAGAGATAAGAAATAATAGAGTTAAAAGTTGAGTTGCACAAAGAAATTACAACAGGGGTATACATGTCTAAGAAAATAAATGTTTATAAGAAAAATATATCCTAATATTGTAGATAATATATAGCTGTCGAATCCTCCAGATCTAAAAATAAAAATAAAAGAATTATTAATGTTTCAATAATTTGATCCTCTAATTTACTGAAGAGAAAATGTGATATCTACTAGTCAAACTCATATTTTATAAAGTGAGATGGATAGTTTTGTACCAGTCGTTCCTACCATGTGATGTATCCACCAAGCAGTCATTTTTTAACCACACTTTGTTTCTGCCATAAAAAGTAATAAAATAAATATCAACAAATTATCCAATCTCCTCTACAAAGATTGGACATGGAACTTGGAAAGTTCGTTCGTTTGTCAGTAAAATTCTTCACCATCATTTTGTCCTTTATCTACCTAAACCAATTTTAGCTTCTACAGTCCCATGTTACGACACATCAAATAAAGAAATATCACAGACAATAACATAACACCTGGGATTTTCAATAAAAACAAAAAATCAATTAACCCAGAATTTTGGATGTTCACGCCTGCACTACCTCGTAAAAAAATCTCTATGTTTTTACTTTACGTGGATCTGACATTTTCGTTTATTTAAAACCAAAAATCTTAAAAAATGGACTAACCAGTGATGCTGGAAATCGTGTAATATTAAACGAAATCAACAACGGTAACGAATAATAATACATTATAACTAGAATATTAAAATACAGTTTGTATATATCTCTTCTAGAAGGTTATATAAATTAACATTAGTTTGACTGACCCACGCTAATTAATGAATATAATAAAATACTTATATTATTCATTTTTTATTAATATATTTTACAACATTACCTTTTTATCTCTCTAGCTTCGTTACATCATTAGACTTTACATATTTTTTTTCTTTATTTTATAAAAAATATTATTATTATCCTTATTATATAGAAGCAGTTTAGAATTGTATTGTACCTATAAGTTCTCTCATGTTTGCGCACTTTAAGAACAAAATTCTTGAATTCCTCCGAGCAATAGTCTCTGCGTTCTTCCCTCCTTCCCTCCGTGTTTGTATCGGCACAGTGACCAGGTGAGGAGGCAAAGATGTCCACCACCGCAACCACAACTTCAGAAGGTTTTCTTTTTTTGTTTTGTTTTTATTTTAACCTTTTGCAGTTTGATCATTCATTTGTTTATGTCGGGACTGGGAATCTTGAAACGCACATCATGCATATAAAAATGGTTATGAGTTTTGATAAATGTTGCAGAAGTGAGCAGCAACGAGTGGGAAGTGATACACATGAGCGAGCAAGAGGAGGACCTGATTCACAGGATGTACAAGCTAGTCGGAGACAAGTAAGCTAATGCATTTTCTTTCTTAATCAATCACAAAACTCCATTAATTGCACCTAATTCTCTGCTTCTCAACCTTCAATACTCTCTTTGCAAAATATGATTGACTATCTTATGTGATTAATTGTTTGGTTCCAACTAAATCGATGGCTTTGCTTGTTGTATGGTATAGGAGAGAGATATAGTTTCAGTTTTTCTTCTTCTTCTTCTTCTTTTTTGTATTTATTTTGGTGAGGATGAGGGTACAGTGCCATAAAGTGTGGTAGACAAGAGCATGCAGCCAAAAGGTTTAGAAGGTACAATACATGGATGCAGCTACATATAATTTAACCATGGATCAAGTCATGAATATGTTGTATAGGTATTGACATAAAGATCGTAGAAATGAAAGGTTATAGAATTAGATGGTGCATCTGGTAAGATTAACTAAACTAACCATTGGGAGGCATGGTGGAATTGACCTTGGAACAAGTTTGGCAAACCATGGCAGTCATTGACCATTTGGTAATGAGTTGTCTGTTGTACCAAATGGATCGAGGCATGATCATCACATACAGACAAATCTCAGACACAAAACGTAGAAGAATAATTACCTTCTCAATGTGTGGTAACAAAACACAACAGATTTTATGACCATTTTTAAGTGTCAGGTTTCAAATTTTCCTTTTCTTTTTTTTCACTTTCAACAATTATCATTATCTTTTTAGGTCTAAACCATGTCTACATTTAATTCCAATTTCTCCTACAACTCCAATGTTTCATCTTTTTCCAATCATTTTGAACTTTTATCCTTTTTTTTTTTCTGTCAATTGTATCTTTGTCGTGTCTCATAGGCTCCATTGACAACAACGTTGTACATGGATAAATGTTAGAACATGGTTAATTCCTCTCATAGGTTTTTCAATAACGTCTTAAATTCTTGATTTTTTAACATAATAGTGTTGCTTTGCCATTTAGTTTTAAAAACACCTTCCATAGTTTCATTTAAAGTGATATAATGCTGCAAGGGTGGCCATAATATAATAGCTTCATATCTTTCATCAACGATTACAAAACAAATTCTATAATTTTAGAATAAGGAAATTCGATGGTTAAAGTTGAGGCCCATTATCAATGTCAACCAACCTGTTTCACCATCTTTGATTATCTTATTCATTATTTGTAACTTTAATTCTCTCCTATCAGGTACAAAACTTGCATGATTCATATCTACCTTTGTCCTTCTTTTTTGTTTTTATAGTAAATTTTTATTTGTCAAAATATTTATCTAAAGTCATACAGATACAATATTTATATTAACAAAATTACATCTTAAAGTTAATAAATCATATTGAAAGCAAAAGCAGATATATGGTTTTAGAATATTTATTTTGAAAAAACTTGTGATGAAACTTAGATAAATGAAAAAGTGGTTGTCGTATATTAGTAATTTATGTTTTGATGACGTGGCAATATTTGAATAGGTGGAATTTGATAGCGGGTCGCATTCCGGGTCGTAAAGCAGAAGAAATAGAGAGATACTGGATCATGAGACACACTCACGCTTTCTCTGTTACAACAAATCAAAGTAAAGCCAAAACCTCTTAGATTTTCTCACCTCAACTTTCTTTCTGGGCATAATTCTGATATATATAAATATATTTGGGTTAAATATGTTTTTTATTCTATAAATTTCATATTTTTTGTTTTATTTTTATATATAAAATATTTTGTATGTTTTTAGTTTTTTTTTTTTTTATCAATGTCAGTTTCTATGGGTTACAAATTTATTTTTTTTAATCTCTTTCAAAGGACTGATATTGATGATGAAAAAGCAAATAAAAGACTAAAAATAGCATAAAAGTTTACGGTGACAAAAATAAAATATAAAAAAGATGAAGTTTGATAAGAACTTAAAAATATATTTAACCCTATAAATTTTGTTCCGATATTTTCAGAGTTATCGCCCATTGTATTCCTTCTCCTTCTCTTTGAATGTACACTTGCAGTAATCTTTCATGAGTCTCATAGAAGCTATGCAAAAGTTTTCATTTTAGTTTGTATAAAAAGTGTGTATTAGTATGCTTTCATTTCAGTGATTTATTTGAACTTAAGATTTTTCGTTTAAACGTTTCTTATAATTAGTTTGATACAATTGTGATTTGTCTCTTATATATAATAACACTATAAAAAGTAAAACAAAAAAAATAACAAGTCCTTTAATACAAAAACTAAATAAATAGAAAATCTTTTATTAAAAATGTACTTGCAGATGTTCCCTGTGCGAATAAATAAAGAGATATTAAACTATTGCAAAAATGAATATAAGGAATTTTAAATAAAGGATTAATTAAATAAATATGTGTGGGGGTTGCGCCACGTTTTATGTACAAAATGTATAAAATATAAATGCATAAATAAGAAATCAAACCTAGATTATGAAGAGGGATATGATAACTATTAAACAAAAATTGACAAAAAAAAATTATATTATTAGCATATATTTTCAAAATTCGACACAAAATTAGATATAATCAAAAAAAGATAAAAGGAATAAAATAAACACAAAAATTTCACTTTACGGTCCCATTCATGATGAATGAAATTTAATTCCTAATAATAATAAAAAAAGACAAATATTGTCTCAAAATTTGTCTTCATAAGAAAAATCTAACCATATTTGTCAATTAATCATGCATTGATATTATACTGGAATTTTGAAAAGTCAATTATTTGGAGAGGATTTTACATAATCATCAGCTCCAACTTAAATAGTATAGTCTCACAAATTAATTGAAGATAAAACAAAATGTGACTTTTTAATGGATACTATCTAAACTTTTTCTGTCTACTTTTTAATAAGTACATAGGTTAAAAATGTATTATTATTATCACAACCACGTCATAATGGGACAAAATAGATCTAATAAAAAATAAATATACCTTTTGTCCCATAATTTATATAAATAAATGTGAACAAACTTTTAAAAAGAAAAAAATATTTTAAATCAAGTTTGGATTTGGAACCCATTATGAGAAAAGTTACAAATCTATGATGTCCTAAGCTTAATTAAATTAGTGACATTAATTAATATATTTTTTAAATTATTAATTTATCCTTTAAATAAAAAGTATTGTTTAAAATACTAACTATTTTTTTTTCAAAAATGATAATGAAAATATTTAATTATAAAATCATTTTATTGATTAATGTTTACGAACTATTTTTTATATTGGCAAAATTTAATTGGACCTTGATGTTCTTTTCGGTATTCAAAGCTAAACATACGTTAAACAAAAAAAAATAGTTAAGTGAAATTGAGACTTAGCATAATAATTAATAAATTTTAAAAGTATTATATAATTAAATATTAAATTTATTCAAAAGATATTAAATAACTATAGGAAATCAATCAAATATTTAATAATTATAGAGATTTTAAAATTTTAATTATGAAATAAGTTGGAAACTGGTTCGGGTAATAATTATATATATTAAATCTTATTTGATTACTATATTATATATAAAATTATTATTATTACAGATAAAATTAGTTGTATGATATTAAATAATGATAAGCAACTCATCATATATTTAATATTTAAAAAGATGAAAAATTTTAAATTCTGATTATCAAACAAGTTTTAAATTAATCATGATAAAAAAAACATTTTAACTATATATCTGAAAATAATATTTTTATTTAAATAAACTTATGTATATTAAATTTATTAAAAATGGCAACTATTATTTAAAAAAATGTGAATATATAACTAAATTAACAAATCAATAAATATAATAAAAAGAAGAAGTAAAGAATGAATAGTTTATAATGTTGGAAAGAAACATCTTCAAACTACGGATAATGTCATTTTATCCAACATAATATCGAACAAGAATTAAAGACATTGGATTTGAACATTTTACGCATTTATAGAAAGGGAAAAAATATATTCGATCTTGGCACTTACAATTTCGAATTCGAGATAAAAATGATGGTTGAAAATGTGATAATATTTATTGACATAAAAAAAAAAATTTACTTGCATACAATTTAATCTAGACTAGAAAATCTAATCCGTAATATTGTACTGTATAAAATCTTACATTATATTATCTCTAAAACTTATTAATCTTATTTTACTTTAAAGTGGTGATAATAAATTTCTTAATTCATATTAAGTTAAATTCTTTTATATTTTCTAGTACTTAATCTCTCCGTTATCCTTTTTATTATTTAAACTATACTGTTTTAATATTTTTTTATTTTATTAATTTTTTGTTTAATATATTTTTGTAGTTATCCAGATGAGACGAAATTGATATTAACAAAATCTCTTATTATTATTATTTTTTTAAAACATATGTTTTCTAATTTCTTAAAATAGCTATGTTAAGTTATCATAAGTGTAATATATTTAATAAATATATTGAGATGAAAATCAAATCCCTATTACATGGATTCATCCGTCGGATCCGGATCCGGATCCGGGTATGAGTCCGAGGTTAAAAAAATTGAATTAAGGTTTATTTTTGCCGTTTTAAGAAATTGAGTTTGGGGTAAATATAAATAGTATAACCTGTATTTTTATCATGAATTTATATTTAAATTTAATTTTTAAAATATTAAATTTTTAGGTACAATTTTTTTCTTATAAGTTATATATTTAATCAATAATATATATATATATATATATATATATATATATATATATATATATATATATATATATATATATATATATATATATATAAAAGTAGAGGAAAGGAAACTGGCGGAACTAGGATAAAAAAATCTTTTAAGATATTATTAAAAAATTATACTATAATCTCTTTAAAAAAAATTATTTGTTTGGATTGGTTCTTCTAAAATTAATTTTATTTTTTAATTCATGTATATATAAGAAATAATATGAAAATTATTTATTATAATTTATGGGTAACTATAATTAAAGAAAAAAATAGAAAATATTTACTCATTGTTTTTTTTTCTTTCCTCTTTTCTTCCTTTTTGTTTTTCTTTTATTCTATTTTAGTTTTCTATTTAAAAATACTATATTAAAATTTGATAAAAATTTGTTAAAATATATATTTAAAAAATAGCATTAAAAATAATAAAATATTTATTTTAAAGTATTTTTATTAAATAAATTTTTAAAATTACTTAATTGACTAATTATAATAACTTAACTTAATTATAATTAGCTTAAATTATTAAATAAAAAATATATTTAAATCATAAATATTTAATATTTTTAAACTAAATGAGTAATTGATGTATTATAAAAAATAATTTTAAATTTTATTATTATCATAAATAAATTATTTGTTGTCATAGAGTAATTTTAAATAATTAATAGATATTTCTTTTTTTATTTTTAGTTTTAATTAAAAAATAATTTAATATATTTTTAATAAATTTAAATATAGTATTTTGATTTAAAAAAAATAAGTAAGAGATAAAGGAAAAGAAAAAAATGAAAAAAGAAAAACAATGAATGGATGAAAAAAATAAACAATTAAGAAAAAAGAAAACAAAATTAAAAAAGAAAAAAAAGTTGTAAAGAGAGAGAAAAATCATTACCTATCAATAATAAACCGATATTATTTGATAGATGAATTAACATAAATTTTATTAAATATTTTTCTTAAAATAAATTATTTACTACATTGATTCCCTCGTATCATAAGACAAAATATAGAAAAAATAATCTTCAACATATATTTATTAGTCAAAACATTCTAGAAATTCTCTTTAACTTTAAATCAATTAACTAGTGAACGGAGCTGTCTTTTTCAGTTCAATCCTAACTCTTTATTTGGCGCTCTAAATTTGATTCTTATGTTCTTTCCTTTCCGTTTGCGGCTTTCACTTCTAGAAGATGATATAAAAGAGATTAGAAGAATAATTGTGAGAGGTGATAAAACAGTAAAAGGGATCAAAGCGACAACTTGTAATGGGGATTGAAATTTGAAAATTCTCTGGTCTCTGCTCATTATTCCAACTCTGACCTTCAAATCTCATGTGAGATATTGCAAACACAAATAGAAAATTAAGGACCAATCATTCTTCATCATCACCATTACGATGACGTGTACTGGACTTGGTCAGCATTCTATTGCTCACTAACAAAATACAAGTCTCAGTCAAACTTTGACTTATTTCCACTCATACTCGCATTTAACCATTCACTACAAACCCACTTTGCTTCATCGTTTACCATAAATCCTCCTCTCACTAAGCTTTTGCTTCAGCCATCAACTTTCTGTCCTAACAAACCAGTTTAAACTTCAAATCAAACTTAGTCTGCCTCCTTCCACTGTATTCTACCATTTCCATGGATGGCCTTCTAAGTTTCTTTAGTGCACAAAGTAGGGATCAATCACCACCTTGCCAATCACAATAGATAGATACATATATAGATAGAATGGAAAGTGAAAAAAGTTGTGAGCAGAACGCACTTGTGAGTGAGCTAGTTCAGGGGTTGGAGACAGCCAGAAAGTTGAAGGAAGACTTGAGTTTACCCTCTTCAGTTGACACTATGGACTCACTACTGCAGGGGATATTATCTTCTTATGACAAGGCTTTGCTAATTCTAAGATGGAATGCACCAATTTCAAAGTCACAACCCATGCATCAACCAACTCAAACTTCGTCACCACAGTCCCCGGTATCCGTTGACCAAAGTCCTCCGAGGAAGGACCATGAAGGTGCCCGCAAGGATCATCAAGAACTAAAACAAAATGTAAAGAAAAGGTAAAAAGACTGCAGAAGTCAACTCATTAACATCGGTTATACTATATCTATTTGAACTAACACTCGTGGCAATTTTGTTTCAGAAAGACGATGCCCAAATGGACGGAACAGGTTAGAGTGACTATCGAGAATGGGGTTGAAGGAGCTGCTGGAGATGGTTACAGCTGGAGAAAATATGGACAGAAAGAGATCCTCGGTGCAAAATATCCCAGGTGAATTTTTTTAAAAATTGTCGCTAAACAATTTAATTGGTCACTGATTAAAACAATTAACAATTAACAATGGAATGTTACATTTGCAGAAGCTATTATAGGTGCACATTCCGCAAAACTCAGGGCTGCTGCGCCACGAAGCAAGTGCAGAGATCAGAAGAAGACCCCACTGTCTTTGACATAACTTATCGAGGAAGCCACACCTGTTCTAAGGGAACCAGTGCCGTTCTGTCACAAAAATCAGCAGACACAGAGGAGAAACCGCAAGCTTATGACAGTATTCAGTTTCACCATGCACAGTCATCGCAAGAAACACTTACAGAGCACACAAACACTTTGACTGTGGAAACGGATAACATAACACCACATCCATTCCCTTCGTTTGGATGCATGACACAAGCTAACCACCACGCGCTTCTTCCCTCTTTGGTGCTAGAGAATGATCCCTTTTTCAGCACCATTTCCCAAACATCCTTGTTTTCTCCGAACACACCTGAATCAAATTATTTTGTGTCTCCGTCTGTCCTCGTACACGATGAATTCGACAGGGTCTGTGACAAGCCGTACCCCGATTCTGATGCCGCCGGGGTCGTTTCATCTGATACATCAACCATCAATTCTCCATTTTTTGACTTCAATTTCTCACTCGATGCATTGGGAATTGATGCAAACTTCCCCTTCAATGCCTCGGGGTTTCATCCTAACTGCACTTGAGAGACTGAATTTCATACTGTCTGTAGAAATTATGATTAGCATTTGAAGAAAGTAGAAAGGGACTGAAGGATGATGTATTGGACTCCAGACAACACTAGTAAATGGCGCTGTAGTTTGTTCATTCTAAAATAACCACGTTAATGTTCAGAGAAGCGATCTTGTACTGATGACTTTCTTTAAACAAATTTTACTTAGGATTGCACATCAGAATTGAATGTAAGGCACTGCAACTAAGATCATCTGACTTCTGACGCTTCCCCAGCAGATTAACCCACCGACAATCGCAGCTTTCCCTCTAACAACATACTGCAGAATCGGGGGTGACCCAATAATATTGAAGGCTGACGGTGAAGGGTTAAAAGAAAGTACTTTCTTTCTCTAACGTAACTTGACATTTTAAAAATATTTGTCTCAAATTATTTGATATTTTTTAGTTTCTAAAGAAACACAAACGACTATTTATAATAATACTTTCAATAAATAAATGTATGAGTAAAATTACAACTACTTTAAGAAGAAAAATCTGAATTTTATCATAAATTGATATAATAAATTGTTTTCGTAAAATATGTTTATTATTTGCCTTGAAAGACAAATCATTTTTGTAACAGGCACTCACGGAATAACAGAGGAAGCACAAAATAATAATTGAAACTTGTCAAAAATGTTCTGATCTCGTCTTCTCATTTTTTTGGAGTCAAGCTTTCACATAATTGAACCTCAGAAACAATTTGCGTTTATGGGCCCCAAAAAACGAGTATTTACAATCTGCATTAAGGAAAACTTATCTGAAGATACTAGAAAGGGAAAGTATGATTTTTACAAACAGCAGAATACTAAGGTGAGAGATTTTTCATGTAGCAGGAGAAATGTCATCCACCTAGATTACAACATAATACACGTCATCCTATTCAATAATTAATACTGGGGTGCCAAAAACAAAAAATGAGAGAACCCATGCCAGCTACTACTTAACAATAAACTGAATGTGATTTAAATATCGGTCATCATTCAAAAGCAGACTGAGATCTTTTAACCTTCTCTCCCCAGACCAAAATATTTGAGATTCATTTTCACATAAAACGGCTGGGTATACGAATGGCTACGAAATGGGTTCAAATGCAGCTTGCTGATGCCAAACACCATTGAGATTAGACTGCCATAATCGGACCATTCCATCTTCACCTGTAGTAGCCAAAGTCATTCCACTCATATCCCACTCCATTTGCCACACCTAAACAACATTTAACAGTAAGCAACACCTTGCCATAAGACCCATCCTCTGAAAGACAAATTGAAAAGTTGACCGAACATATAAAAATAGAGGCAAAGTTCTAGTCATATTCATATACCATGCCCTCGTGACCTGACAGTAGTGCAACTCTCTTTACTGGAAGTCTTCCATCATGATCAGGGTTCAATCCTACATGCCATATCGCAAGTCCCTTGTCAGTTGCAACCGCTATGATCTCATACGGTCTACAAAAGAATCATACCAGTTACTAATTTATGCATGTAACATATTTCTTCGACAACCTAAGGATATCAACTCCAGCCTGAGCCGAGTAGAATAACACACTTCCTCATATTAGTCAACGTACATGAAATCATGGCTTATAGGTATATGAGGAAATCCAGTCCAATAAATGTGATTGACATTTTTCTAAACTTTTGCAAATATTACCTGCCAATATTTGGTGCCCATGCCACAGCATAAACCTGATGACCCTTGTCTTCAGGAAGTGCCAATTCTGCTACCGGGAGCCATCTTTGATGAGCCTGATCAAATTCCCATACCTGTGGAAAAAACATCACAAGTCAAAGACATAATCCTCCCCCACAAACCAGAAAGATTTGAAATGTTTTTCTGTTGTCGAAATACTGAACTATTCCCCATTGTCACAGGCTCACAGCTTGCATCTATTGCAAGGTTATGCACAGGTCAAAGAGGTGAAGAGAAAAATTCTAGAATGCAATAATCATACCATGGAAAAGTATAGATAACACAGCTGAAATCTAGAAATAACAAGGAAAGATATTAGAATTGAGTTACCTTGGAAGAATTAAGCTCTGATGTATTTGAATTAAAACCTATAAGGAAGCTTGATTCTTGGCTTCCACCTTTTTGTGGATTCCAAGAAATGGATGCAGAGAGGCATGAAGCCTTTCCAAATGCAGACACTGATTCGATAACATTTTGAAATTCAGCCTAAAATGAGAGAACAAGTTAAAAGAATAATTGTTACCACATCTCACGAATCTGAGGGAAGGTATAATCATATTAGAATTTTTATCTTCACCTGAAGCTGCCAGTTTCTAAGTTCTAAGGGGTCCAAGAGCTCAAAAACTCTTATATTGCCATCTGAATATGCAGCAACCTAAAATGTTATAGAATAATAATTAATTAATAAATGAGGAAATGATTACTGAATTATCTATGAGCATACGCTAGGGATTCATGTAAAATAATAATTCACACACAATTTAGTCAGGAGAAACAGATAAAAACATAATTCCGAAATAAATATCAATGAAAATATACAAGCTATATAACTAACCATTTTCAAACAAGTCAAAGAGATCCCAAATTGAACATCAAGGACTTTGTTTGAACTGTTTCCAAAGCTTTTGCACATCTTCCACTGAAGAGACTGGGTATCTACATATCGACGTAACCATAATTTTCAGAATTCAGCATTAACTGAATAAAACTCCTTAAAGTAACACAATGAGTTAAAAGCTTTGCTGTGAATGGATCATACGAAAATAAGGAAAATGCAAAATTAACCACAAAACAATAAACACAGCCGTCAAAAATTGCATCACCAAACCAAATTTCAATTTCCAACAAAAGTTTTAATAACTAGTGTGCAACTCTGCTCCTAAGCTCAAGCCATTGAATGCTTATATAAGAAGCACATTTATTAAATTTAACAAAAAGCCCAATCAATGATACCTTCTGCAACCTCCTCCCACAATGACACAATTCCATCGGCGGAAATACACGCAACTGCATCTCCATATTCTGGCGGAACCCAAACAATCTTGACGATGTTCCCTTCTAGAACCTTCACATTTTAAAGGGAAAGTAAAAATATACACAATGTACAAAACCATAAAGAGAACAATAAGGTCCCATAAGTCCATGCAATGTATTTATTCATTCATGTTTTAATAAAACTGAATCTAGTCCGAATTACAGATTTAATAAGAGGAGAGGAAAAGATTAAATAATCGGAAGTCGAACCCTAAATTTAAAAGTAGAGCGGAGGGAGGAAGAAGAAGGTGGATTGCGGGAATCGAAGATTGAGAGCGTGCCATCGGCGGAAGCAGCAGCGAGTCTGGTACCGGAAAAATTCCAAGATGTGCAGGTGGTGGCATCATCAAGAGTCAACAACTCCTTCGCCATCTCTCTTTCAGTGAAGAAGGGTGCTCTGGAACTGCCCAAACCTAAAATCCCGTTTCCAGGGTTTAGGGTGGAACTAGATACAGTAACAATAATCCAATTCCAACATAATATTAAAATATTATTTACTATATTTTTCTATTCTTTTATTTCCTATACTCATAATATTAAAATAACATGAACTCAAATTATATATAGTAGTAACTTGAATAGTTATATTATATTTATATACACTTTTTTTATTATTATTCGTATGGAGGTAGAATTGTTTTATTGCGTTAAATAAATAAATAAAAAATTAACAACAACATTCATGCATTTTATCTTGAGGTTTGTATATAATACAGGTTAATAATCAAATTAATTATAAATTATGCTAATTAAAATAATTTCTGAAAATATATTTTTTATTAAAACATATATTTTTTGTTTATGTTCATAACTTGACCATTCATGTCATGTTAAACTTTCTCATCATCAGAGATAGGATAATTGAGAAATACTTTGGCAATGTTTTATTTTATTTTTATTTATTTAACATGTTTTAAATACTAAATATAGCTAAAATTTTGTAAATGGATTATACGAGAGTAAACTTTAGTCATTCAATTGATAGTTTTATCAATTTAAAATCTGAAAATTAAAAAAAATAATATATATATATATATATATATATATATATATATATTCCTAAACTTGTTTACAAATATATATTTTTAGTTATTAGTAAGATTATTTTAAATATTAGTTATTTTATAATAATATTTTAAAATTTCAGCCATAAAATGTTTTTGTTTAAATATTTTGGTTGCTTTTTTTAGTTAATTAGGTGATTTCTTCCTTTTTTTGTCTTGTAGTAACTACAAAATGGGATATAGTATAAAAAAATTATTAATATTTTAGAATTAAAACTACTGTTTGAATTTGATAATTGAGTTTTATTTAATAATAATAATATAAGAATATATATAAATAAACATGAAAATTTAAAAGTATTACTATATATCATTATTATATGAAACGATTATTTGAGAACCTGATTATTAGGATGAATTCCCCAATCATTAGAACTGTAAAAATAATAAAGAAAGAAAAAAAAATTGATTATAAATAGGAGAACTTATAAATAAGAAATTGTGTCCCACTCCGTGTATTTGAAAATAAGATTCAATTATGTAACAATGAAACTAAAACAAATTAACTCAAAGATTTTTTTAGATGAGAGAAAAAAGAGAAAATTATAATAAAAAACTATTTGATAACTTATATTATTAACATAACAAGAATAAAAATATATATCTTTTTACTTTTTTTTCCTTCACCCAAAGGTTATTTATAACGTTTTATATACGATGAATTGTCAAAGAAATTTTCTATATATTATTAAAGCGAGTTATCAATTAGTTATTTGATTTTGATCATCAACCTATAGTTTTCATCCATAATATATATCTTTGTTAATATAATAATATATTGATACTCTATTTTCAACAAATCACTGTGTTATAAACTTGATTTTATTAATATAATAATAATATATAATTTAGTTATTATTATATTAATAAAATCAAATAATAAAATAATTATTTATTAAAATTGAGGTTGTTAATAAATAATTTTCCTAACAATAATTAAAAAATGATGAAAGTAATATTTTATTTTCTTTACTAGTATTTTTCTCACTTTTTATTATACAAACATATAATACAAACATATATCATTATTTGATAACCCCATTTAATAATAATAAACTTAAATATTATTGTTATAATATTAAAATATATTTTAAATGAATGTTTGATTAAAAAACTTTGTCTAAATAGGATTTAAAAATAAAAATAATTATCTTTTCGCACACAATTCACCCATAATTGCATGCAAGTTTACTACTATCACATTTTAAAAATGACAGATGAATTAGAAGCTGGACCCTGCCACTGAAATTATAACAAACCTACCCTCCATTATTATCATTATGTCCCACCCAAGCACTTACTCCATCACGGAGCACTTCCCTGTCAATTAATTCACAAGTTTAATATATTTTCATCAATTTTTCTCACAATTTTTATTTTGTTGAAATATAACAAAAAGTAAATAAAGAACATGTTTCGAAAATTTAAAAGAATTTATTACTTCTTATTTAACAAATAAAATTAAACATAAACTATTGTAAAAAATTATTATTCATGTAACATTACTGAAAAAAAAAACTCTTGTAACATTTATTTGTTTTCTGATTCCATCGTTGTTATTTAAATGACTATTCCAGAACCGTGTTCAGAAATGAATGCAACAGTAATGGCCCATGCCCTTCGTTTCAGCTCAACTTCACACAATCACATTCTTTCTTTGCATTATTTTCATAATTAATTTATTCATCTATTGTCTTATTCACAACCGAGAAAAAAAAAACTCCACTATACAACAACATTTTGAACAAACATTATTGATGTATGACATTCCATTATGCAACAAAAATTTATAATTCTTGTCAAATGTGAATATTTTTGTATATCAATGTCAATGATTACAAGAAAATCGCGTATTACCGATGAATATTTATCGATTGATTTGTAACTGTCGGAAAATAATTATTACCGACGGAATTTACCAACGGATATAAAATATTTGTGGAATTTGATCTTACCGACGGATATATTCGTCGATAAAATAATAATTAGTTACCGACGGATATATCCGTCGATAAATCCGTCTGTAATTTACAGATGAATTTACCTAAGAATATATCCGACGATAAATTAACAATTAATTACCGATCGGATATATCCGTCGGTAAATTCATCTCAGTAAATTTCCGACGGATATTTCAGATCAGTAAATTAACAATTAGTAAATATTCACCTAATTAAAAAATTAAATATTTTTTATTTAATAATTTAATTTAATCATGATTAATTTATAATAATTTCTTAAATTAAATAATTTTTAAAAATAAATATTTAATTATATATAAATATATAAAAATATATAAAAATATTTAATTATATATAAATATATAAAAATATAAAAATATAAAAATATAAAAATATAAAAATATAAAAATATAAATATGTAAATATATAAATATGTAAATATGTAAATATGTAAATATGTAAATATATAAATATATAAATATATAAATATATAAATATATAAATATATAAATATATAAATATATAAATATATAAATATTTAAATATATAAATATATAAATATATAAATATTTAAATATATAAATATATAAATATTTAAATATTTAAATATATAAATATATATAAATATATTTGTATATAAATATAATTTATTTGTAAATTATTATCAAAAAATTCGATAAGCTTAGTGGTTAGAGTATCAGCTCTAACTCTAAGGTACAAAATATGTGATTATATAAGTAAAATATTTAATAAATAATAAAAATATTATCGACGGATTTTTGTCCGTCGGTAATTTTGTAAAACATTTAATGACGGATATATCTATCGGTAATTAACGACGAATTATTAAATCCGTCGATAATATTTATTTACAACCAAATTTCTAATAGATTTTTGACCGTCGAAAATCTGTCGATAAATGGATAATATTGACGAATTTTTATTATTACCGACGGATTTGGATTTTGACTGTCTATAATATTAAAATTTCATGTAGTAAACATTCTATATTACCAAGACTGCACCACCATAGACTGCACCACCATAGGGTAACCCTTGCAGATTTATCTGATTTATCTGAATCATTGAGGCCAACCTTCACTGATATATAACCATACTATTTGTTAGAATGTCTACATAAGAATATTAAATATTAAATGTTTCTTATTAATTTCAAATATTGTTCTCAACCATAGAATAGTATATTTATGTTAAATTTAAACTCCATCGCCACCAGTGGTCCCTAGCTATTTAACTTTGTGGACCCTTAGAAAAAAATAAATAATTTTGATGCTAACTTAGACATTATTTATTGTATGTTTAAGACACACACACACATATATATATATATATATATATATATATATATATATATATATATATTAATAAAAATTTTAGAATATTCTATGTGTAAAGTTTAAAAAATAGCTAGGTAAATTTCATTATTACCATAAATATTATTGAAAACATTATTAGAGGGGTAAGAATAAAAATATAATTGGTTATAAAATGTTTTTCATACTTTTATAGGAATATAATCTTACTTCTTCATATAATTAATAAGAAAAATAAATTAATATATCAAAACAATAAAAAAAATAAAACAAAATAATAATATTTTTTACATATAAATAAACAACTTCCGGCAGTAGTTTAAAGTTTCTCATGTTCACATATTCAAAGAATTTTTTTAAAACCTTCAAATAAATAGTTATTTCTTTATTTCTTTTCATCATATTATTCACTTTTTTTTTTTTAAATCACCTCTCTTAACTGTTACAAAATATTTTCATTTTTCTGAAAAAAAAAACTTAACATTGTCAAAACAATACAATTAAGAAGATATAAAAACTTTCAAATTTAATGGAAGAAAACGTCAACAATATTTATGTTATTTCTTTCTATTTCTTCCATAGTAATAAAAATTGTTATAAAAAAATGTTGATGGAGTATGATTATCCTTTTACAAAATATGACATATTCATAGCTAGGGTCCAAATTTGAAACACGAGATAAAAGCGAAGACAAACAAAAAAAAACAAAAATCGAGAGGTGTTGTTGAAACATCATAATTCAAACAACATATATGCAGCAGAAATCTTTCACGCGCCAATTTCACATATGCTAATTGATACGTTAAAACAAATACAATACGACGCTAACAAGGTTAATTAACAAAAACAGTTAAAATCCTGAAAAATAATCCAACTTCTAGTGACAGAAAAAAAAAATTAATTAAGATCAAATACTAAGCGTTTTGTGTTAATTAAGCGCTCCGAAGCTGACCTTCTGACGAAGGAAGATATCTCCGGCGAGAGTGCAGCGATCTCAAACTCTGGAACTTCGGGGATGGTGGAGAGAACGGGTCCAGACTTATCATAAACCACGTAGAACCGCTCTTTGGAGTATTTCTCTGGAACTTGGAAACTCAAACCAGTGGTAGTGGTGGCGGTGGTGGATTTATTGTTGGACTTGAAAACGGAGCGAATGAGTTTGTGAAAGGAGCGAGAGAAGTTGAAGGACTTTCGTGACATGATGGTGGTGGAAGGTAGAGGAGGGTGATCTGGCAACGCGTGAAGCGAACGCTCCGGTAAGTGAGGCATGGAAAGGGTTCTAGTTATAGGGGAATTAGCTATAGCGGAGTGGAGTTGGCGTTGGAAGGAGTTGAGCTCAAACGAGTCGTAGAGCGTGCTGCCACAGTCCCAAAGATTGGTCGGATACGAGGATGATTTTGTCGCTAAAAGTTTCTCCATACCTTGTTTCTTGTTTGAGCGATATCGATAATCCTATGAGTCTGTCTGTGCTGTCTTTAAATTAAATTGAGAGAGAGAGAGAGAGAGTGACGTGTGGTGTAATCGCTTTCGGCTTTTGTAATGGTTGGTGAAAGATGAAACGCGTTAGTCATGAGTTGTGAGCAGAAAAACGGTTACCCTCCATATAAGCTTTTTCACGACCGCCATAGATGGACCATGTAATGTATATAATACCTTTCCATGCATTAATTTTCTAAACGCTCTCCATATCGGTGTTAGATGATGCCTAAATGTTGGTCAAATGGAAATATTTAAGTGACAGATCAGCTTCAATTCTTTTTACTTTATTGCTTGCATTCTTCAATCTTGTATGATTCCTATGATTGTTTAAGAAAGTAATATAAGTTATTGTCTCGTGTTGAGTATCACCTTCAAAAATATAATAACAGGTGGAGTAGGATGGTGTACTACTAAAGGTTACAACTAAGCTGCGTGTTTCATTGTTATAAAAAAAAAACTCTCTAAATTAAGATAATTAAGTATTCATATTGTTTAATAATAATATTCACATTGCTTAACTAATACACTTTTTAGTATGATTTTAATAATGAAATAGCCATTTTCCGAACTTTTTTTTTACAAAGAATAAAATATTGTTTTTTTTTTAAATTTTATATTTAATCAATATGATATTTTAAATTAAAACAAGAGATATTAATGTCACTTTATTAAAAATATAAAAAAATAAATGTAATTTATTAAAAATTGTGACTTCTCTTTTTAAAATTTAAAGAATATGAATATAAGGGAGATGAATGAATGCCTATTTTAAAATGTAGAGGAATTATGAGTATCATTTAGCATAAATTTAATAGAGATAAATATAATTTCTCTTTATTATAGACATAAAAATGATTGATTTGGTTTTATAATAATTTTATCTTAATTTTATATATTTTTTAAAACTATATATGTTGTCGTTCCTATTATTTTTACCAATAATGTTTGACATAAGATATAATGATTTGTCTGCTTAATCAAGTGATCTAGAGTTGAAATCCTAATTCTATCACTTTAAATCATATTAATTAGGAAATAAATATTATGAAAGAAAAATAAATATATGATTATATAATTGATGATAGAAAGTAAGTTGTCATATATAAACAATTTATAATTTTTAGTTATATAGATGAAAAACTATAAACATTTTTTAATAATCTTTAATCTCATTTTCAAGAGTCGCCTTAGACCTTGTTATTGAAGTTAAATGAATAAAGTAGGAGGACTAAAAATAGCAACAAATGTATAAAATATTTCAAATATACGTTTGAAAATGTTATAAAAATCAACAACTTTCTTTTCTACAATTGAATGAAAATGTAAAATATCTTGCCAGTATATTTAATTAAATCTAAAGTTAATGTTAACCAGAACTTAATTATAACTAAAGAGAATTAATTGGTAAACAGAACATTGCATTAATTGATTCCATTTACAAGACATGTTTTGCAATACAAAATTGAGTATTCTTATGAAGTGTAGAAAAATATGAATCACCACGTAACTGTATACTAAGCATTAAACACACTCTTTCATGATTACAAGCTCCGTGATCCGGGCTAGCTTTAGAGTACAAAACGCTGGGGACAGTATTTTTTTTCTGTCAACTTTCTTCCGTTTTGGTAATCAAAATGTACCCACGTTAGGGAAACAAATTCTTGGTCTCGCATAACTTTTGTACCCCCTTCTTCGCTCAATCAACAACATCACTGCAGAAGAGCTTTCTTTAATTGGTTGGCATCAAGAACCAATTTCCTTATGGAAGAGAATGCGCCCATTATTCCAACACCCGTGAAGACCACCATAATTGAGGTGTTAATCCAATAAGTGAATGTTGATCTTGGAGGCCTGTACGTCATGTTGTATAGAAGCATAGGCAGAACGAAATCCAGAGGGATGAAACCAATAGCACCAACCACACCGTTGATGTCCCCAAAAAATGGCAACATTGCTGCCACAAACCCACATATTATCATGTAAATTGTTCGAAGAATTATTCGAGGAATAACGTTTCTTTTGGAAAACACCCCCTGATTCACATCAGCTGACTTCTTCTCCATTAACTCATAAGCGACTTGAGAATAAACCTACGATATATTGAGACAAACATTACAGTCATTTATAATTTCCTCACTACCTATGAAGGAATAAAATCAAGGCTTTCTTTCCACATTGTTCTCTTTAATCTAAAATTTTTTTTGCTGACATGAAATGTTGGAGAATTATGTGATTTCGGTTTTGACATGGTGCATGTGATGCCTTCTATGACAATACATGTGGAGTGAAACTGACATGGATATGACACTTAATTATCATGGACTTGATTAGAACATTTGGAGAAAAATTGAGACTCGTTGTACAATGAAAAATACAAGACTAAAATTATACAATTGTGTCATTAAAAAAATAAAAAATGGAGTTAAGACTAAAATAGAAAAAGATAGAATGTTTCCCCTGCCACAACATCACAGTGCTTGATTTGCCTTCTCCACAAAAGAGAAGTTACGACAAGCTTACCAGGGCAATGGCAAAGAGCTGGAGAAGAACAAAGATGACTGCAATGTTGAAGCCAAAGAAGGTCCATCATCTGGCATCAGACTCATGAAAATGTTTGAAGTAGACTTGTTTCCAAATGTCCAATATCCAGAAACTGCAGCTGAGTAGAATGTCGCACTAACTACAGCATAGCACATACCAAGGCCTTTTACCATCTTCCCAGCAGCAGGAGGGGCCAGAGTTGCCTGTATTCAAATTTTCAAAGTGAGATCAAATGAATTTTACACACCTCTTGGAAAAAAGTAAATGATACTACATTGAACTTTATCTTAAGAAGGATGTCGAAAGAAACAATTTTAACTTTTTTTTTTTGAAAAAGGTGTTTACTTGTATCTCTGGTAATATGCCATTCCCAAATATTGCTGCAAGTATTGAGATGGAAGTGAATGCACTGAATGCTCTTGATGGCTTATTATGTTCTAAGGAATAGTCCCTTGGAGGGGCATTCTTCGATGTGCCTGAAAAATAATTGGAAGTTGATTTAAATGATTGAACCATTTCAACCAGAAGTCAGGGCACCCGAATCTGGAACCAATATGCGTCTGAATGTTTGTAATAAATATAAAGAAGGGGTAAAGAGTTGATAATACCTGCATGAATGCAGGCACCAACCACAAGAGCTGTGTAGCCCAGGCTGAGAAACAACGAACACAAGTTTATGTGTCTCAGGGAATGGAAAGTGGGAAGCTGAGATAGAATTACCATAATCCCTGTCACTATTGCTATAAAGTGGTAAAATTTCATCGATCCGTGTGGTGAAATAATGGAATGCAAAATCTGTCACAATATAAAGAAAGGCAAAATGTTATTTGTACATGTTAAAACTTGAAATATTGTTAATTACCAAGATCATTAACTTACCACAGCACATGTATCAAAATAATTAAATTGTTTAATTTGTCTGCATCATAACATAAATGTCAAATATTTTTCCACATCTCTTATCCAATGAATAGTTCTTAGCTTAGAGTTGATGCTTCTTAAATACTTGTTCAGGTTGGCCAGAATCCAGGACTAGGAGTTAATAAAGTTGTAATATACTTGGCTCAAAATTAATTTGTTCTTGGACAAACAATCGGTAAAAACTGACTGATATATCAACGCTAACCTGATAATGATCAATAAATCATAATGATTGAAAAAGATTAGCAACATTAGTGCTTTAGAGTTTTACAGATTCTCATACATCTGGAGTTAGGGTGTCTTTATAAGCAGAGATAATGGATCAGCTATAGATAAAGGTTATCTTTGATGAACATAGTTCATGCTGCAACAAAAAGGTAAAGTTAGAATGATGGCTAACATTTAATAACGAATATGAATAATTTCCACGCTGACTATCCATTTTCTATGGTAAGAGTTTAACGTTGTGTACGACATGTAATAATATAATCTATATTCATGTCCTTAATGAGAAATGGGTTAAATAAATTTTTGCTACTTTTAAAATTCATTGGTATTAAAGTTAATATCTTCAAAAATTTGTTTAGTGTTTCGTAATTTGGTTATTTTTGAATTAAATGATCATATATTAATCATCCTAATTATATATATATATATATATATATATATATATATATATATATAGTAATAGATTATATCGTCAAAATTAACATGCATGTCGAACTTTTTAATTCAAGAATAAAAGATTTATTACAAGGACGAAATATATTATTAATGCTAAGATAGGAAATTGAAAAAAAAATAGAGATAATAATTTTAATATAGATTAATTTTGAAACTACTAAAAACATATTAAGGATAAAAAAAATATGTTTTCCGGAGTCATTAACTTGTGACTTTAAAACCATAAATTCATAAAAAGTTATTCTCAAAGTGTAACCTTATTGTTTTACTGTGAACAAAACAAAGAGAAAGAGAAATTAGTAGATATTAGAAAGGGAAGGATGGAAAAGGAAAACACAAAGGAAAACCTCAAGGCACTGGCCCGCAAGGAAGATTGCTCCAACACAAACCCCACAGTTGATTGCAGTTTGTATTAAAATTACAAAATAGAAAATCCATCCAGACCCTGCCACAGAAAAAGTCTCAACATCATGATTATATCTTAATGCAGAGAAGGTAGGTGACAAGTTTTATGGAAAACTATCAGTGTCTCCAATAACCAGCATCTATCACTTTCTTTCTTTACGTATCTCTCTACTTTCGGTTCATAGATATAAAAAATGAGGCACGGAGTAATCAGTGCTCCCGAAATATATAGACAGATTAAAAAATCTTTAAACAAGTGCAGGTAATTGAAGAAAAGAATTGGTATTCACCCAAAACGTCAGGGGCGAGCTCACGAAAACGAATGTGGCGGTGACCGTTATTCTCACAGTGATCAAGCACCTTGGACATGAGGAAGTAAGCGTACAATGTGACGACCCCCATCGCCGTCAAGCAAAACAGACCAAGCCCGCACCCTAACCAACCCTCTCAGCGCATACGGCAGCGTTAGCATGGTTGGACCCACAATCGCCGTCGTTAAATGAAAACCCGCGTGCCACCATTCCCCTACGTGCCATGAAACATTTTTTATATATAAGTGAATCACCTATCTCATTTAATTTCACAAGCTAAGGTTGAATTAGTAGACCTAATCAAAATTCTAAACACACAAGTGTGTGAATTAATTAGATACGGGAGGAGTTACCTTTTGACTGGAGGACAAATGTAGCTCCGGCGTCGTTCTCATGACGGTGGTTCTCCGGGAACTGGCCCCCTTTAGGGGCGGTGGCCATGAGGGGCGTGGTCGTCCACTAACCACAACAAACCAAGTCTTACAACAGAAAAATACGTGTGTGTATATATATATATATATATATATATTATCCATGCAAGTGAATTTCGTTCCCTTTTGGCATGTGAAAGTAACTAACTACCCGTTCACCTGCGAAGTTGAAGTAGTTTTGAAAGAGAATCTTTCTCTGAGGCATGTAATCGATGTCATGTATATATAATTAGGGAAATTGCATTTAAATTTGATATCTTTAAAACTCATAAATCATTCAACAACCCAATTGAATATTATAATAATAGTAAAACATTTATTTTTTTATATGTATTATTATTATATCATTAAGTGTAGTTATATATTAATTATATTGTATAATAAAAAAGTGGTTGTACATGTATCTATACTAATATAGTTAAGGACGTTATTGTATCAAAAGATGCATTTTTGGTTTGCTTGCAAATAAAGGAGATGGACGGAGTTAATGAAATATTGTAGCTGATTTGTAAAAACAAAACCTTTAAATCCCATAGTTTCTTCGTATTTATCAATCACAGAAACTTTCTTTATTGTTTTAAAAAAGTATGTTCAGGATGGGATTTTGAAGAAAAAGAAAGGGAATAACAAATATATTTTTTAAAATAAAAATAATTTAGTATCTTAATCTTGTACTTTTTTTTCTAAATATTATTTAAATAAAATATCGACAATTCATTTTTCCTTCAAAACTGATTTGTTCTAAACCATAAGAGAATACACTTTAACATCTGATGAAAAAAAAATCAAGGTCTATTTAATTGAAGTTATAAGAGATGAAGTCAATGCATTATCAAAGAAGAAAAATTTATAAAAGAAGCTAAATCTCAGATTCTATGCCCTAATCTCGGATGCATAAATTACGAATAAATAAATAAATGCACACCGAAAGTATATAAATAAATATAGCACGATGCACGTTGATTGGTTGTCAATAAAACAATTATAATAAGAAAATGTACCTTATCAATATATAAAATCAAAGACTTAAATAGAACTAAAAAAAATGTTAGAATGTAAAGGAAACAACATATTATTTAAGAACTAAAATCAATGAAATATATATTTTTTAAAGACTTAATATAACTAATTCTAAAATAAATTTATAAAAAAAGTTAGAAACACATTTCTTAACACATTGTTTCTATCATACGTTTTATTATTGAATAAAACTTGTTATAAATCACAAAAATTGAGGATATTATTTCTTATCTAATAAAATTCACTCAATTTTTTGTCACTTCTATTTTTTGTCTTAACAACGATAAGGAGTGTGATAAAAATAATACATTTGAGATGTAACTTTGAGCCGTTGCCATTTTTCTAAATTTATTGATTTACACGTTGATATTACCTAAAGAATCGTATGAACAATATTTATACAGTGATTTATAATTTATTTATTAAAGATTAAACTACAAAAAGGAATTCGACTACAAGCTGGAAAGTTACGTTTTCCAAATTCTGATACACATCTTCTCTAAATAAAAAAATAGTTTCGGTCAAACGACCTTTCAAATTCAAAATATATCACATATAAAAAATTACATACATGTGCTTTAAAGTCTTTTAAATTATTTGTCATAATATAATATGTTATCCCTTTTAACTAAGACTATGTAGTTTAAATATGTTTAATTAGATAATAATAATGTTTATTACGAAAGAAAACCCTGAGTTAATATAATCACGTGAAACATTAATTTGCTTGGAATGTCATTTTAGAATAAAGTTACAGAAAGAGAGAAACCGGAACAAGCGAGTTGAACGTTGAATACATTTATTTATTATTGAATGTTTAAAATTTTATTAATACAACTCTCTGCTAATGAAAAATTTGATACGTCATCGTTTTAAAAAAGAACTGACGTAGAAAAAATTATGAAATCTTGATATGCTTTCATTTGTAACTGCAGGATCTATGAACGCGATAGGCATAAACAAATAGATCATGCGTAGGGTTGTTCTTTGCTTAACGAAACTGTCACCAAAACTAAAATAAAATAAAATAAAATAATATTAACGGATTCTAGAGCAGAATTACAGGAATACCAAACGAGAAGTCACAGATCACACGGTATGTGTAGGCGCGCGCATATATATATAATAGTGGCTTTTTGAAAGGGAAATCCTTCAACAAGAAAATTTTCGTACCGATTCTGTTATACCGTTTACTTTCCTTTCTCTCCTTAAAATTGATCTCTCTACCTACTCCGAAGCAATGGCCTCCGAAGCAAAGCCTGCCAAACCTACTACTCACCAGCTTCTCAGCATCTGCAAGTCTCTCGTCGCCGGTGGAGTCGCCGGAGGAGTGTGAGTTTCTCTCTCTGCATTAATTATTTTTCTTTCTGCTTGCGATTGTTGTTTAGATTGTTGAAGCGTTGCTGTTACTTTTTAGTAAGCGTGTTCAAAGTCATGAAATCGATACGCTGTCTTCGTTCAATCTGAATTTTCTTTTATTTCAATATTTTTTGTATGTCATTTTATATGCATAAATAATTTTTTCTGTACTATTAGTCTTGGTGCTCGATAGGTTTGTTTGACATTTCAATGCGCCAGGAAAAATAACAGACAGATACTTGTAGAAAAATCTGTCAAATCTATTTCCAACAAAAATAAAAAGAGAAATTATTAGTTTTGGAGAAAAGAAATGCACATCAAATGATTTGCAATTTCATTAGAAGTGATCAATTTAATTGTGATATGATAAAAAGACTTTAGTTATATAGAGCTAAATATTGTGATATGATAAAAGACGTTAAAAACAAGAAAACAAACTATTAATAATGGAATAACTACTTGATCTTTTTATAATAGAAAACAGATTTAGAGTAGAAAGTTAAACAAAAGACTGATACACAATACTTCTCTCAAGGTGTTTTATGAATATTAAGTAAACTCATTTTGCAAACATTAAACTAAAAAATATTGGGAAATAAAGTTTTGGTGAACATGTTTGTCGATTGATGTGCTGAAGAAACATATGAGAGAATCATGAGGTCTTAAAGAATTTTAGAGCTGCTAATCCACTTTGATGTGTTTAGTACATTCGTGGAAGGATAGATATTTAGCAAGTTGAATAGAAGGTGGGAAAAGGCTGAAGAAGATCCAAAGATAAATCAGCAACAATGTAATGAAGTCATTGTAATTCACAGGCAATTGAGCTGCAAGATATAGTATTTTGTTTCTTTGACTTCCACGAAATTAAGGAATTGTCATAAAGAATGCAATATCCTATAATAGATTTACGAGATATGCTGCAAGTTGCCTAATCAGAGTCTGAGAAGGTCTGAATGTGATTGGGGTTATGTATTGGGTAAAAGAGACCTTTAACAGGAGCATTTTTTAAGATATTTGAGGATTCACATAGTAACTTGTAGATGGAATATTCGTAATGAATTGACTCACTTGTTGAACAATAAAGATTATGTCTGGTCTAGTATTAGTGAGGTAAATTAATTTTCCAATTAATCGTCTGAAACCAGTAGGATTAGGAATAAGATCACCTTCTTCTTCAACAAGTTTAACAAAGGGAGTAGTTGGCTTACAATCAGTAACACCATAATCTACCAAGAGTTCAAGGCCATATTTTTGTTGATTGAGAACCAGACCATGGTGAGATCTCGCAACCTCAATTCCTAAGAAGAACTTCAATTCACCAAGATCTTTAATGCAAAAGTGAGTATGTAGATTCTGTTTAATGGTAGTAATGGTGGTAAGACAATTTCCAGTGATGACAATGTCATCAAAATATACCAATAGAGTTGTGAATGTATCTTTGGTTTTCTAGATAAACAAAGAATGATTTGCATTGCTTTATATGAAACCAAATTTTAACAAGGTAACAGTGGGCTTTTCATTCCATTGTCGGCTAGCTTGTTGTAAGCCATATAAAGATTTTTGTAGCTTACAGACAAGATTAGGAGATGATAAGATCAAACCCAGTTGTGACTTCATGTAAACTTCTTCATGGAGATTGCCATGCAAGAAGGCATTATCAACATCAAGTTGATGAATGAACCAGCCAGATGAAACTGCATCAGATAGGAGGAATCAGACAATGGTCAATTTGACGACTGGAAAAAATGTTTTAAAGAAATCTACCCCCTCTGTTTGTGTGAAACCTTTGATAATCAACCTTGCTTTATATCTCTAAATAGTTCCATCTGCATTGAATTTGGTTCGGTAAACCCAACGACATCCTACAATTTTCTTTCCTGAAGGTAGATTAACCAATGATCAAGTGTTATTTTTCTCTAGAGCATGTAACTCAATTATCATGATTGTTCTCCAACATTCAAGTTGGCTTGCCACTTTGAAGGTTATTGGGTCAGATGTACCAAAAACACATAAACAAAAAGTTGTGTGAGAAGCTGAGCATTTAGAATATGAAAGATAAGATTGTATAGGGTAAGGAGTACTTGAAATGCCGTGAGAAGGGGAAATAGTTTGACAATGATAATCATTCAAGTATGAAGGTGGTTTCTTTTGTTTGATTGAGATTCTTACATTAGGTTCAGTGATTGTGAGTGAATCATTAGACAATGATGCATTATTATCAATAGAAAGATTTGTATCAACATTGTCAAAAGAAGTGTTAAAATGAAAATTGTCAAAGATGAGGAGTGAATCAGTATGAGTGGTATTAGTAATTTCATTAATGGGATCTAAATTGATATGATGTAATTTGTCAGATGTATATAAAAAATATTGTTCGTAAAAATGAACATTTCGAGATATAAAGCAAGGTTTATTATGAAGATCATATATCAAATAGCATTTAGTTCCTGGTTTAAAACACAAGAAGATGGATTTTGAACTTCTTTTGTCAAACTTTGTTCTTCTAGCAGATAAAGTATTGGCATAGGCTAGGTACCCAAAAATGCGTAATTGATTGAGGTTAGAAGATTTGCCATAAACCAATTAATAAGATGTTAAATGTAGAAAAGGAGTTGGACGTCTATTTATAACATGAATAACATGTTTAACTACAAATGACCAAAAACAAATAGGCAAATGAGCTTGAAATAATAAAGCACGAGTCATATTTAATATGTGCTGATGTTTGTGTTCCACAATATTATTTTGTTGAGGAGTCTTAACACATGTAGTTTCATGAAATATTCGTTTTGAAGAAAAAAATCGTTAAGAATGAACTCCTTACCATTATCTCATCTTAGTTTCTTAAGTTTTGTAGAAAACTGATTTTCAATTAGTTGAATGAATGATGAAAGAACAATTTTGAGATCAGATTTGGTTCGTAAGAGATGAATTCATGTAAAATCATCAACAACTATTAAAAAATATTTGAATCCATTGATTGAGTTAACTGAAAGTGGACTCATATTTCCACATGAATAAATTCAAAAATTGTGGAACTTCAATTTGTGCTAATTTGAAAAGGTAATTTTCTTTGCTTTACATAATGACATATATTGCAAGGATGTAATGAATCAAAAACAATATTATTGTATTTGGAAGTCAAATGTTGAAGAATTTTATTTGAAATGTGTCCTAATCTAATCTAAAATATCATAACATGAATGTATAAGTAGGTATTACATTAGATGTATTTAAAAAAATAATACAAGAATTACCTATTAATTTTGAATCACTGAAACCGTGTTAAAAACAAGTCATTCAAAAGTTTAGCTGCAACAATCATCTTAAAATTAATTTTCTATATATTCAAGTAATGTAAATAGTAAACAAAATTACAGTAGTAATAGAAATTCAATTTTTGGAAATTGTTATATAAAATAAAAATGAAAGATACTAGAACACGTTAGATTTAATAGTTAATGATAGACACTAGAAAAAGTTATGTATTATTTTTTTCCCAATTAAGTCATATGTAGAAATGGTATATTTTTTCTATAAATATAATTTTCTATGCAGTGAATATAAATTCTTTGACAGTGAAATCTAGTGGCGTAAAGTTTATTTGTTATGTGAATATGTTTGTTATAAGTACTACCAAAATTATTAGTATTTGACTATTTGTGAAGAACATTCACAACAAAACAAGCTACATAGAGATAAGCTTTTTCTTGTCATCGATGAGGCAGATTTTACCTCAGAAAATACTTAATAAACATTAAAAATGACACAATAAAAAATCGTTTCTTTTAATTTTAATTAAATTTAAAATGCGTATATGGAAATGGAATGTTGTGTGCGGCATTAATTTTTTTAATATTCAAAATAATCAAATCATTTTGCTTTGTATTATCAGGCATGTACCAAATGGGTTTTAACTTTGATCTTGCTGACATAGTCAAGCATATTATATATCTAACTTTTGTCATAGATCACGAACTGCTGTGGCTCCTCTGGAGAGATTGAAGATTCTGCTGCAGGTAGTTCCCATTAAATTTATTACAACTAATGTTATGTTTCGGCTGTTAAATATCGCCGTCCTTTCCCACGAACAAATTGTACTTACTAGATGTATTGCAATCAGCATTTTTCTCCAGTATTAGATGTGTAGTCTCACGAGGCTCTTTCTTTCTCAAAAAAATTCTGTTTCTATAATTAATGTAGAAAAATAAGTGTGTGCTAAAGGAGGAAGAAAAAAAAAAAAAAGTGTTCGTTATATACTCTGTTTCACAGAAACAAAATGCTTTTTGAAAATGCAGGTTCAAAATCGTCAAAATATAAAATACAACGGAACAATTCAAGGCTTAAAATATATATGGAAAACTGAGGGTTTTAGAGGATTGTTTAAAGGAAACGGAACTAACTGTGCTCGTATTGTCCCAAATTCCGCAGTAAAGTTCTTTAGCTATGAGCAAGCTTCCAAGTATGTTTCTCCAATTTGTTTTCTGGTATCTATTTCATTGCTCTGTTGAAAATTTGTTAATTCCATATCAGGCTCCCTCTAATTGTGCTTAATACATTCTGCAGGGGTATCTTATGGCTCTATCAGCAGCAACCTGGAAATGGTACAACCAAAACACCTCTCCATTGACTCACTTCATAGCAAGAAACTGAATAGTGTTGCTCATATTGTTAAAGGAATATTAAATGGGGAACATACTAGACATTTTAATTAATAAAAGAGTAGTCCAAGAGAACTATATTCTTCATGTGGCGTGGTGATATGACAATTTTATTCTGTTGATTTTATGATAATATTTTAAAGAGAGAATTTTTATCTGAATACAGATTTCTATTAGTATTCGAATTATTAGCATGTGCGTGTCAATCTGCATTTTTATTTTTATTACAAGTAAGTGTTTTGAAAAGTAAAATTGAACTTTTTAATAACGTAATTGTGAAAAAGGAGGAATAGATAGTAGAGAAGAAAAGAAAGATAGCTGCATAATGGCATGTCAGTTTTTATACTCTAGGTGTACGTAAATCATTTGCTATAATGGCATTGCTTTGTAAGGAAATGTCACCAAAGGAATCAACCCCCTCTAGCAGCAGTGAGAATAAGAGATGTATGTGTTTTGTCTGAGGCATGTGATTCATAATTAAAACTTGTCATCATCATCATTCGACAGTGCTTTGTGGTTGATTCTTGATTTCATTTCCCATACCATCTTTTTTGCAGAAGAAGCTCAGCTCACTCCTATTCTGCGTCTTGGAGCTGGAGCATGTGCCGGAATCATTGCCATGTCTGCCACTTATCCAATGGACATGGTGCGAGGAAGGCTAACAGTCCAGGTATTGTAAACAAAGTTGTTTTGGAGTTTTGGTTTATTTGGATTTGCTTCTAGAAGTGTTGTTTGTGAAAGATAAAGATGCTTCATTGAATCGCTTCCTCTGTCGGCATACCTTTTAATTCATTTTTCAATGACGTAGACAGAAGCATCTCCTCGTCAATACAGAGGAATTTACCATGCTCTTTCAACAGTCTTCAGGGAAGAAGGCGCTCGAGCTCTGTACAAAGGCTGGCTACCTTCAGTCATAGGAGTTGTAAGTAAACAACATTTGATTCTTGAAAACATTGGTATTGGGTGCTAACATCGGATTCTAGTGTTCTGCATGCAAACGAGCCTTTAAGTATCACGTTTTCTGCCTTTTGAGATATCCGATTTCATTTTTGCATGAAAATATTATGCTGTCTGACTGCAGATACCATATGTGGGTCTTAATTTTTCCGTATATGAGTCTCTCAAAGACTGGTTGATTCGATCTAAACCGTTTGGAATAGCTCAAGACTCTGAGCTAAGTGTGACCACAAGGCTTGCTTGTGGTGCTGCTGCTGGAACTGTTGGCCAAACTGTGGCTTATCCCCTTGATGTCATTCGCCGAAGAATGCAAATGGTGGGTTGGAAAGATGCTGCTCCAGTAGTCGCTAGTGAGGGGAAGAGCGTAGTTGAATATACTGGCATGGTTGATGCCTTCAGGAAAACTGTGCATCATGAAGGATTTGGAGCATTATACAAAGGCTTAGTTCCCAATTCAGTGAAGGTCAGTTAATCCATTGGTCCATGTGATAATAATGCTCCACGAACAGTAGAGTAGGATTAAATATTTTGAATGCATAACAACTGGCATGAACTTTGAAGTTTTAATACTCGATCCAATAAGAAACTGCAGTAACAAATTCTTTTCAGTGTTATGACAATAGTTATTAACCATAAAAAAAGAGGGAGTTTAATTTAAAGATTCAAATGCGTAATAAGTGAGCTTGTGCGGAAGAGGAGCATTTTGATTCCAATCCTCTGTTCATTTCAGGTGGTCCCTTCCATAGCTATTGCTTTTGTGACATACGAGATGGTCAAGGACATTCTTGGAGTAGAAATTAGAATATCCGACTGAAGAATCAGAAGGTAGCTTATTGTTTTACTTTCTGTAAATGAAATTTGAAGATTCAATTGTATAAAACTAGCACTATGTCCCGTCCATATCCATACATCATTTTTTCTGAACAAGATAATGAACATAGTTTTCGTTTATGCATTGTGACAAGCATTGTGCCTATCAGATCACATCGTAGATTTACGTTTACGTTATTGTCCAATAATGTGTTAATGTATCGTTAAAAAGGTTAAACTCTCTTAGTAGTAATTATAATAATCAATCTTTAGTTATTTAATAAAACATATGGTTGAAAAATAGTGTAAAAAATGTTACGTAAAAAACTTTTTTCGCTACATAACAAATTATGTACATGCGCATTTGAAGTTTAAAACAACCTTTAGGTTTTGTTTTGTTTTTATATTTTATTCCACTGGAAATTGTAAATATTCAATAGTTCATTTCTTTAAAACTAGACTTACAACTAAACTTCATTACACTCTAACATGCTACAAAAATTTAGCCCATATAAGTCAAATTTTGACGATGCAAATATAAAAAAAAAAACAAAAATTATTTATAGGCCTGGATGATTACTTTATTTTTAAAATGAATACTAAATTTTTAAAGGCTAGAATTATTCAAAAGCCTGAAATTAACGTAATTTTTAAATTTGAAATTATTGATTTTAATCCCTAATTAATAAGATAAATAACATATTTAATTAATCCTAAAAAAGTCAACAACATAATATCACAACACTAATGGACGCTACTTAAATTGTTCACTTATTTTTTTTATTCAACGTATAAGTATATATAAGTAGTTAAGAAGTCATAATATCAAGTTTTTTTAAATTTTGAGAGGGTAAAAGTAAAGAATATTTTTAATAAGACGACCAAAACAATCCGTTTTGACCTGACAGTATATTTGACTGTCTTATATTTTGAATGTCAACGGTCCAATAAGTTAATTATAGCATGGCAGAATTCTTATTAAAAGAAATATAATATGATTATATAAAAATAATTTATGCAAAAATTATAAGAGGGATAGATTTACAATCGTAAATAAATCTATAATTAAGTTAACTTATATATATATATATATATATATATATATATATATATATATATATTACTAAAAAAATATTGATTTTATTTAAAAAATAATAATAATTTTATAAAATAAGTTAATCCATAATTCTATCAGACTTAAGCCTATTTATACCTAAGGTTAAATAAACTTTTCACCTGTAAGGGAAAAATCAAGACTTATTGACGATAAAAACAATTCCATAATCAATTATAGGGTCTATTTTAAAACAAATTAATAAAATATAAATAATAAACAATTAAATTATATTATATTATTATAAAAACACTTGAAACGTGTGTATAGGGCACGGAAATGAGGGAGCGTAGAATCAATAAATATATTCCAAGTTCAAAATTTTATACAATTTTTCACTGATAACTTGAATGTTTTGCCATTAACCATCCCGAAGGCTTTTTTTGCTATAACATTTCCATTTTCTCTTCCAATCAAATAATACACCAAAAACCTATTTAAATATATAAGTTATAACTACTTTTCAAATTTAAATATGTACACCAAGTTAACTTTTGAGCGTAAGCCACGAATAAATGTTGAGTACAAACACTGATAAGCGAAACATGCACAAAAGTCAGTGAGCACAGGTTGAGACCTTTTTAAATCAGCCACATTATTTCAATCAAAGAATAAAATGCGCAAATTACATAAAATCGTGTAATGCAGAACCTGTGAGTGTGAGATCTGACAGGATGAAATAAATGAGTGGCCATATTCCTCCTTCTTCAAAGCAACAATAACAACTATTTTATCCCACTTCTTTAATCTCTTCTATTCTCTTACAGCTTACTGTTTCATTCCCCTTTCTTATTAATAATTATCGAGCCAAAATTCCAAGTTTTACAAAATAGACCATAAATATAACAAAAATATATAAATAAAAATAATTCAACTTTATAATTTAGTATTTTGTGTTAATAAATAGGTTTGAGAACATTTTAATCGCAACTAAGTTCCAATCACATCATTGAATGTTATTATTTGTATTATAAATTAAAGAACTCAATTGTGTATATAACATAACAACTAGAGAAGAAAATAGACAAGCCAAAACTTTGTAATAACTTCTCCAATCGAACGTAGGCATGTTGGAACATGATAATAAAAGGAATTTGTTCACCTGATTGGTGGCAGCAGCAGCTAGTAGGTAGAGTGTGGTTGGTTGTTGATGACACAACCTTGTACCTAGAAGTTAACAGATATTACATCCTCTTAGAAACCACACGTTTTAACAAAATGTGTGTTTTCTTTGCAATGCAAATACAATATAGACTAGGGAAGAGTTTACATGCAAATAGAAACTCATCCCGATAACCAACCCTTCTTTCTCTTTGACATTGAATCCTTTAGATAGACATAGCGATTGCGATGAAACTCAACCTGAAGACAAAGTTGCCTTATTGCTTCTCTCTTCTTCTCCGCAAGTCCTACCAACTCACCATCCTTCTCTATCACATTTCTTTCCAACTTTTCCACTTTCCTTTCAAGCTGTCTCACTGTTTTTATCAGATTCAGTTTCTCCCCTCCTTCTTTGCTCACCATTGCTTCTAACTTCCACAACGTCTCTCTCAACATCAACTCTTTCTCTTCCTTCTCACCCAAAATCACCTTAAGCTCATCCACCTTTTCTTTCAGCTCTTTCACTTCACTATTTCTTTCCCTTATCCAATCCTTCGCAAACTGAATTTCCCCCAGCATTTTAGACACAAGACCCGAGACACGCTCTCTCTGTTCCTCAAGCTTCCCTGCAGCCAAATCTAGTGCTTGTGCACTCAATTCCAACCCATTTATGTTAATCTCCATTGGTGCTGAAGGTGTGGTTGCCTTCACTCTTAGTTCGTCTTCATACCTAGCTATTCTGTTCTCTTCCTCGTATCTTTGCTTTGTCATTTTGTGACTTTCTTTGTTTTCACTATTCAGCTGTTCTGCCTCGTGGATTCTCTGTTGCAACAGATGAATGCTACCTTCCATTTGCATTCGGAACTCTTCTGCCAATTCTTCTTCCATTTTCCTTTCTGATAGTTGCTTACACAACTTCAACTTCTTGCACCCAATTTCGGCTTGTTTGTTTTCTGCACCTATTTGTTCAATGCCTTCTGTTAGCTTATTTATCGTTTCCTCCTGATCTACTACCCTGGTTTCGAACTTGTCATTCAGATTTTCCATCTTGGTTAGAATTTCTGAATATTCCTTTTGGTTTCGTTCGTTTGGTAACTCTACCATGCTTTGCTGATCCAACTCCAATGTCAGTTTTTCAACTAGAGTTTTTAAAGCCTCAGCATGTATGGAAGCTCTTTCTTTATAACTCTCACGTTCCCTCAAAAGTTGAGATATCTCTTCCCCTGTCCGTGCCAATTCTCTTTCTAGCTCGATGTTTCTATCCTCCAAATCGCGCTGTTTGCTGCGTCGAGATTCCACTTCCAGTTCCAGGTCCTTTATCCTTGCAAGAAAATACTCCTCTTTTTCCGTATTCTTTTCAGCCAAATCCTCCCCAAGATTTTCTATCCGAATCAAGCATTGCGAAACTTCTACTCTTTTTCTTTCCAAATGAACTTCCAACTCTTGGTTATGATTGCTTACGGATTCTAACATTTGTTGCATGGCATTAATCTGGTCAGTCAAGTCCTTCCTCTGGCTCAATGCTTCGTTTCTGTTACGTCTAATCTTCTCTTCCATTTTGCCTTTCTGCGTCCGAAGAGCCTTTGCCTCTTGTTCGAGCTTGTGTATCCGTGCCATCAATTCAGAAATTTCGTACACTGCATGACCCTCGTTGGTTTTGAGTTTTGCTTGTAGCACAGACACTGTTCGTTTGCTCTCTTTCATTAACAGTTCAAGTTCCACGACTCGTTTCTGCAACTCAACGTTCTTTGAACATAACAGTTGTTTAACTTCACGTGCTTGGCTTTCAAATTGAAGTTCTAGATTCCTTTTCAACTGCTCCTCAAATTCGTTTGATTCTTGAGTCCTGAGAAGTACTTCGAGGTTAGAACGTTCCCTTTCTACGGTGAAAGGTTTTTGGTTTGAATCGTTGATGTCTGAAGCATCCACTTCCTCTGAGGAAAAGTACTCAGAATCCGAGCTAGAGGAAGACACTGAGGACGTCCTATCCACTACGCAGGGACCCGATTTTATGTACTCTCCAGTGAAACGACCATACAGCGAGTACAGTGACTGGCACTGGTTGTAGAAGTCCTTTATTAGCGCCACAACCTCTTTCTCTTTCTTGGAGTTCCCATCTTTTTTATTTTGCTCTTCATTTTTAATGAGTTTTGAGATTCTGGTGAGGTTGGTTTCCATATCTGTCAAGAATATGAAAGATGAATAAATATTCAAAAGTAGTTGATGAAAGGTGACATTGCAAAGTAGGATTGAAAAAGTCCATGTTATTATTAATCATAAAATTTTTTAATTCTCAGTTCTTTATTAATAATTGATTTCATAGTCTTCAAAAAATTAACTAATATTGATGAAGAATATACTGAAAAATATGTTACTAGCAACAATAAAACTTAAATACAATTCTGAAAGTATTTTTGGTATTATTCTTTTATCAGAATTTGAATTTCCTTATGATAATCTGCATTTTCATTTAACAGAAATCTTTACTATGCAGATTATGAAAATAAAACTCTTATTTTGATTAGAAAAAGATACAACAAAAACAAGTGTCCATGATCTGCACCTGTTTTGGTTCTCTTGAGTTCTTCGGATTTTTGAGGATCAATTCGACTCCCAAAGGACTTGGATAATCCCCATAAGCGGTGCTTGACCATCCTTTTATTTGGGGACATTCCAACAGATTAAATTTAGAAGGAAATTTCTTGCAAGGAAATCTTCATTTCCTCAGCAAATGAATAGGAATCCTGAGACTGAAAAGTGAATAAAGACATCACAAATTAAGAGGTGATTCCAAATGTTTATGTATGCATATGGCACTAAATGCACTCTACTGCTGCTGGATGAACTTGTGTTGTTCTCTTCATATATAAACTAGATGCAAATAAATGTACAAACACGATAGCTGTATCATTATAAGTTTTAGTAATTTAGAAACGGAGAGAGTGTTTTCCAATTTAAGACAAGAAAGAACAATTAAAGTGGCTAACTAGCTATTCATTAATAGGAAATAGACCATGGTCAACAGAAAATTAGCAACAGTAGCAGTTATTGATTGCAACATTTAAAGTTTGATGTGGCAAGAAAAAGGGACAAATTAAGACTCCAATATCCCTCAACATGCTTGGAAAAACAAGAAAACATTTCTTCTTGCGTTAAGAATGATAAAACAACTCAATCGCTGAAAAGTTTATCATATCAATGTCCAGAAAGAAAGATGACCTAACAAATTTTGATGTTCAACAATTTATACACTCAGTAATTATTGTTATGTTTACACAAATTTTATACACCTTAGGCTAACACAGTTGACAGTACCCGTTTAATATACATTAATCATAATATTTAGGCAAGAAGAAAGAAAAGAAATTGTAAGAGCAAGAGAAACTTGTTTCCCAGAAGCTTGAAGAAATAAGTTTAGTTTTATGGAGCAGTTTAGATCTGCTCAAAAACATAATTCCATTCATGTTTAAAAGAAAGTGCATTGAAAGAAGAATATGTTTAATTTAAAATGACTGATTTAGTTGAAATCCAATGTGTTCTTGAGTTTGTCATTGTTTTTTCAAACCTTTTGTAGGTAAAGAGCATGTTCAAGCATAAAGGTGGAGATGAATCCAGAGAAGGTATCGTGGAGGAAGAACAACATCAATAGAACACAACAATCGAATCCAGAAGATACAGGTATGAGTTCTATATACATGGATTGAAGATGAATACACAAACGTAGATCCACAAAATTAAGTCGCAATGTACCAGAAAACACAAGTAACGAAGTCTCCATACGTTTATAATTTTCTTTTTAATTTACAATCAATCATATCCATCCTCAAATATAATGTTACTGTTTCTGATCAGCTTTTAGAATGAAGGAAATCATGATAAAATTCAATTATTTCATGAAATCGTTATTTTCATAATCCAATGCACTAAATGTTCTCTCAGAGCATTAATGCATTAATTATTCCAGGTTCAAATTACAAATCTGAGAAAAAGTGTTAGCGGAAAAAGATAACATGAAGTTCTTAAAAAAATGTTAATGGAACATAAAAGATGAAAAAGGTTACCTGGGAATGGAACTCGACTTCACCAATCCGATTGGATTAAGAAATATATTGAAAAGAAAAAGGCAAAATAGTTCTATAACCATAAATAAATTCAATGGCATTGGGAATAATATAAAAAAAAAAAGAAAAAAAAGTGAAAGAATGTCTAATAATAAACTTTCCTATTCATCTTGTTATTATACAGGGAAAATGTGGGAATATTATAAAATATTATCATTATCATTATAATTATTATTAATCTCAATATTTTTAAAATTAAATCGGTTAAGATAGTGGTTAAAAATTTAAAGATTGAATTGAAATTTAATCGAAATCCAAATAAATTTAATAAAATAATATTTTTATAATATAATAAATTTATTAATAATAACAGTTTTTATAAAAATAATAATAATAAAGATTACTATTATCATTATTATAAATTAATATTTATTAAAATAAGATAAAAATATGATAAAATAATTATTATTTAAAGTTAATATAATTAATATAAAAATTAAAATAAAATAAAAAAACTAAAATATATTATATCTTTTATAAAAAAATTATATAAAATCTTGATTTTTAAATTCTTTTAACAAAATCATTTTATCCAAAATTCACTATATTTCTCCAATTTTATATTAATTTTTTCAGGTTTTGTTATGATTTAATAAAAATTTGTTTATTTAAAAATAACAGATTAATTTCTATATCGATTATCAGTTAGACCGATTGAACAGACAGGTCCAAGGTGGTTAATATTTATTATCATCTTATACAACATTATTATAATTTTATTTGAGTACAAACAACATGGAATCTTCTAATTTTCAATAAAAAGAATCATCAGTGCCTTTCTCTACACGTTGAAGTAAATATCTTTGTATTTTCCTTCTATAAAAAAATTACATGAAAGTAAAATCAGTGTATCATCATCCTACAAATTAACAGGGGTGATTAAAAAAAGGTTAGTAAAATATTCTTTCAGCTTATCAAAACCAAAGAAAAAGAAAATAAATAAAATGATCGATAAATAATATAAATGTACAAAGTTATAACATAACAAAATATATAAGAGATTAATATATATATATATATATATATATATATATATAAAAGATAAAAAAACATGTTTTATTAATAAAGTAGAGTTATAAATTTACTGAATTATAAGATAAAAATAATATACAAAACATTGTAATAAAAAAAAAATACAAGGTAAAGAAAATAACATAAAAGATTATCAAACAACTTCTTTTCTATTCAGTCATAGGAGATTATACTTGTGAGCAGGTAATCTTTTATTAAAATTGATAATAAAGATAGGTAAAATAAATCTATATATATATATATATATATATATATATATATATATAATTAGTTATTAAATATGTTATTTTATCAAATTTTATTTGGCAGATAAGATGTTATCCTATGTTAAAAAAGAAAATTTATTCTAAATATTATGAGATTTTATTTCCATAACACAAGAAAGACATTCTGTATTTTAGTAGACATACAGTTAAATTAGCATTTTAAAAATATATATCATGAAGATTTTGTATAAAATTTTATTTATATATAATTATTAGAAAAAAATATATTGACATTCATCTTTTTATAAATATATAAATGATAATTTTAAAATATTAATATTTTGATTGATTGATAGAAAAAAATATATCAATCAAAATAAATAAAGAAATAATAATATAATTTTTTTTATATGGATGAATGAATAATAATACCAGTTATTAGAGAAATTTATTTTTCTATTGTCTGCTGTTATCTGTAAATCAATTATCGGCTACCACCACGTAAACAAGTATTAGAAGTTAAGACATTTAAATAATATTAATAATTTTCTTAATTAATTGAAATAATTTTAACAGATCCAGAAATCCAATATATCGATAGGCGTAATTGATTTGCTTCCTAAATTCAAAATTGAGGAGCAACTTGGAATAATCACTATTTCAAACAGGTTTTTCAACATTTTTCTAATAAATAATCATTGACCCTTTTTTATATATTTTTTTTCATACACAATTTAAGACCTTTTATAATCCTGGTTGCGACACATGTTCCTTAGTGCATTTCTCAGCCACAAACATTCTAAGCTCATGGTTGAATTAGCTGTAGAAGCTACTGTTTTTGAGATGTTTATTTCTACATCTAATAAAAATTTCGTTAAAATGAAAGGGAATAGTCCAAGAATTGTGACGTCCTGTATTTGCTAGTTACACGAGTTAAATATTCCCCAATATATACACACTAAAAATATAACGACTACAAGGTATTGTTAATCATCGGAAGACAATTTTTGCTTTTTCCATTTGTAAGCAGCTTCCAAGATCTTGAGATTAGTTGTCTGGCTTTCCTCAGGGAACAAAAAGTCGATGAATTCTTCAATTCTGCAAAAATTAAATTAACAGGAATGATGTAGGCAAAAGATGTCATAGTCATACAATTAACAATGCTTGGACAACTTGTCAACGTGGAAGATGCTGAAAGCTCAAGTGAACCTTCAAATATGCGACATGCAGAAAATAAATCCCCTGAATAGCTTTCACCACGAACAATATGAAACCATATGAACTAACCCTTGGGAACAACTGAAAACATAAACCTGAGTTAGTTACATACCTAGTAGAACCATCTTCAGTGGCAACATGCCTTCTCTTCTTGAGCTTCTTGGGCAGCTTAGACTGGACTAAGCTAACATCACCCAGCTGTCCAAATGTAGTCTCCATGTTGAGCCATTTTTCCAATAGCATTGCCCTTTCTTCTTTCAAATCTGGAGCTGATGACCTGAAGTAGTTGAGAGCTTTTTCAAACACCCCTGTTGCAGGCACAAACAATATAAAGAGATTCAGAAAATTATCCCACTTATGTTCAAACTGAAAACAATTAACAGCATAAGAGCCATATAGCACTGGGATCACATACTTCTAGCACGCTCAATGCATTGCTTCTTTTGTTCATGTTCCGCTAAGTCTACACTGTCGGTATCCATAGCTGTTGCCTCAAATTCCGCATAGCTTATCCATACTTTCAAGTGCTTTGTTCGGTCAAGAAGCCTTTCATAAAGTGCTCTTGCTCTCTCAAATTCACCCTCATCAGTTTCAAAGTCGACGAATGCCTGCTTTGTATCAACAAATTCATGGTTACATTATGATCAATATGAATATATTATCAAGGTATGCAGTATAAGACAACAATAAAAGTCAAAGAAGTAATGATGAAAAAAGAGGCTGTCACACCCGGTCATAACCATATATATATATATATACACACACACACATGAGAGTTGCTAACATACACGCACTCAACTTCTTCAGTTCAACGAAAATACAAATTTTCCTCTTTAAAATCAGCTTAAAGTAATGAGCATTTAAGAGATTAAAATTAAGTTCTTTTGAATGTAAAGCACTTTCCATCCCCTCTGTTCTATCTGCTACATCATACAACTCGCAAGCTTGCAATCTCGCCTTTCATTGTGGCCCTACCAGCAAATAATGTTCAAAATTAAACCTCCATCAACCTGACCTAATCATACCACCCCAAAATGTGAATGCTACCCAAACTTCCACTAAACTAACAGTTGTGGACACCAATCGAGGTTACAATGAAGTTGTCACATCTCACTAGACCACTTTATGTGATCATGAACGGAAAGGAATTGCTTCAAGAAGTTCTCAGAGGGAGATTAACTAGAAGTAAAGATAGCAAGCATTTGAATGAAATAGAAAAAAAAAATCATGTAATAAATCCCTCTCTGGACATAAGGATAGCCTGTAGTGTGTTTGACTAGTCCTTTAATAGTTTAGCTTGTAGCTTTGTTTAGACACCAAGGTGGGAAAGAGTGTTTGGACACTCCTTCCCTCCAGCTAGCCTTTATGAAAGAAAGCACAGTTGTATATTAGCCACAACTTTGGGAGTGAATGCATTAATTTGAAGTGGTGAGGGTGCTTCTGAGGGGTGTGAACACTTCTCTCTAAAGAATTCTTATATTGAGGGAGAACTCAAGTGGGAATCTCCTTTATTGCATACCTCAGAGCGAGTGGCACAAGAGGAAAATTTCCTCTCTATAGTTCTCGTGTCATGTTCTTGATAGTTTCCAAGTGTTGGAAGTCCCACATCACCTGCCTCAGGTCATTTAGTATGGTTTAAATACATGTTAGACTACTCCATATATTACCAATTAGTTTTATGTTAGAATTTTAACATGATATTAGAGCCAAAGCCTAACAACATCTTTTCGATTATTGTCTTGGACCAAGAATTGTCCTTTCGTTGTGAATCAAAAGTACTCTTTGCCCCATGAGACTTCATTGGAGAGGGAGTGTTGGAAGTCTCATATCGCCTACCTCACGTCATTTGATATGGTTTAAATACATGTTAGGCTACTCCACATATTACCAATTGGTTTAATGCTGAAATCTTAACAAGAAAAGCTATCATTCCAAATTTAAATTTATTCTCCTAGACTCTTCCTTCCAAACTCTAACTCTTTCCATTGTACATTTCTTCTACTTTCCTCCTTGGTTCTTCTTGGCCATGAGTTACACCATACCTTGGCAACCCACACACCTCACAACCACCACCCATGACATCCACCATAACCTTCACTACCCAAGGGTGACCAAACCCACAAAAATAACCTTACAAGAAACAGCCATAAACCACCTTCAAACACCACCCAAACCTACCACCACTTCTATCCAAGTTGCCACCCATAAGTAGAAACAGTACTTCTTTAGGTAATTTGCCTATTTTTCACTAAACTTTACAAGTCAAGGCATCATACAATAATAAAACAGAAAATAATGTGCATATACATAGCTAATGTATACTCAGCTAAAATTATAACTCTGTTAGAACTTAGAACGCAGTATTATATTCATTGAATGCCCTCAAATGTAGAATCAATTAGGTCATGTGTGTATATGCACGCATTGTATATCTTTAATATACACACAGAAACATTTTCTTCTGTCACCATTGTTGCGCTGCATAGGCCCTGTTTTATGTTCCTCTTTCTTTTTGTTCCCTTTTACTAATCATTTACAGTTTTGGAAAGTCAAGGCTTCAATGTTTTTTTTTTCTTATTACCTACTTTTCCAATTGTTTTAATATAAGGCTCCTAAAAGTGATATTTGTATTAGATTTAAGTAAAAAGCTGCCCACCTATTTCCATAATTTCCATTTCCATCCAACCCCAAAATTTAAATGAATTCTGTGATGCATCAAGAACGACCCCAAACAATTAAATGTGAGTGTGTCCAGCCATTTTCTTGAACAAAAAATAAATTGTGTACCTTCCACAATAGCTCAGGCATGTCCAATGCTGGTTGGGCAATTGCAAGCTCAAAAATTCCTCGGGCTCGTTCAGTCTCAGATAACGATCTCTCCAACTCAGCATACTTGCTCCAAGCATAACAATTTTCTGGAGACCACTCCAGATATTTTTCATACAGTTTTCTGCACCGGTCTATGTTACCAAGCTGCAGTTCTATCTCTATATACTTTTTAAAAATCTGTTGCCAATGCATAATGATGTGTGAAAATTTTGCCAGGTTGCAATCAAAAGCAGTTATATTTGCATCTACACATATAGTACCTTATCTTTAGGAGCCTTTCCAATGGCATTTCCTAATATTTGACGAGCAGCTTTGAGATTCAGCTGACGTATTTCAAACTGAGCTGCTAGAAGCCATATTTTTGCAAACGAGAACTTGTGGTGAGGTATCTGGTTGAGGCATTCCCTAAAGAATGAAAGTAACGAAGAACATCAGTATGGCCAATACTCAACGGCAGTACAGTAAATCTATGATGCTATTGCTACATGAAATTGTCCTTTAAGCGATTTAGTAAAAACAGGTAATAAACACAAGATTCTTCTAGAAATTGAATCAAATGTGATAGCAGAATCCAGTAGAAAGAAGTATTGCATAAGCATATATCTAGTAGTCACAGAAAATTCTAGAGTCCTAATTATTTCTGTATTCTTTCTATGTGCTCCACTGTTTTAACCGGTTTACTTTTGATACATTTGTCAACACAATTGTTATTGAGTCTGTTCTAACAAACTAATTTCTGATGCTTGTACACGATATGGTTGCTTTGGAGGAGACATTCCATAGTAAATTAAAACAATAAAACATCCATTAAATAATGGATCACTTACATATGTTTTGTACATGGGCATGCAAAGGAAACATCTTCAAACTATGATTACTGAATTACTGTCCCTTTTGATTTTAAGCAGTTACTAAGGACCTCTATTCATTTTATCTACTCTATTCTTTGCTGTGAAAGGGGAGGGAATCATGATAATCATTTAACATTTTTTAGAAGTTATATTTCAACAACAGTCTTTCAACTTAATGCAGATGAGTTCATATAGCTTCGTCCAGTAGTTTAACACACTGAGCATTAGTGTCCAATTAACATACATACACGCAACTTTTCAAGCATATGAACATCTTCGTATTGAGTACTCATCCAAACAATACAATACTAAGGATAATGACTTACATAATTTGAACTGTTGGGAGGTAATTATTCATAAATAATGGTTGATACATAGAAGATTAATGAAATATGGAAATTCATGGCATTTCATAAACAGATTCATACCTATATACATCCCTCGTTCGCTCCGCATCCCCAGCATCGAGCTCTTCATAGAGTGCATAATTAATCCTAAATTGCACATACACGATTAACAAACATCATGAAAAAATGTCAAAACAGTGAATAAACAATAAGACATGAAAAATGAAATTCAAACCAAACATACCACAAATATATATAACGCTGCCAGTAGCGCTTCTCCTCGGCCGGGGGAACATTGGCTATAGCTCTTTCATAAACCTCCCTGATCCTTTCCTTATCCCCAACACTTTCCTCCAACCTTATGTAATCAAACCAGGAATCATAATTCAACGGATTCTTCTTCACTTCATCCTCATACTGAAACCTTCTCTTCCCAACGATGGCATCCTCGATCCCTTCCCTATCTCCATACTGCTTCTCAAATGCCACAAACTTTCTATACAAATCTTCCGCCCTTCCCTTGGGAATATGATCAAGAGCAAACTTATAGATAGCTCTTGCACGCTCAGTCTCCTTACACCTTTCCTCAAACTCAGCAAAAGCAACAAATAACTGCTCTGCTTCCTCATCATCAGAGAGCTTATCCACGGCTCTCTCGTATACGCTCCTAGCCTTCCCAACCTCGCCATTCTTCATCTCAAACTTTGCATAGCGTATCCAAGCCCCAACCCTAGGGTGGCAGTCCACAAACCGCTCGAAAATCCCTCTGGCGCGCTCAATTTCACTGTATCTAAGTTCAAACTTTATGTAGGACAGCCATCCCTGCTGGTCCGGCGTCCACTTCATCCACCTCTCAAATACCTGCCTCGCGCCGGCGACATTGCCGAGCATTTCCTCCATGTGGATGTACTTATACCACAATTGATCAACCCTCGGAAGAAGAGTGACAGCACGGTCCCACACGTTGCGTGCGTGGTTTACGAACTTATTCTTCATCTCGACCTCTGCGTACTTGAGCCAGAGGGTGTGGTTCTTGTAATCCACCTCCAGCGCTCTCTCCCAAACGGAACGCGCGCGTTTGAAATCCTTCTGCGATTCCTCCCACTGCGCGTACTTGATCCACACGCCAATGTTCCATCGAACGCGGCGGATAAGGTCCTCGAACTCCTTGCGCTTGCGGAGACGGTACTCGCCGAGCTCCGTGGAGTCGGTGATTTTCTGCTTGGGAGGGCGGATCTCCGCTTCTTGACGCTCCCGAGCCTCCCGGAGAATTTGCTCGGCGGTGATTTGGATTGGAGCAGGGGTTTTGTTCTTGACCCTGGTTGGACGCGGAAGCTTCACCTCCGTGTCCTTCCGCGTGAGATAACCCAGGGTTGGGTCCGCCTCCTTCGACGAAGACATCGTAGCAGATTATTGCACCCTGTCTGTAAACCCTAACCAGACGGGGAAGAAACTCTTGCGATTTTCCAGTTTTTGATTTGCCCGCTGTCTGATTAAACAACTTTAGCGTTTATTACAGAACGATTCGCATAAATAATATATCGTAAAAGAAAAATTACTCCTCAATCAATTTATTTATGAAATTAATCCTATTTATTATTATTATTATTATATATATATATATATATATATATATATATTCTCTTTTTTTTCTTTTTTTTCCCTCATTTTTTTATTTCTTTTTTTTCTCACACTTATTCTTCTAATTAAATTATTATATTAAAATTTAATAAATTTAAATAAATATTTTAAAATCAATCTTAAAATTAGAAAATATTTATTAATTATTTAAAATTATAATAACAATAAATAAATTTTATTTATTATAACAATAAAAAAATTTATTTATAATTACATAAATAATAAATTTAAAATTATTTTATTATAATAAAAAAATATTCATCTAATTAAAAATTATCAAATATTTATAATAAAATATATTTTTATTTAATAATTTAATTAAATTATAATTAAATTAAGTTATGATAATAAACTAAATTAGATAATTTTTTAAAAATTTTTATTAAAAATTAGTTTAAAATAAATATTTAATTTTTTCATAATAATTATAACATAATTTTGTAATATCTTAAATTTAACATATATTAAATTTTTTAAATTAAGTTATAACATTTTCTAGTCATTTAAAAAAAATTATTTTTATAAATAATAAAATACTCGTTTTATTAAATTTAAAATTATTATTTTTAATTAAAAAATAAATTAAAGTAAAAATTAAAAAAATACATATTAATTGAAGATAAAAAAATAATAAAAAATTAAAAATAGATAAAAATAATTTTATTACGTCTGGTTAATTTATTTTATTTTTTTGATATATAAATAATAAATTGATCTAATGGATAAATAAACTTATTAAAATATTCTTTTAATATATTAATTATGAATTTGATTTGATTATATTATTTAAGTTTATTTTATATATTCTGTGATGAACTTAAGATTATTTTTTTTATAAGATTCCAAGATAAATCTTATCTTTATTTATTCTAAAAAAAAAGTGTATATTATCTTCACTTTTTCTCATAAAAAAAATTAAAATGTAATTTAATATATTTGAGATTAAGCATAATTATTTTTTTAATTAATAAATGAATTTTGTATCTCAATCACTCGCTTTGATGTAATATTTGGTGATATCATTTTAAACGTGGAATAAATTATGTGTTGCTAAAAAATGTAAGTGTTTGTAATAATATTTTTAAAAATTAAAAGGTTTATAGTGAAAATATTTTTCAAAAAAATTATGTATATGAAAAAATCTCTCAATGTTTACAAAATGATTATTGCATGCACACAAAGAAAAATATAATAATTAATTTTTAATTAGTATTTAATAAACCAATAAGTTCTCAATATTTATTAAACATGCTCAAACCCCTTTTTATTACTATTTTTATTCTTTCTATATTAGTTTTTTTAGTTTAATAGGAACATAATTGATAATGTTTCCATGGATTTGGATATGCTCCACTTCATACACATAAAGAAAAGTAAAAATGATTTTTCAATTTTCAAATTTGATCTTGAGAAAATCTATGACAACTCTCTGTGGTATTTTTTTTAAGATAGGATGAAAAAAAAAAATTTCTTTAAAGAAAGGATAAAGGAAAATCACGAGGAAGGTTTCTTATTATCAAGTAGCATGTAAGAAAGTTTTATATAGAGTTTCCTAATTATAAAAAAAAAATCAGCTTAGAATAAAAAAAAAGTAACAATTTTCTAATAAGCAAGAATCCAACAAATAAAATATACAACCCAAAATTAAAAACAGTGACAACCAGGACAACTTTAAAAACATTAGAAGTAGGTTTTAAACCATATGAAAACACAAAATGGAAACCCAAATAATGATTGCATAAATTTCTCCAATTTTTTGGATGTGATAATTACATTAAAAAATCATTTGTACGATGCTTTTATCATGTCATTTTAAATTCTTTAAATACAAAATTACATAATTTACTTTAACCTTTTATAAATAATTTCAATTGAAATTATTTTTAAAAAATTAAAATAATATTTTTCTTTTGATAATATTCTAACTATATTTTTTTATAATTTTCATAAAATTTTATGTTTTTAGTTTTTAAATTTAACGATGATTAATTATATTTATTTGTATATTTATAATTTAGTTTTTTTAATTTTTAATATATTTACTTATTATTTATTAATAATATATTATTTTATCAAAAATCAATAATATTGAAAAGACTAAATTAGCTTTGATAGTGGTACTGTTGTTTGTATTCAGCGCATTTACATTATTTTATATAAAAGTTATAATTTTTATTTTCTTCGCCTGTTCTTTCCAATTTTCATTTTTTAAACGAAGCAAATTAAAAGATCAAACAAATTATAGAAGTTAATCTGCTTTAAATGCAAAATTAACACAAATTTCAGAACCTTGAACATTTGAAGTTCTAATTTAACATTCAATCAAGTGAACCAACAAGATTTGGACATGAATTTTGGTACTGGGATGGTGCATTGCTTTCCGTACAATGGCGTCACCGGTTGTAAGAACCCTTGCAAACATGTTGTTGACAGGGACAGAAAAATTGGAACCCGAACGCAGAAAATATCACAGATTAGTGGACAACGATGATCGCCTCCTGTTTTGCGTCAGTAGCACTCCAAAGTGAATGTATGTACGTGGAGCATCCATTGCCATTTGTCGTTTTTTCTAAAAGGGGACATAAGATCAAGATGTGAATTCGATTTGATATTTTTATGTTAATTTTGTTTATACAAATAAATTTATCAAATCAAATCAACACAAACAAAATTATTGATAAAAGAAGTGTTTAACATATTATTAAGAAAAAAATCACACCAAAAGAAATACCCGTAAAAAATGGAAAATTAGAAATAGAATTTATTTCAATTATAAATTAAGATAGTAACACTTTTTGTATTATTATCAAATAATATTACAAGTTTATTTTACACCGTTAGTATATAAAATATTAATTTACATAACATTAAAAAATTGATTATGACATATTGTCTATATATATTTTTTAACATTCTTATTCAATGATGAATTGTCATACATATTAATATTTAGAGTGATTCTAATTGATTGAAAAAAAAATGTTTACAATGATAGAATCAATCTAAACTTATATAGGAAAGGATTCTTAAAATTTATTGTAAACCGTTACAAGCATTCAAAGTTTATTATTAAAAGTAACACAAAAATATTATATTATTTATTATAAAGTGTAATTGTATAGATTTTTTTTTTCAATAAATTACGTTTTTTCTATAAAAGACGTGACATTGGAATCATTAGGGAATAGAAAATAAAAATTGATGATTTTCTTTCTATTTATTTGCGAGATACCACGTCGTCCAGATGATATAAAAAAAAGGAAAAATAAATAAATTCAAACCAAAATCTTTGATTACATGTATTTTACACTTAGAAAGAAAATAAATTATAAAGGCGGTGTTTATTTATAAAATACTAGATTATTTTTTTATTTTATTTTAAAGACTCATAATGTTATTCTAACTTTTAAATATTCTTATTATTTATTAAGAAAATTTTGAAATAAGAAACATTTTTTTAGAATTAAAGTAAAATCTAAAATACTTTTCAAGAACCAAATAAAATTCTTCAACTTTATGAATTAATAATATGTAAAAATAATCTAAATAAGTTTTTTTTGGGAACAATCAATCAAAAAATTACAATTTTGTTGTTTATACTTATTTTATTATAATTTAAATTTAAAATCATAACGACCAAATTATCAGTATAATTTTGACTTTAAATACTTCATATCAAATTTAATAAAAAATTTCAAAATTATTAATTAAAATATATTAAGTTTTAACTATGGAAATTAATAATAGTAACTCGAAATATAGTCGGGTCGGGTCGGTGGATTCAATAGTAAAGGCACCGTTATCTTAAATTCATTCTTTCTTTCATCGTTCATGATTCTATTGCCATTAGCCAATACTACTGAGTCTCTATTGTCAGAACAGAACTTCCACCTTTATTTCCTTCTTCTTTCTCTCCACAGTTTGGTACCACCGACTTTACCTCTCACCACAGAATCCCCTCTATGTAAGTCGTCTTCTCTGCCACTGCCTTAGCTTCCACCTAACTTTTCTTTTCTCGCGTTTTTTTCTGCTCCTCAGTTTAATTCCATTACTTATATGCTTATCTCTTTCACCTTCCTCATTTTTTATGTGTTTAATTTATTTATTATGCTTTTTATTTTCTGTAATTAAAATGGGATTGTAGGTTATAATTATGTCCATTGTTCTCTTTATTTATTGGAATTTCACTTTCCGAATCTGCAAATTGCACAGCATTTTTTTTTTTCCTTTTTATATTCTATTTGTAACGCTAAATGGTAATTATTGAATATTTAATTAACGCGTTTTTTAAATTTATTTGGCAGATTGGTCGATGTTGCTTACGAGCAGTTTTTGTTTATGTTTTGATTGATGAATTTGCTACTGTGGATATGTGATCATTGAAGTTAAAACGACAGCATGGATGAAGAATTGGTCGATGAGGCAACCCAATTGGAGATTGCTGAGGATTCACAGCGCCAAAACAAAGATTCACCGCACACGGAATGCCGAAAAATCTTAAAATCCCAAGAAGCCTTTATCCCTGTTAAGCAGGACTACTCGCAGATACCACCTCGGGAATATGATGGCATTCTACATGGTAAAAGTGTAGTTGAAGGTATTGACCATGCAGATACATCACAGCATCCTCGTGAAAGCCGTTTTATGGATGATGCTGATGCTATGGTTGAAGAATTAACAGTAAAAAGCTACAATGGCTCAAGCTTGGATATTGGTACATCAAACAACCGAGGGCAAATGTATAATCGGCAGAACCATTGGCAGAATCTTTATCAGGTAGCAAGTAATTCAGGAATTGGAAATTCACTGAGTGATATTGGAACCAGAAACAGTGTCCAGGCCACTTCTAGTGCTCGGGAAGATATTGGATCCTCATCTTTCCCGGAGATGCTAGCCAGAAAATCTCTCAGTGATGGCCAGAGCAATGTGATGGAACACTTGGCAGCTGCTGAAAATAAAGAGGGTGCAGGTGATGTTCGTCAAGGAATACGGACAAAAATTATATCCCAATCAGGATTTGCTGAGTTTTTCATAAAAAATACACTGAAGGGTAAGGGTATTGTATATAAAGGTCCGACTTATGATGCCTTCTGTGCTCAGTCTAGAGAGCAAAACCGGATGAAGACTGACATTGATACACAACAGAATCAAATGAGGACCAGCATTAGCACAGAACAGAATCAGATGAAGACCAGCATTAGCACTGATCAGAATCAAACAAGGACCAGCATTGTCACAGATCAGAATCAGATGAAGACTGGCATTGTCACAGATCAGAATCAGATAAAGAATGGGATTGGCACTGATCAGAAACAGATGAAAACTGGTACGGTTACTCACTTGAACTCTAATCAATCTGTGGGCTATGGTTCCAAAACTGCAAAGTTTTCTTCCTATTGTGGTGCTATGCCTAGATCTGGCAGGTCTGAATGTAATGGTGTGACTTTGAGAGAATGGTTGAAACATGGGCACCACAAAACTAGCAAAGTGGAAAGTTTGAATATATTCAGGAAGGTTGTGGATTTGGTGGATAATTCTCACTCCCAGGGAGTTGCATTGCATAACCTATGTCCATCTTATATTAAATTGACGCCATCAAACCAGGTCATGTACCTTGGTTTACCTGTTCAAAAACAAATGGTGGATAATACCGTAACTTCTGAAGTTGTCCATGTAGATAATCCTGTTATTAGAAAAAGGCTGTCAGAGCAAGTAACATTTCCTTCTCGTGATATGGGGTCAAAGAAGCAAAGACTTAATGAGACTTTGAGAGTTACTGGTGGTGACTTGTGTCTTGAAACTGCAAGTGATAGGAAACTTCATAGCGGATCGCAAGATTTTTACAATGAATATGAAGAAGATACCAAATTTTCTAAATATAATATTGGAAGAATATCTAGCATCCCTCATGTATCTAATGCTGGTAAAATGCCATTGGCTTCATGTGAAAACTTGGAAAATAAATGGTACACAAGTCCTGAGGGAGGTTATGCAACATCATCAAATATCTACTGTCTTGGTGTCCTCCTTTTTGAGGTGTGTAGACAAGTTATGATGCCTCTATTTTATGATGCCGTTTCATGTATTCTGTTGTAATGTTTATTCCTCAAATTGACACATGTTTCTGTTTACGAGCTTGTGGAGTACACACTGAAAGAAACTTTTGTCTGTATGCATCAGGCTCAATACGGCTTTCTAGCATTAGTATCTGTTTGGAACTTATTAGTTTTTCCTTTGTTTTTTCACTATACTGATATCTTCTTAGCAAGGCTCAAACCCAGATATGAAGTACATTTCTTAGCAAAGTGGCTGCCTAAATTCAGGCTGAATAAAAAACTAGTGTGGGAGTTTAGTGAAATTCTTTCCAGACACTAAAATTAAATCATTGGTATATTTGGAAGCAATTTGATGCATAGCAAGTTCGGCCGCTGATTTTACTTGGGTCAATTTTTCAGTTACTTGGTCATTTTGACTCTGAAAGAACACATATTGCAGCAATGTCTGATCTTCGTCATAGGATTCTCCCTCCAATTTTCCTATCAGAAAATCCTAAGGAAGCTGGCTTTTGTCTTTGGTTACTGCATCCTGAACCGTCATCACGTCCAACAACGAGGTAGTCTTGAAACATTGTCGATCATAGTTAATATCAGAGTTAATTCAATAATTATATATATCCCACTTTATTTTCACTGTTTTTGGATAAATGTTGTAGATATGGAAGAATGTATATTATATAATGATATCATGGCATGCTCTTTATGTTGTTGATCAAAGCAATATTATGCATAACATTTGTCATTATTAGGCTTATGAATTATCTCTCATTGATTATGTGTGTTATCAATATGGCTATCAAAACGGGTGTCTTGGTCTTACAAGCCAAAAAAAATTTTGATAGCCCATCCTGGCCTATTTTTTAAAATGGATAATAATTTTTTGTCTAACCTGGTCTTATGTTATATCAATGGGTTAATAAGTCAATTTTCGTATGATAAAAAAAAATGATATGTTTATATATAAATATTTTGTAAGTCAACCTATAAGTGTACATGTTGACCTGATCTGACCTAGCCTAAGTTCATGTAGGCCACATGTTAAACAGATTGACTTGATTCAATTTATGTCACAATTTTTTTTTACTTGATTGACTTATTTCTCGGTCGACCCAGCCTATTTTGATACCTCTAGTTATCACTTATCACAAGATCTTTATTGAAATCTCCTCCCCCATGCCAGTGAGTTAATTTAGATGTTGAATTGAGTACTCTAATATTGTGTTGGTGCTGTAGGCCTTATTAGCCAAGTGTTTGAGTAACAAGATGAAAGCAGTGAAGGAACTAACTTTATAAATCAATAATAAAAATATTATTCCCATATAGTTAGACAATGGAAGCTCCATTCTTTTTCCATATTATTTAGAAAAAAGATGTGTATGTAAAGCTATTATAGATAGACTTGAAATTTTTGTTCTCTAAGATTTCTTCTCCATCCCTTCAATATTAATAACAACAAACTTAATAAACATGTTTTTTCTTTTTAAATTGCTTCTCCATTAACCGTTATGAAATATAGGTGGTTGATTCAATGTACCAAGGTCAAGGGGAATAAATGATTTAGTCACAGGCAATGCATTTGGAAAATTTATTGAAGGAGGGAGAGAGAGACTTCTGATTTATTAGGAAGGGAACTTTGTTAAGGGAATCAGCTGGGAAGAGTTTAGAAGGAATTTTTGGCATCTAGTTTGTGCCCTAAGCTGTGAGCTATGAGATAATTTCTTTCTTTAAGTATCAATTTTTTTTTTGGGTTTTAGATATATTCCAGTGTTCCACTGTTAATTCATGACCTCTGCAATATTCAATAGATGTTATTTTTATGAGTGACTAGTTTAAAATTATTCAGAAATTTTAAATTTGATATTCTTCTCTTTCTGTCATTGAGTACATATTTATTAATGATTTAGTTAATTATGTTGTTTGCCCTTAAAATATGGAGTTCAAACCTGAGTTATACTCTATTGATTGTATTACCTTATGTTATAACTTCCTTTGCATAACAGAGAAATACTTCAATCTGAATTGATTAAGGGATTGCAAGAGTTGTTTAGTGAGGAATTGTCATCAAGTATTGACCAAGAAGATGCGGAATCAGAATTGTTATTGCATTTCCTCGTTTTGCTAAAAGAGCAGAAGCAGAACAATGCTTTCAAACTGGTAGAAGAAATCAACTGCTTGGAATCAGATATAGGAGAGGTGGAGAGGAGGCATGACTCAAGAAATTCCTTGGTTTCCTCTGGCTTGCAGAATGATTACTCTTTTCAAAAAGATATTATGCCTCTTAAGAAGGAATCTTCAAGTTTAGAAATGTTGCCTTCGGTATCCCCAATCTCTAATTCAAATGAAGTGAGATTGATGAGAAATATATGCCATCTTGAAAGTGCTTATTTTTCCATGAGATCCAAACTTCAACTTTCTGAAACAGATGCTCCAACTCACCCTGATAAAGATATACTAAGAAATCGTGAGAATTGGTACATGCCCCAAAAAAACGAGGAACAACCTAAAAGGAAAGATACTTTAGGGACATTCTTTGATGGTTTGTGCAAGTATGCGCGATATTGCAAGTTTGAAGTTCGAGGTGTGCTAAGAAATGCTGATTTTAACAATCCTGCAAATGTAATTTGCTCTCTAAGCTTTGATCGCGATGCAGATTACTTTGCTTCAGCTGGGATATCTAAGAAAATAAAAGTTTTTGAGTTTAGTTCACTTTGCAATGACTCAGTTGATATTCATTATCCTGCGGTTGAGATGTCAAACAGATCGAAACTAAGCTGTGTTTGCTGGAATAACTATATTAAGAACTATCTTGCTTCTACAGATTATGACGGTATAGTGAAGGTATGTTTTGCATAAGATACTGTTTGAACCATTATTTAATTATTGGAAGATGTTATTTGCTATATTCATCCATTACTTCCACTATTGATGTTTTTCTGGCTCAAACTGAATTAGTTTCCTTAGAAGGTTCACTCAACTTTTTCCTAGGGTATCAATATGAGTCTCAACCTGTAAATCAACACGGCTCACTACTGTTTCGAGCCGAATTAGGTTAAGAATTTTATTAGTATATTAAAGCAAGCCTGACTCACTTAACCTGTGAGTTAAACAGGTTTGAGTCGGGTTGGTGGTAGATTGACCTGTTTTTCGCGGTCTTTAATATTCTAATTTTTTCTATCCATGTGTTATATATCCATGAAAAAAAAATGTATTTCACTAAGTCAACTCATCTAATCCACTTATATTAGTAAGTTAATCCACCTAACCCACCTATTTTAGTAATTTAAAAAGATAAAAAATAATTAAAAAAATATAAATATTTAATTGGGCCAACCCACCAACCCATAATGGGTCGGGTTGTGAAATTTTTTGCTCACCAAAAGAAGAAGAGCCTAGTTGAGGTGATCCATTTTTAATGTAATTCATGGTGAGCCAATCCGTGTAATACTCCTACTTTTTCCACAGAATATTTGGGCTAAAACTCTGTTGCCCTTAGATAGATGAATTATTTCTCAGGTCTTGTTTGGATTCTAAAGTCTAGTTTTTTCATTATTTGATGTCTCAAACCAATTATCATTGAAGCTTAAGCTATTAGCAGAAGACTAACCAATGATTTGATGTAATATTTATATCTCTAGCAAACCCACTTATGCAAGAGTTCGTTGGGCTTGGACTTAAAGCATAGATAATGCACAAGCACACCTACATTGTGCTAAAATTCAAATTTTATTATAAATAAAATTGGAAGACAAGGATTTGTCATAGATACTCTAATGCCATGTCATTAACTAATTGTCCATAAAGCATAAGCTGTTAGGTAAAGACTCATGTCCTGTCATAGAAGTTGCGTATACAGTTAAATTTAAGTTGCGTATACAGTTGTTAGAGATATAATGTGAAACGGATGTCTTTTAAGTTGCCCTGAGTATTTAAGTTGCGTATACAGTTAAATTTTAAATCTGAAGTTTATGAGATGTCTTTTTCTAAGTGATCTGGTTTCATAACTCCTACAAAATTTACTTTGTGAAATTATAATTTTGGAGAAGAATATTTATGATACATATACATGGATAGAGAAATTTAGAATACTTGGGATACTTTTGTTCTATTATTAAGTACAATATATTCGTAGGAAGTTTTAATTTAGAGGTAAAAGCATGTGTGGTTGTGGATGTGCAGATATCTTTATCCTTATAAAGTTTTTTTTAACCATAAATACTAAGATTTTACATATGTGGAGTTTAAAAAGAAAGAATAAATAACTATCTTGATGGCTATCCTCGTTCTTTTCTTCTATGATGTTCTCCCTGAATCATACAAACTCATTACGCGGAATGTATGTACATTGTAGAAGTACCCATTATCACCTGCATTAGTCATGACATTTTGTAATTTGATGCATTTTCAGTTATGGGATGCTAGTACAGGTCAAGAATTTTCTCAATACACTGAACATGAGAAGAGGGCTTGGTCTGTTGACTTCTCTGTTGTATGCCCCACGAAATTTGCCAGTGGAAGTGATGATTGTACTGTCAAGCTGTGGAGCATCAGTGAGGTAAAACCCCTTTTCATATACAAATTTACACATACACAGTTCATATGCATGTAACATGTGGATGTGCAGATTTTGCTTGACTGAAAATTGGTAACGGAGAAAGAAACTAGAGTTACAATGTAATTGAATGCTGCTTCTTTCTGAGCTTTCCTTGTATTTATGACCTAAAAGATAACATGAATATAGTAACTTTTGATATTAACTGTTCATTTGGGTTGATCATGGACTGGGTTGACCCATGTTAAAAAATTCACTTGGGTTGGGTTCATAAGTTGAATCGGCTTGTAAATAGAAAAACTCATAGCAATTGGTTGGTAAAAGGCTTGGAAATTTCAATCTTGACGTGACCCGAGCCTTTTCAATAAGTTTGAGTCAATGTTATTAGAATTGTCCTATTGAATGCAATTCGGATACCTATCTGTTCATATCATAAGATAAATCTCAAATGATTTTGAATCTTATGATAAATGAAGGAGTTGGTGCAATTTTGTTTCATCAATAGTTAGTACGAATTATACAATTCAGCAATTCATTACTTCTTCTTGTATACTTTTTTTTTATCAATTCTCACGAAAAAAATTGTAAAGTCATATCAAGCTTAAATTGTTAAATGAAAAGGAAGTGAAAGAACTTATGAACTTATTCTACTATTTTATTATTCTTCTATTATATTTGTGACTTGTCATTCAATGCACGCACTCTATTTGACTGTTACATTTCTTTCTTTTCATTCTTTCAATGTAGAGACTTCATCATACGCATAGATATAACTTATTGTTTTGTTTTATGGTTAACATAATTTTAATTCATTACATTGACCTCCATATATTGGCTATATGATATATTTGAAGTTATTTTTCATTGTCTTCAAAGCCCATGATTTGATTATTATAAATTGTGGTTCAGAATTCAAATATTAGGTTGACTATTTATATTTTGAATATTGATTTGATAGCCTTGGTTTGGGTCCAAAATTCTCTCAAACCTGACCCGTGCTCACACCTGCAAATATCTCCCCTTAAAACAAAAATCCTTGATCACCAAATGAGCCTTCTGTATGCATTTCAGGAAGATGGATCTAAGAATTCTTTTTTTTGCCTACCCTATAATGTGGAGAAAGGTTCCTGTTAAATTATTTTATCTTGACTTGAATATAATTTTAGTCCCTATAAATAGTGCCATGTTAGATTTTAGCCACTAAATAGAATCATTTATTTTTGGTCCCTCATTTATGGTAATGTGTGTTCCGTATTTTCATAAGGACCAAAAAGTTATGGTAAGGAACTAAAATCATATTTAGCCTTTTATCTTTATTTTTCAAAATAAATAATGTGATAGTGGAGACCTTTAGTCCATAGTGGATAGATTTTGCTTCACGTTGTATTCTCATAAGAACGAGATGCTGTAAAAAATGAAAGATACTTTCTTCCCAATAATTAATCAAGAGCTAATGCAATATAATTTTTTTTTTCCAGAGAAACTGTTTAGGCACAATCAGGAATGTTGCTAATGTCTGTTGTGTTCAATTCTCTGCACATTCCTCCCATTTGCTCGCCTTTGGATCTGCTGATTACTCAACATATTGCTATGATCTTCGCAATCTTAGAAGTCCCTGGTGTGTTTTGGCTGGCCATCGTAAGGCCGTGAGCTATGTCAAATTCTTGGACTCTGAAACACTAGTTTCTGCTTCTACCGATAATACATTGAAGATCTGGGATCTCAATAAAACCTCTCCTGTGGGTTCATCCATTAATGCTTGCAGCCTAACCCTGTCAGGACACACTAACGAAAAGGTTTGGTTTTAAATTTTATAGCACCAGGTGGAATATATGTTTAGAAAAGTAAAGTTTGTTTGTTACTCTTTCAAAGTTGCTTTGGAAATTTCACTTCTTTGGGGGTTAAATGGAGCCTTAGATTATGGTTGATGATCTCAATAGCAAAATTAACTATATGAAATCCAGATTGGTTTTGACCAAAACGATTTGTTCACTGCTGGTGATTGACAAACTACTATGCCTGCGTGTCAGAAATTAGATCTGTTTTTCTCATTAAACTGGCCAATTTTTTGTTTGCCTAAATGAAATGGTTTGCTGAAATCTTCTGCCCCCTTCTTAACAGAATTTTGTGGGTCTGTCAGTGGCTGATGGATATATAGCATGTGGTTCAGAAACAAATGAGGTATACATCTCTTTCAATAGAACATTAATTTATTTGGTTTAACTTACTAAAATTCAAACACGTTCATTCAATTAGTTATTTCAGTTAATTGCACAAATGTTCTAAAGTTTGTCTAGTCACTAACCTCGAAAATGTCACTATACTTTCTGTTATGCAACTTGATATGCAATAATTTATTTTGTTTAACCATGACTAGCTACTTTACAATTTGCAATATTTAATAGAGTAAATTATATCAACACTACTTGAGGTATCTTCAAACTTCTCGCGATACCCTTCCTTTCTTTACCATCTCATGGTTCTTTCCCAATTGTTTGAAGAATATTATATATTACACGAACTCTTTCAAATATTTGAAAAATATTATATCATGTTTTCTTAAAAGAGATGTTTCTAAAATGAAAAAAACACACACAAAAAAAAACTAAGAATTGTGTCCTCAAGAAATTGTACAATGTCAGTGTAATTGATTGTAATAAAAAATTATTTAAAGATAATGACTGAACAATATAGAAAAACGAATAGGCCAGAGTTTTTTAATATCGAGTAGAAAGCTGTGTATGTGTGCTGGTATCACAATTATGTTTTCTTGCAGGTTTACACCTACTATAGATCGCTTCCTATGCCAATCACTTCGCACAAATTTGGGTCCATTGATCCCATTTCTGGTAAAGACACAGAGGATGACAATGGACAGTTTGTTTCAAGTGTATGCTGGAGAGGGAAATCAGACATGCTTATTGCAGCTAATTCAAGTGGATGTGTGAAAGTGTTACAGATGGTTTAAAGGAAAGGTTCTCCATGGCAGACTTTAGTTCCGGGAGTTTTGTCCTTGTCACTCAGGCACTCTCGGGCCAATCCCACAACTTCTTGGGTGCGTATAAAAATTATGTTGACATATTGAGCTCTGGCTTATAACTTTAGTAGAAGGGCTTCAATTTTGGCCATTATTGGATGGAGAAATAGATCTGCAATCTAATCCTCATCTTTTTGGAAGTTGGATTCATCATCACGTGCAACTCGGACTCCAAACCAGAATTTCACATTGTCATGTGTAGAAAAGGCTTGTCATACTTAATATCGCTGGGATTAATCCAAGAGGCAGATTGAATTCGATACTAATTAAGGTCCACTTTAGAGAAACTTCTCAAAAACATTAATTGGAGAAGAAAATAGATCAAATTTCTAGTATGAGTTAAAATCAATTTATGTACATCGGTCCTCTTAAAGTATCCTCATTTAAATTTTTAAAACTGATGTGCGTAATTTAATTTTAACTTAATAGAAATTTGATTCACATCTCTAATTCTTCTTATTGATTAAATTATCTAAGATGGGCTTAAGATTTCGAATTGAAATTGCTGCTGCTAAGTTGGTTCTTAGCTCAAGAATGTACCCTGTATCTATGCAAAGCTTATCTGTGCCAATGTAAATTGTATTGCTGTCCTTTTCAGTTTTTTTTTTACTTATGAAGGACTAGCAACTGTACGATTATAGGAAGGATTATTATTTATCAAAAGATAAATTAATCCATTGCCATGAATCCAGATCATATAACTTCAGGTTCGTACCACCCCCCCCCCCCCCGCCCTTTTTTTTTTCTTTCTTTCTTTCTGTTTCTACGCCACGCATCATCTCCAAAGATTATATATATGGAAAATGTTAAATTGACACCCTCATTCGATAAAAAACCAATTTTAATAATATAATATTGATAAAACCTTTTAAATTTATATATTTATTGTTATTATTATTATTATTATAATAAATTGTAGATTGAATAAATGAAATAAATAGTGGTATCAAAATATCACCATCATATATATATATATATATAAAGGCATAGTATATTTCTATGTATCATTTGGTCAGTGTGCCAGCATAATTTTGTAGTTGCGACAAAGCTTAATGGGCAATGTGTATACCGTTTGTTATGTATTGTACGGGGAAAATTCTATCTAGGTCGATTAATATTTTTATATGTATTCATTAAGTTTTAAATTAAACAAAATATGTGTTTATATAAAATTCTGTAACTCGTATTTAATTGAGGTTATTTATTATTAAAAAGAGCATTTATTTGTTAATAATTTATAGGTTATTTTACGTTGAGCCCATATAAGATCATAACTGGATTAACCTTAAAACTTCCAAAAAAAAATTATGATTATAAAAAGGAATTAATAGAAAATCACAAGAATTATACCTATGAGTAATAATTATAAGTTGCACATTTTTTGCATAGTTGCATTAAACATATAAATCCTACAAAATTCCCCTTTGTAGAGATTAAATATGGTGTCAAACCAAAAATAATAATAATAATAAGATATTAAATCAAAGAATATTCTTGTTTTTATGTAAACGTCCATTTGAATGGTTCAAAACGAAAAAATAAACACACTAAAAATTATTTAAACGTTTTATTCATTGAGAAGTTGGTTCAGCACACTTAAAACAAAATTCCAAACACACATTCTCTCACAAAACATTTTAATGTAAAAGAATCCTAATTGAATTTGAGAAGATGGAAATAAAATGAATGGGCGACCTCCAATGATTCACTCAAAGCTCAGATGCTAAAACCCTTTGTCCTAAAACACAAGAAGCCTCCAAAAGATTGCAAATAATACAACCATGAATGAAACTATGCTTCTAACCTTTCCATAAAAAGCTACATTTTGAGTCTCCACCTTTGCCTGTGAGAAGCAGGAGCATATAAATGTTGGGAAGATTTGTATGATGCAAAACAGTATAAAGACTAGAACTGTGCTAGCTAACCAATTAAAGTAAGGTGATGACAAATTAAATAACCTCAAAACATGAGAGAATCTTCCACCACGAGACATGAAAGGCCAAAGGGCCTTAATCTGAGGCATGGCCACAAGTCGTACTCTCATACGGAGCCAAAGGGCTCGATGCCAACGGTGACAGGCTTCCTCTTTTCTTCACAAAACTGCTTTCGGAGTCAGAGAGATCACCGCTTTTTCTTCTCAAATGGCGGCTTAGGGGACTCAATGCCAACGGTGAAACCCTACCTGCTGTCTTCCTTGAACCGTTGTCAAAATCTGAGACATTATCTCTTTTTCTGCTCCTTGTGGATGTTCTTGAAGTGCTCAATGCTTGGGTTCGCGTGAGCCCCTTCAGATTGATCTCCGTGTTGGCACGTCTTAATCTTCCCAGGCTGAAAGATTGGTTCAACGGCGTTTGTGACTTCTTCTTTCTTGAACTCTCTGTCATGCTGTCATATCTAAATAATGGTGTCTGCTCCCTTTTTTTCAACCTTAAACTGGCCTTAGAATCCGTCAAATTGGCCTCATGGTTTTTCCTCCTCAGTGAGCTTGAAGGAATGGGCACTGATGTTATTGTTGATTGATTCCCTTTGGAGTTGCGATCCGATTCAGACCCCATGGGAGGTCGTCTTTTACCGGGGCTCAGACTGCTTGGTGCCACTGATGACGTATTCACCTTTGTCGTCCTTGAAACTGGTTTGGATAAAGATGGTGGTAATGATTTTGTCGCCCGCAATTTTGGCGTTCCTGTTTAAACCAATTTAATATGCATTTAGTTTCTTGCAATCAAATTCACCAAAATATATATTATGCTAGCAAATATGGTATTAACACCCCCTTCATTTTGCCTTGTCATAATTTATATATTACGAATCACATTTGCATTTCTCTCTTACTTTCTCTTGGTATACATTAGCATAAGGAGTGCATGAATGATTTTTTAACGTAAAAACACCACCGCATCAAAACACAAATAGATCCTAATATTGCCAGAAACCAAAAACCACAAGACTTAACATGAATGAAAGATATAGAATGAAAAAACATTCTATCAATACTATCAGACATGACATGAATTGCAAGCAGTATCATCTAATCTCAACTATTCAATCACCTCTTAAGTCTTTCATGAAAATTACCAACCAGGAAAATTTAAGTCATTTAAAGAGAGAACTGTACCCACATTCATAAAGAAGATCAAAAGTTCTTTCTCAATACTAGCACTTGTGTCAAGAAAACCGTATATGCACACGCACATATATGTATATTAAGTGCAAACAAGTGAACTGACCTTGGTCATTCTTTGCCTCTACATGTGTTGGATTCTGTATTCTAACAGTTTTCTTGTTTGGGGCTTCAGGGGAAACGGGCTGTGCGTCACCAGAGACTGGAGTAGGATAGGTTATTTGAGGGAGCGGATCTTCCACTATGGATGCATTATTATCATCAAACACTGCACTTGGGTAGTCACTTCCACTCCTACAGCCATCCTTTCGGTGGTGCTCGCAGCACTCATCTTTAGTACTGCGGTTGTTCGGATTCAGTTTCTGATTCTCCGCAACCTTGTAAGCAAACATTTCATACGGTATATGCGACACGGCGGACACACCAGATGCCCTCAGGGTTGAAGATCTCTTTAGGAACATTGTCTCTATCTCGCAGCAATCCACAGGCGGAACCTCAAGAACGTTGAGCTCAGGGTTGGTGGCTTGGGACTCTGAGTTCATGGAAAGGAACTTTTTGGTGTACCTCAAAATCCTACAGATGGAGGAGAAGCTGGGACGCTGAGCAGGGTCAGTTTGCCAGCACTTCTTGATCAAACTCACAAGGTATTTCGGGGAACGGTAAGGAAACAACGGTCTCTCTCCCACCTTAATGTTTTGGCTCATTCTGTCTCCTTGAAGGTGGTTATCTTCAAATGGAACTTTCCCCGTCAACAACTCGAAACATATCATTCCAAAGCTGTAGGCATCAGCTTTCGCCGAAGTAGAAGCACAACCATTCTGCGTTCGTTCCAACTCTGTTAGAACTTCAGGAGCATGCCAAGTTAAAGGGTTGAAGTCCTCACTAGCATCACCACTACTACTGTTCACAGAAGACAAGGCAAACCCTGAAACCTTTGCCTGAAAATAACCCTCTTGGGAGTTCCTTGGCTTGAGCAAAATATTACAAGGGTTAAGGTGTCCATGACAAATGTTTTTGGAATGCAGGTACTCCATGCCTCTGGCCATCTGAAGCATGAGATCGACGACAACAGGGACAGAGAACATAATCTGCCTCCTGGGACCACAATTCTCTTTCATATAAGTCCTCAAGTCCTTGCTCATCAACTCCATCACAAGAGAAAACTCTTGCTTCTCCTCGTCGTAAAACCCGCACAGGTATTGCAATATATTGGGATGCGAAAGCGAGAGCAGAGAGGAAACCTCAGCCTCATGCGCTTCTCTCTTCCCTTGAAAGTTCCTCAACGCGAAACTATGCCCCAGCCAATGGATTTCCTTTAAGTCCTTCCTGCCGCCCAACCTGCGCCTTAGCTGGTAATCTTTGGACCCAACAAGCACCGAAATTGGGACGATCTCGGACCCATTAAGAAGTTTCTTGACGAGCATATCCGCGAGGCCATGATCGCTCTTTTTAAACGCAGAAGAACCACCTTTCTTCTGAGTCTTCTCCTTGATGGCTTCGATGAGCCTCCACCTATCCTCTCTCCATGCGTTCTCCAACTTCTTGCAAATCCCGCGGGACACCAGGTACTGTTTCCCGAACCTCATTTGGAACAGCTCCGGGTCGTTCCATTCAACGTCATACTTCCGAGTCAGCATCAACTTCTTCTTTGCCTTCTCCTCCATATCCAAACCTGAAACCTCCCCTGCGATCTCGATCGCCTCGATCACCGCCGGGAAATAGCAGAGAAGGTTGTGGATGTGGAACTCCACGCAGTCTCGGTGGTGAGAGAGGGTGATGGCTTTCCCCAACCAATCTTTGGAATCCAAACACTGTCTTATGTAAAGCTCTCCCTCCTTGAAAACCCTGCACAACTCCCTCAGAGGAAATTCCAGAGGCTTCCATTTGGTGGTTCTCTCTTCCAGCTTCAGGTTCTGCCGTATCTCCTCCGCGATCGTGTCCATGGCCAAACTGAATATCTCCAGGATCAAACAGCATTGCCGTTGGTTAATTTGAATTTCGTCGCGCAGAACCATTAGCGCTTTCATACTCCCAACCACCTCTCCGATATGCCGGAACTGTTCCATCCCGGCACCTTAAATTCAAAACCTAAAAAACGTAACGTTGAAACAATTAGAATTGCGAAGAACGTAACGCAAGGATGCGAAGAATGAATCCATGCATAGTGTGATACGCGTAACCTAATTCAAAATTACAACAACACCAGATAGGGAACCGATTTGGTCTAGACAAAAAAAGGATTTTGAAAAATGGTGTTTGAATGCGGTTTGAACCACAGCGTAAAACATATTGGAGCAATAAAATCCGATAAAAAAATGTAACTGTGTTTGCCCTGTATATGTCTGACGAAAAAGAAAGGATAGAAAGAAAAAAGAGATAACGAAATCGCAAAATACTAACACAAAAGATTACAAAATCGTACGTTTGGGAAGGTGCGACCAGGAAGAGGGATACGAGAGAGGGTTTTGTTGTGGGGGGGGAGGGGATTAGGAATTTGGTCGCAAGGTGGTATGATGATGTTGGTGGTTTTGATGAGTTAAGCAGTGGTGTAAGATGAAACAGAAAAAACTGACGACGAAAATGAAGAGAAGGAGAAACGGAAAGTCAAAGGCAGGTTGGAAATGGACATATGTTACTATAATGAATGTTGGTGCAGTAGTGAGGGATGGAAGTAGAAGCAGTGTTTTTGTGTTGTTAATGTTGTTCCAGAATTACGTAAGAATTTGGTTATGGTGTTCGGAGAATGCAGCCGCTGCATGCATGTGTCCGATGTTGCTGGGAGTTTGGTCTTGCAACGACCACATTCTATCTATCTATATATATCATGCTCATCATTCACCACCGTTTTTGGAATCTGTCCTTAAACAAAATTAATCAAGTTTTTTTTATATTTATTATTCGATAAAGATAATCTAAGGAACATTTTTTTATTTTTCGGTTTATCAAAAAGAGTATTCGATAAAAATAATATATAATAAATATATAATCATCTAAGATATAGTTGTGCAATTTTCTGGATACATATTGTGCTTTATAATTACGCATACTCACTTGTAAATTTCACGTAATATTTATTTAATCCATTTTTAAAATGTGAACTGTTTAAGAAAAGTATACAAATTGAATGTTCCATAATTAAAATCTTAATTGGATTGAGCAAAGTAAACACACAGCTAATTCCTCTTGGACATATATATATATATATATATATGTGTGTGTGTGTGTGTGTGTGTTTGTTTTTGTTTATGTTTAATTTGATTGAAAACCTTTTTAACTGAAAACTGTTTCTAGTGAGTTCAAATGTATTCATCAGATTCTGTCAGCACTGTTGTTGCGTTTTAAGTTTTAATCTTTATTTAACTGAAAACGGTGGCAAATTTTTTTTTTTTCTCTTCTATTTGGCTATTTCAAACTTAAAAAACACGCAGTAAAATTTGTTGTTAGTGATAGGTTAGCAACATATTTATTACACCTTTTTCATATACACATTTTTCTATCAGTTAAATTTTGTTAGAAAATATAAAATATCTGGATCTCACCTCGCATTCAATAAATTTTATTAATGATTTCATATGCTTCGATAATTTTTTTCTATAAAGGTCATATAAACAAATTATTTAAAGTAAAATTAAATTTACATACATTAAAATTATTTTTCAAATAAGTCAATATAAAAAAAATATTTTTAAGAACTAGCATGGCTACTTTATGATTTTTTTTTCTTAAATGAATTATTCTTTTAAGTGGTTAATATCTCGTTCAAATACACATGTCTTATGCTAATCTCATATGAGGTGCAATTTTTTATTTATTTTCCTTTAAATTTAATTTTAAATATATTTTTTTTAACAATTAACTTGAATTTTTTTGTTAAAATAAAATTGTATTCTAAAGTTTAATAATAATAAAATTTATATATTGGAAATGTCATTTGTTATAAATTTTAGTTTTATATAAAAAAATTACACATTTATGGTGTGTTGTGTATGAGCTAAAAATAGTAACTCTTCAACTGAAATAGAAATATGGGAAAAATTCACCCAAAAAAAAACAATTAATATTATTATGATCTAACTCAAATATCTCACAAGAAATAAGGTATACGTATTAATCTTTTTGTTTGTGAAAGTGATACACGGTTTTGCATCGTTTTTAAAACTTAAATTTTTTTATACAAATAAAAAATGTTTTACTAATTAAGTTGATTTTTTTTAATTTTGTCGAAATTGAATCTTTAAATTTTGAGCAATGATGTATAATTTTTTTCATTTTCCGAAACATTCATCCTGTAACTTCTTTTTAATAATGAAATAATAATAATAATAAACATAGAAATGTAAAGTTTTGTTATTATTATTTTTATATTAATAAAAAGAGTTGTAGTCGGGTTATTTTTCTAGGTTATCCATCTATTATTTCCTTTTATTTTTTTAAATATACATTATGATGTCTTTTCACCAAAAAATTAAATTTAACTATCTACTTTTTCTATTTTTATACTTATATAAATTTATATTGTTACTTAAGTAAAACTAATAATAATAATAATAATAATAATAATAATAATAATAATAATAATAATAATAATAAGATTGGTGGAGTGAATCCAATTAATATAGGTGTTGTTAAAATTAATTTAATTAATTTATTTTATCATGTAACTTATGTGAAATGTAATGATAAAGTCAAATGTGATTTAATAAAATATAATGAAGTATTGATTATTATGGGAAATCATAATAAAATAAAGATAAAATAAAAACTTATTATAATTAGATACGTGAGTTAGTGAAAAATGACTGAGGTTTTGTTTTTAGTCATAATGTTCTTTTCATAGTAAATCATAAAAAAAATATAACAAAAAAATAAAGACAATAGATTGAGAAAATGAAATTAAAAAATAAAGATATTAAATAACATATTCTCATTTTATATATCTTATAAAAAAATATTAATATTTTTATTATGATTTATGTTATTAACAGATAATTATAAACTTAACATGTGTAGAATAATTTTTTAAAATGAACGAAAAACATAAGAAACTGCATAATTAACTAACTTACAGTTGTAACTACAAGTATAACTTAAAACAACGATCACATAAATAAGTCTCTAAGTTTTTCTAATGAATAGATAAAAAAAGTTTATGATTATTTATTAGGCTACAAAAGTTGACGAAAAAAAATGATAAAATTAAGTAAAATTATATATAAAAAATATGAATTTGTGAGCAAAAATTGTAGATTGGCAAAAGAAAAAGCAAAAAAGAAAAAACAAACATCTTAAAGTAGTATAATATCTCTTTATATGAAAAGGGGTCTAAAGTAAGAGTTGTAACAGCAGGGTTATACATTATCCATAATCCCCCTTATTGTGTTTGATTTGTGAACATTTAATATCTATTTAGTGTCTTAAATTTGCATATCATCACACTACTGTAGATATTGAATAATGATCAACGACCCATGTTAAGAATTAAATCGTTAAATAATCAACCTTTAATTAAATGTTATTATATAAAAAAATCAACAGAAATTAAAAAAAATATTAGTTGTCTTATGTTGTAAATTCTTATAAATAAATAGCTAACTTTTTTTAAAATATTAACTAAATTAATAAAATAATTATATTTATATTTTTTATCATTTTATTAAAATTTATCTATTAATTGTATATAAAATATATTGTTTATCTATTAATTTATAAAAATAATATAATGTATTAAAATTCAAAACATTGACTGTATTTTGTAATAACTAAATTTGAAAAGAAAAAGTTAGAAAAGGTAACAGAGTGGCAGCGTCGGAATCCAACCCACAAGGGGCAATCACATGGGCTTAGGAAGCTCATAACATGCGCGTGGCCCCACCATTGCATTGCCAATTTGCCCTACCGGCTTGACCGGTTGCCTCTCCCCTCTCTTTTTTCGCCTCACCTTCATAACGTCACGGCCTTAACCTATTAAACCCGTGCGCAGTCTCTCAACTACTGTTCCCACTCCCATTACCGCACTTCACAAACCTGAGAGAAACAGAGTGTGCCCAAACCAAAACCATGACCACTTTCAGGTTTTCGTTCGGTTTCGGAGTGGTGGCCATCGCTCTCTCTCTCATCTTGACTCTTTACGTGCCTCTCTCTGTCCATGCGCAATCCCTACCTCCGGCACCTCCTCCCTCCAGCGACGGTAATTTTTCTTTTCTTAGATCTAATTCCGTTTTTCGTTTTTCCTTTCACTGGATCTGAACATATGTTGCTTGCATTGATTTGTTTTTCTGTCTTTTTCGCATGCATTATTCAGGAACCTCCATAGATCAAGGGATTGCGTATGTGTTGATGATGTTGGCTTTGGCACTCACTTATCTCATTCACTCCTCTTCCACCTTTTGAACATTTCTCACGAAACCATGATTAGTGTTTCAGTTGAATTCAAACGTGTTATTTTATCATGGATAGAGATATTATCATTAGGATATGATTAATTGACGACGCTATTTACGATCTGTCTATGACTCTGAAAAATTACCCCACACCAATTCTGCGTTGTTTTCTCGGGATTTCCCTGTGATGTGATGTGATGTGTATATGTGGTTTTTTACACTCGTTCTTCTTGCTGCTCGGTGTTGCCACTGTTCATTCTTGTCTATGGTTTCCTTATTGTGATATTAGGCAATTTGATTTACTAGTATTGCTTATCCTTGATTATCAACAAGTAACAATCTGGATGGAAAGAAAACATCATTGTTACCTGTAAATTACTTTTTGTCATTGCCATTATAATTTTTATTGTTGTCATCTGTCCATATGAATTAAACACAAGGATTAAAAGTACAGAAGAAAAAACAAAATTTGAGTGTCTATTATATTCTTTGATCATGTTACAAGTTACTGAATTGACAATTTCACTGTTATATCATTAGTTTATGTCAGTGGACTAAAACTTTTAATAGAAGATTAATATAGAACCAAACATTGTAAAAAATGTTTTAGAAGCTACAAAATTTTTAAAGAAAGTTGGGAGCCAAAATATTCCAAGTCAAGAACTCGTTTTCACTTCATTACGGTAATAATCAATGAAGACCTGCTCCAACTTCTCCCTGTACATTTTCATCCCAACTAGTTTTTTTATTTTTCTTCACTAAAACCCTCCATGATAGAACTTAAAAGTAAGAAAATTGCTCAAACCAAAAAAGATAAATTCAATTGTAAAAAACTTCAAAGTACTGCATCAATTAGCTAATTTTTGTTTAAGGTTAGGATTTTAACATTGCCACCTCCTTTTAAAAGTTGATATCTACGACAACTTCATTCTATTAACACGAACACAACCCTTTATGTAGTTCTTTCTGCAATTCAACTAGACATGGCAATATAAGCTTCCCCAATGCAAAATCACTCCATACTAGTCTCTCCAGGTGTTACCTATAAAAAAACTAAACTTTTTTTTTTTTCTTACTTGCTCATTCTTTCGCCCTTCTTTATGTAACTCCATAATATATAACACATACTTAGAGTCGCGGAACCAACTTCATATTTGCTTCATACACAGATCTAAAAGGTTTTGAGTTTTGATTTCTACTCATGAAAGTCAAGATTATAAAGATTTAAATAATCCTTGTGAGCTAATTATTTTAAATATGTTAAAAAAAATTAGATGTATTTACTCCAACAAAATACAAAAATTAAATCCGGTAAAAATACATTAGGCCTAAAATATAGAAACCCTGGATCTGGTCCTATAATTATAACTCAAAGGTCCAGCGTTACGCGACTTTTTTTAGTGGGTACGGAAATGACGCTTCAAAAATTGAATAGAGGGCCCAGAGAAAATAATTGATAAAATTTCGAATGGAATAGGTATTACAAGTTTTGGGAGATGCTATCACACGTGGACGAATATTTTCATATATTTTATTGTATATTATAAATATTTTAATTTATTTATTTATTTTGTTTTTATTTATTTTTATTGTTACATTAAAATAAATAAATATTTACTAATTTTATGAATATTGAAGTTAGTAAAAAAAGGATTTAAAAATTGAAAGCTAAGATTTTAAAAAAAGATTCTTTAAATACTAAAATTAGGTATTGAATTTGGATTCTTGTATTGATGATTTAAAAAGTTTTTTTACTATTCTCGAAGGAGTGGATATAAGCCCAAAACTATATAAGCCCAAAACTGGTTCGCCCAGAAGTGGACGCGCTTCCCAGTGAAAATAATTTGATACACAATTTGATATATTTCTATTTAAGTATAAATGCTTAATTCATTTAAAAAATTAACAGTGTAAAAAAAATATCTCAAAAGCTTTATAATAAATATAATTTTATTTTTAGAACATAAGATAAGGGAAAATACTAAATTGATATTATGTCAATAAATTAGTTTAAAAATATTAAAATGTGTGATTAATTTATTTAAATTTGAATAAATACGAATTTGTTTAATGCATTTTAATTTATTAATTACTGTTTAGCTAATAAGAAGATAGATTAATACATAGAAGGTATGATAATGACGTGGTGAGGAAATAATATTGATTGAGGTGGACAAGACATGTTATGCGGGGACCATGGGACCAAATGATCCTCTCGTGGCACGTACACTTGCAGAAAACGAGACCAGAAGCCGTTGGATTGATTATGTGTAAGGCTGCGATTGACTCTGTAGGGGCCGCAGAATAACATGGAAGATACGCTGTATTTTTCTGATTCTCAATCGTGATTCCATACGGGGAAGCGTTTTTGGCATTTTACGGTTCTTCTGTTTCTTTCCACACCTGAACTCATGCCTTAACCCCTTCGCTTCTCCACTTTATCTTCTACACCTTCTTCAAACACCAAATTAACAACCATCACTCTTGTCCCAGTATTTTTGCATACAAAAATCATACCTGGTAATGATGTAAAATGCAAGACATACACTTAAAATTATAAGTATAATGCAGAGTGGGGACCAAATCTTATAAGAATGTAAATATGATAGAGTAAGCAAGCACCAAGTGGGTTTGCCTAGGTGAGATTCAAAAATCCCAGTTGTAGATAAGACAAACCATGCAGGCTATGTTTCTATTTATTTTCTATTCACACAAGTACACGTTTTTCAAGACCCTCCATTGAATAATATCATAACTTTGCACATGAACACCTTTCTGAAACCATGAATCATAGCTTTGATAAATAAATACATAAATATATGTCTCATGCAGAGCCAAAGAGAGCATATGTTTGTCATTTTGACTTTTAAACGGTAACATCTATATTTCATTCTAAGTTTTAACTTGTCCATCGTGGTCCAATATGGATGAGGTATAACTTTTGCCTTCATGGTATGAACTGCATATTTTCATGCTGCTGCAGAGAAGAGAGGACCAGTCATCAGTGTTTATATACAGCAAAACCTTTCATATGCGTATTATTATACTAAGAAAAGCAATCACCAACGTCTTTCTCTATGTATAAACTGGATGCTGTTTACATTTTCAAACTGCTGATATGGAGTTGGACTACATAATACATTATGTATGCTATCTAAATTAAATCAACCTAATTGGACAAAAAATTAATGCATCATGTATAGTTTAGTGGAAAAACAACAATGCAAAATGCGTTTCTCATAAATGCTGTTCAATGTGAAACATTAAAGTTACCAGTAAAAGCAAAATAAACTGTGCATATAGGTGCTAGTTTAATGGAATAACAATGAAAGGAAACGTCTTTCTTCATTAATGATGCCAAATGAGATAATTGCAACATAAAGATAAAAATGAGATTTTTTTATCATTCTTCTTATGTGAAAAAATGGCATGAAAGAAGAAGGAAAAATAGGTAAACAAGTGTGGAAAAGGAAAAGGGTAAAAAGCATGAAAAGGGTGAGGAACAACTGGTCTAACGTGGTCCAAATGCAGTGGCTAAGAGTATCTGCTTTTTTGTGCCATGAAAAGTATCCAAGTATAGTGCCACTTGCTCCCCTCTGTTTCTGGTTGTGTCAGATATTGGGTTCAATCCAAAGGCCAAAACGCATTTTCATGTTGCCTTCAATCACAATTCTGATTTCATGTGCCACTTGGCATGTTAGAGATCCTGTCTTATTTTTCTCTTTTGCTTTTACTGGGAATTTGGGAACACGCTCTGTTTGGCTCAAACACATAATCATCTTCCGTTTTGGCTTTTGAGGGGGCCAAAAGTCTTCCTCTTTTCTCTTCATTGCTTTCTGTATAAAACCAAATCTTCCCCATTTATACGTATTATTCTACTAACTCTGAAATTGAGAATTACAATTAGTGTGAATATTTTTTTTACGAAATATCTAAATAAGAGACGAAATGTTTGAGTTGTATGGAATGTTTATCAATTTCAGAGATGACGCGAGCCCAACGAAGACGCACTGATTCAGTAGTACCTCTCGAGTGTGTCTAATCATTTACAGCATTGTACAAAATCTAATATAAATATGTAAAATCAATATTGGATCGGGTTCAAAAATCTTAAAAATCAAAATATTGAAAATCAAAACGGTCAAATTTAGAGTAGTATTTGAAATTGCTTCAATTTAAGCTCATGCCAGAACTTTTCATCACAACCAATGAATAATTCGACGGACCGCATTTTCACTGAAAAAAAAAACAGTTTAATATTTATTTTCAACAAATATTACTTTTTTTTAATTTCTGGTTAAAAATTATTTGTAAATTTAATTTTGTTTATATGTTTTAATATTTTTTTCAGTTGTTACCTTTAATTATAATTAATTTAATGTTAAAATGAAAATTGTTAATATAGTTATGATGCATGAGAAACAAAAACTTCTTCTTTAGATAATTATATTTTTTTGAAGTACTTAATTTAGAATGTAATTTATTTTCAATATTAAACTACCTATAGTTAATAATAAAAAAACTATCAGAAAATATAAAAATTTAAAACTAACAAATAGTTGTACATAAAATAAATTAATTTATATATAAGGATTAAATATATGTTCAAATAAAATAATAATAATAATAAGAAGGTTTATATTTAATGACTTTTTTTATCAGTTTCAAATAAAAAAAAAACTTTTACTTTTTAGAATTATAATTGTACTTTGTGTTCAAATAACATACAAACTCATTCTTACTCGTATCAGGACCTTCATATTATACTAGGTTGAACGAAGGGAATACTTTAACTTTCTTTTTTCTTTAGTAGTTTTTTTTAATAAAAATATGATTCTAATATTTGTTAAAATTGAAAAAAAATCTTATATAAATATTTCTCCTCAATTTAAAGATTCTATATGCTGAGATATATAATAAAAAAATATTTTTACGGATAAATTTTTTGCATTTGAGACCATTTTTTGTTAGGATATTTTTTGGTTTGTTTGGAAAATAAAATAAAAAATCAGTTTTTTTGTAATTTAGTTTATAACAAAGTTAAAACACTTTTTATTCAGGTTTAATTGCTGTAGAGGCACGTAGTTCCGATATTAGTAGCCGCAGAAATTAAAATTAGATGAACTGTGCATCGTAGGCTCACGTGGGGATTAGTCCCATAATAAAACGTCATTCAACAATTAATCAAGTAGGAAGAAAAAATATGCATACTAATTAAAAGTTAAATAAATGAGAAAAGAATAACTAATGTCTTTTTTATTTTTAAACTAGCAGTTAAATAGAAATAAAAATCTAAGAAAAAAGGTAATTGCTTAAAAATAATAAATTAATATAATAAACCAAAAAGCTTCAAACGTTGAAAGATGAAGCACAGTCACTACATCACCATTACAACCTACAAAAACGGTCACACCACAACGAAAGAAAAAAAAAAACGATTAGTGATTGATTACATTGCTATGATTTCCCGCCGATACAAAATTTGCCGAATAGGGGGCACGACAACGACGAGAGTCTGTGTGTTATGTAAGGAACTCATGAAATCAGAGAGCAAGACGGGGATCGGAGACAAACAAATCGTCGATATCTTGGAAAAAGTCGCGATTTCTGTCAGTATTCCAACTTTTCAAACCGAAATCCTCACAAGAAGTGAGGAACACACCAGGCCAATCGTCGTCCGAGAACAATACACTCTCCAGCGCCGCCGCGCTATCCAACTCGCCGAACACATCCGGTGCCGGCGAACAGCCTCGGAAGTCAAATTGTATTTCGCTCGGAATCGGAAACGGTGACTCAGCTTTGGCCATAAAACTCTCGGACACGCAGGAGTAATCATCGTCTTTGCCGGTTATGGATTCAGCCTCCTCGGACAAGGAACAAGAGTGGAGCACGGAAGTGGGAGAAAATAAGTTTTTGTTCTGAGTTTCCTCAACGGAGGCGTAACCGTTGGCCACCGGCGTCAGGTCTTCGGTGTGCCACGTGGCAGGTAGCGTTTTGAAATTGGTGAGCGCGTCTGGTCCACGCAGCTTAATGGCTGCGTTATCGTACACCAAGGCAGCTTCCTCGGCAGTGTCGTAGGTACCCAACCACAACCGTACACGTCGCGACGGGTCTCGTATCTCAGCCGCCCATTTTCCCCACGGCCTTTGTCTGACTCCGCGGAATTTCTTGCCGTTCGACACGCGCTGACTCTTTGCTACCCTGCCTTTGCCCACTACGTTCCTGCTTCGAACTCTCTTCCTCGAAACGACGCCGTGGTTCTCGCTGGCGCAGGACTCGATGGAAATCTCGTTGATAAATTTCCTGTGTCGAAGTCGGTGGCGCGTTGAAGAGTGTAAGGTCTGTTCTTCGTCGCTTGAGGAGTCTGTGGCGTCAGTGTCTGTGACTGTTATTCTGACGAGTCTGGGATAGGGGTGTTTTGGTGGGTGTGTGAGTGTGAGTAGTTTGGTGTGGTGAGTGTACTTGGTCGGTGGCGCAGTCATGTTGGGGAAGTGTTAGATTGTTGGGGGTAGCAAAGCATTGACCTTGGAAGGAGTAAGGGAAACTGTGGAGGAGGAGGAGGAGGAGGAGGAGGAGGAGGGAGTGTGTGGAGAAATGGATGAGAGAGAAATTCCTTTGTGACACGGGGAGGGAGAAGTGAATAAATAAAAGAGAGAGAGAGATTGGAGACACGTATTGGAAAGGAGAGAAATGTAGGGTGAATTTATGGATTGAATAGATTGGTTGAGAAAGTTATTGAAGGAGGGGAAGAGTGATTTGAAGGAAAAGGGTCCGTTAAAAAGAGCGTGAAATTAAGAAAGTAGAACAAGTTGGGTGAAGGAGGGAAGGGAAGGGGACAGAAGGTACGAAAAAAGTGGAGGCATATGACGCAGAGACCCAAACACTGTAGCCTTAGCCTGTGAACTCTGTGGGGCTAAATAAAAACAAAACCATTTTTAAATCTTAACACTTTCTTCTCCGGAAAAGAAAAAGAAAAAGAAGAAGAACGGTGTGTTGCCTCTGCTTGCCGTACTTTGTGTTGTATGCCCTTCAAATAGTAAACTAACGGATCCCTGATGCTTGCAGCAAAATCACACCACACAACAACAATAACCGACTAAGTACTCTTCTTTCCCTTTACCTGTTTCCTACCTTTTTAATGCTTATTCGCAAATCATTTTTTATTTTTAAATTCTATTATTATTATATTCTACATTTATATTAAATTATCTCTACTCTTCTTCTTTTTTTCTTTTCTCACACATATTCCTAATTTTTGTCTCCAATGCTTTATTTCTCTCGTTATTAAAACAAAAATGTAACCTCCTTACACAAATGTAATATTTCAAATTCTATTAGGAAAAAACTTACTCTCGTGTTTTTTCTTCATATAGTAATATTTTTGTTAACCGTAATTGGAGAAGTAATTAGCATTCAGTGGTGTGTACTGTGTACTGCAACTGTTCAAGATACGTCTGTTTTTTTCAGCAAATGAAAATACTACACGTGGAGTAAGACAAAAGCCATTCCAGTCACGTGACATGAGACACTCTGAACCGTACCAGTCCTCTTTTGACGGAAAATCAAATAAAATAAGGAACAGCAACTTATGACGATGGAATTTAAAGAGGGTTAAGGAATCAATAATTCAAATTATTGACCATATTAAAAATTATAATAAGATATAAGTATTTTTACTGTTTTTTTTCTATTTTTCATTTATATTATTCCATTATCAATTTTTTATTTATTTATTTTTCTCTACGTATCTTTCTTTTTCACTTTATATTTTTTCAATTTCATTTTTTTTATCTATTTTATGATTTTCGTTTTTTTATGAAAAAGATACTAGAGGAAACAAATAAGACATAAGAACGAAATAAAAGTTATTGGACCAAAAATAAATAATAAATTTTATGCCTTCGTATGTATGAACATTTTTTTTTTTAAGATTTCACGTACTTTCTTTCCTAAGATTGCATGTCTTTGCTATCAACTTTATTTTTTTTAGTTTTTTTATGCTCTAAAAGTTTGAAAATTTTTACATTGGTTCTGAACTTATGTTCTCTCTCTTCATTTTTATCATGGAGAATGTTTCATTGATTCTGAGTAGAACGTATGAACTCTGATGAGAAGTGTTAATAACACAATACAGTAGCATGCACTTTAACTTGCTCTATATTTACTTAAAATTCAAAAACAAAGATGACAGTCACCAAATTAAAGGATAAATTTATTAAATTCGTAGGTTCTAATAATTTATACTCCGTAATAACAAATATTTTTAAGAGATTGAATTGTTGATATTTTTCATATAAACTTGGATATATAATACCCCAAACATTATAAAATTAAGCTAGTGTAAGAGTTTTCCACATATAAAAATTATTATAAAATCCATTATTTATTCAAATAATTACATTAAAATAACATCACTCTCTCAATAATTATAATTTGTTTGTCCACTATTACAATATATATATATATATATATATATATATATATATATATGTATGAGAATGTGGATATATTAATTTAGGCACAAATTATGAATAAAATAATTAATGTTTCATAAAAAACTAAAAACATTAATAATTAAAAAAAACAAAAATTATAATAGATTTGAAATAAGAAAATTGAAAATACATGTATGTATAAATTTTAAACAAATCAAACAAATTTATTTGAAATAACAATAAAGAAATCAAGTTTTCATATCTAATTTACAATAGGTCAATAAATTTTAAGTTAATTGAAAGACAGTAGAAAAAAGTTAGAATAAATGCATTTTATAACTATGTGTATATATTAATATATTATGTAAAAGGAGATTAAACTATGACTTATTTTAAGTTCATTAACATAACTTTGCATTACAAAAATCGTTTAAAAAATACAATTGGTATAAAAAGAATAAAAGAGATCTATCAACAATATGAGTCTTTCCTAAATAAAATGTATTTTAAAAATTAGTACATCGTTAAATACACTACAATTAGTTAAAAGATTATGTTAATATTTAACACATAAGATTTGTATTTCTACTTATATTCGACTTTGGACGAAGTATAGTTTAGGCACAGATGTTCCATTATATGAATGACTTTATTCAGTTTTAGTATTTTGAAAAAATAACACCTTTTAACTATATTACAAAATATAAAGTAATAAACTTCAATTTTAAGTAGTATAAAAAAATTTGTCTTATCATGTCCCAAAACAACTATTTATTTGGAGTCGTTTGACACAAAATATAAATTTTTTAAATTGAAATCTTAATTTAACTTTTCTTATTATTGATAATTTATTTGATATAGTTCTATTTCGTATATTTTTAATTTCCAAAATAAATTGAAAAAAATTTAATTTAAAAATTTTTTTGGATGAAAAAATAATATATATACAAATAAAGGTAGCGAAAAAAAATTGTTTCATGATTTTTTTCAATAATACATCATATATAAACTATATATATAAAAATTAACGAAATCAAAAAGATAAAAACTAAAAATATATTTCTTGTTAGCTTTTAATATTTTATTTTTTAAAAATATAAATAATTTTAATAAAATATTAATCAAACTTAGAACTATGAATATTAAGTATTTATTACTATTAAAAAATATTAGAGTATTATTAAAATAATAAAATTATAGATTTAAAGTTATAAATATTTAAAATAAATTTTAAACTATTGAGATTATTTCTATATTTTTTATTTAAAAAAATATCCACGAATAAATTATTTGTATATAAATTATTAAAATTTAAAATACTTTTACATGTGGAATTACATTAAGATAATATTTTTATTCTTAAATAACTCTTAAATTTTTTAAGATATTTTAAGTACTTTCTACTTTAAATGAAAAAATGGTAGTAGTAGTCTATTTCTTAATCCTATGAAGAACTAAAAGTGATTTTTTTTATTAAAAAAATATTTTTCAATAATTTTCATTCTTCCTACATTTGTCATATTTCTTGAACTAATTTAAATATTAAATTAGTAATGAGTATTACTCTAAAATTTTTTTATCATATTTAAAATTAAAGGAATTGAATAAGATTTTAATATCTGTAAAGAACTATATTGTCAAATCATGTAAGAAACTAAAATTTATGTAATTTATTTGTAAAAAACAACCTTTGAATAAAATCTGTAAATAAGTATTTTTAAGAAAATGAATTAATAAAGTTATAAAATAATGTTATAGTAAATAACGCAGTGAAGAAATATTTTATTATAAGATGCAAATATCAATGTAATTAGAAGTTGAGTAATTATTAGGTGTGTTGTTTGGTTACACCTTGTTTTGTTGTTGGAAGAAACGGTGGTTAGGAATTACCGGTGGAGATAAACACTGCATTTATCTCGCAGTTCCAGAGAGTTCATACTTTGATGCATGCATCGAGCCACAAAATGCATAGAAGTTCTGGTACTTCTTGTCATCTTCGTCTTTAACCGCACTCGTATGGAAAGTCAGAGGGCACTGTGGCCAATATGTGCTTTCATTTTTCTTACTATCATTACTCCATCATCACAGTCACATTCCTCTATGCATTTTCTTTTCTTTAAATTCTATAATTTTTAAAATATTAATTACTCTGAATTATATTTTTAAATGATTAAAATTGTGTAGTTTCAATGGATACTACATATATTTGGCCAACAAAAAATAATTTTGTTATCCTCTTTATTCTTGTTTAATTCAATTCAAGATGAATCATCTCAAAATAAAACAATTTATAATGAGAATTTCTTTACTTGTAAATATTATTATAATTTTGTTTTTTACTTTTTATCTATAAATATTTCGTAAAATTTATAATAACAGGATATTTACACTTCTATTTTACTATTTCATCTACATAAATTATCATGGTGTACTTGCATCTTTATTTTTTTTAAGCTAAAATGTTTATTGAATATATTTTTATATTTAAATTATTTACATGCAATTCATTTGACAATTATGATATGTAATTTTTTTTTCAATAAAAAAATGTTTATGTCTTTTCATTTATTCATAATAAGAAAAAAAATGTGTACCGGTAGGAAAAATAAAATATGGTTATGTAGTTTCAGAATTTTGAAAAAAATATTTACTAATTTGTTTTTATCAATTAAATTTATTGTTTTTTCTATATTTTTAAAGTCTTCTAAAAATTTTCAAAAATTATATTAGTATTCTTTTATTTTATTTAGATTAGGAGGTGATAATTGAATATTCAATAGATTAAATTTGGGATTGGGTAAGTTTTTTTTTTAAATTATGAACTAAAAGTTTAATATAAAAAATAAATAATATAAAAGGTAGAGGATAAAATTATAAATAAATAAATAAAAATATTTAATATTATTAAGTTTATATATGATAAAGGGCAGATATTTTTATATATGATAAAATTAATAATATTTAAATTTTTATAATTATATTATAATATATAAATAAGTTTATTTTATTTTATTAAATCGATTTTGTATAATTAATTTAAATATTTTTTATTTTTAAAATGTTTTAAAAATTAATTTTAATAATATTATAATATTATCAATTTTTTTTAACGAAGTTTGACATAAAAAAAAAAATCTAGCGTTCAAATCTTATAATGCCTGTATATATAATTCTCAATAACAGTATATTAGTTTATTATGCAACTATATTTCTTATATTAATATAAATTATGACAATAATGTACAGTTACTCGATTATAATGAGTATAGCTATAATTGATTATTTAAATATTTTAATAAAATTTATAAAAAAGTATTTTTATTATTTATAAATAATTTTGATATTTTTATTATTACTGATCTATTTTTCTTTTTATATTAATTTGTGTATTAAGTATTTGTTGTGATTTGTTTTGTCCAATATTCAGCGGATCCAATAAATCTAAAGTAGCAGTCATTATTATTGTAATTTTTTTAGAATATTATAACAAATAATTAAGCATAAAACGTATTATATTAAATCAGTTTTATAATTGAATTAGATATTTCTATATAATTTTTAAAAATTAATTATCTAAGAAAATATATTTTGATTAATCATAATACGATAGTTGTATATATTTAAAAAAGTGTTTTTAAATCAAATGGAATTGAAATGTGTTTATTTTTTATGATTGTTATGGTAAAACCTTTTCAGAATGTGTTTTGGTTAATATTTATAAAATTTTTGTTTTTATGAAAAATAAAATAGTGGATAAATTATTGAAAGAAATTAGGAAGTATATTATATTTTCATTTTTTTAATTTATTTTATTATAATTTCAATTATATATTTTATTTAGTTTATTTTTCTTATTTTAATCTTATATTTTTATTTTAATATATTTCTATTATTTTTTATTAAACAGAACATAAGTCTATCACTTTAATAAAATAAAAAAATCTGTTGTATTAAACAAATAGAGGAAGAATGTGGCGAATCGGGTGGCACGTCTTATTGAATGCCAGTCATTGTCACTGATTCTCAATTTGTCTCAATCTAACAATATCACAATAGTTAAAGTATTAAATAAAATTTCTTTACCTTTCTATTAATTTTTATTAGATTATTTTTATTGTTAATATAGTAAAATTATAATATATAATATAGGTGAGATTATTCACCTTAAAAATAATTTCGTCAAATTAAGTTAAGTATATTTTTATTTTAAAAAAATATAAAAAATGAAACAGTACTAATAATTTAGTAAATAAAATATTTAGAATTAGGGTTTAGTGGGTGAAAATATGTGTGGGGGCGGCATGAGGTGTCCATTAAGCGAGGCAACTTAATAAATGTCTGCTGTACTGTATGGTGCGGTGTGGGACCATGTGCACCACTGCTGCTCTAATTAACCTCCATAAAAATTAACATGCTAAGCTAACTGTACTCTCCTCCATTTTTTTACAATTTTGGATTTAAAATAAATAGTAGATATGAAAATACTTTTTAAAAATTTAATATAGCTACGTACTCAGAATTTGAGACAGTGATTATTTTTTAATTCTAGGTATAAATCTTTTACCTAAATTTCCTCCTCAAGTACACTTTCCTTCAAACGAATCATTAATTAAACTTAGGGTCAGGACAATTTGGAAAATGAAATGAAACTTTTCTTCTTTGGGCCTGGAAAGGCAAAGCCTTTGTTGTAGCACTGGACTCTGGGTCAGGCCACTTAACAAATTGAAGGCCCCTAAAAATATGTTTATTAAATATTGAATAACTTTTAATGATAAACTCGAATGCTTATTAAAATGCATAATATAAATAACATTAAAATATGTTCAATTAATTAATAACCGATTCTTAAAAATATATGATTTATTACCTAAAAAAAATAACACAATTACTTACTACTTAAAATCACAGACACCATTATCACTATTAGCTGGGGTTACGAAGATAACATGGTGAAACAAACAAAAGACAAGCTCATGAAAACAAAGGAAATGTTCCATATCAGGCTAACAGCTAGAAAGAGAAGTAACCACCTGATTGCACAATCATATGTGCTTCCTTCCCTCACGCATTAAAAATACAATCATATAGAATCAATTAAATTAGTTTGGCTTTTTCCAGATAAAAAGCAAATGTGCTGAACAAGAATTACAAGGGAAAAGTGGTGAAAGAACCATGCATGGTATTGTTCAGAATTTTGAGCATAACATTTTTAGATACACTGAAATCAAATGGAGGCAGACACATAATTTAAGAGGAAGTGATGCTAAGTGGTAAAGGGTTGGCTTGGTTCTCAGATGAAGGTTGCTGATTCACTACTGAATCAATCTGCCTCACATTTTCTATCATTTTTACAACTTCCGACATCTTAGGCCTCTGATCAGGAACCCTGACCACGCATGACAAGGCTATCTGTAACATTTCCACCATCTCTTCCTCTATGTTAGGATATCTGATCAACTCCAAGTCAAAAACTTCTGCTGTCCACTCCTCTCTTACAACCGAATGAACCCATCTCACCAAGTGCACAATCTCATCGCCACCAGCTGTGTACACAGGGGATTTCCCAGTGAGAAGCTCCAGTAACACCACACCAAAGCTGTAAACATCAGAAGATTGCGTTGCTTTCCTAGTGTCTGTAACTTCAGGTGCTCTGTAACCAGCAGCTCGTGAGATGGGTATGGCAACTGAACTCATTATGGTTGCCAGGCCAAGATCAGATATACAACCATATTGTTTAGTATTCATAAATATATTTGAGGATCTGATATTGCCATGTACAAGTTTCCCCCCATTCTCGAAATGGATGCGAGTAAGGCCTCGTGCAGCACCCAAAGCAATTTTCATTCGAGTCTCCCAATCTAAAGGCACCCTATCCTCTCCTCTTTTACCTGAAAAACTCAAAAACCATTATTTATCAGTCTTGGTAAAGGTTTCGACAGTTTAGTTATGTGGTATGTAACAACATAACTGTTTCAAGACAGATATGTTTTATTAGTTTGATATACTGTCATTGTCTCGATAACAAGGCAAGAGTTTCAAATTACAATTTTTCATACAATAACACTTGACTTAAGCGTACAACATCAACTATAAGAAGTTATTACATGATAATCCAACTAATGTAGACTACACAAATTACCAAGACTTTCAATTTACATATGTGTTTACATATGTGGAAGTGGAATTTCGGCAGGACCATGGTGATCTGGACCGTATAATAATTTCTCCATTGAGAGTGAAAGCCAAGATCTGTTTTGGCTTTAGAAGATGAGTACAATCAAAAGCTATATTTCAAACTTCAAATCTTATGCTATCCATTCAATTTTGTCCATGTACAGCTTAGTTGAAAGTGCGATGAAGCTTATCCATAGACAAAATTTTAACTTGTTTAACATACCAAATATGCAGGCAGTCTTTCCTTTCGATCAAAACCAAGATACAACAACGACATCCAAGTACCCAAAAAGCGAAAGATTCGAAACAAGTGAGCATGGACATTAACTTGAAAAAGTAGGAAAGCAAAATTAAGGTACATACCATGCAACAAAGCAGAGAGACTCCCTTGAACGTAGTAATCATAGACCATGAGTTTCTCATCTTTGGAATAGTAATACCCCTTTAGCTGAACCACATTCTCATGTTTCAGATTCCCAACAACCTCCATGTGCTGCTCAAAATCTCTCTTTCCAACTGCCACTTCCTTCAACCTCTTCACAACAACAGTGGTAGCATCCTCTAACGCAGCCTTATACGCAGCACCAAACGTCCCCTTCCCCAATACCTCAGCAGAAGCCCTCAACAAATCCTCCAAGTCAAACGCATAGCTACACCCCTCAAAGAAAAATATTTTATTATTCGCATCAAGGTCCCTCGACACTACTTTTTCGGGAGACATATCTCCCTTCTGCAAATTCCGAGCAAAGGAATCTCTGCTCTTCTTTCTCGACCAGCACACAAAGATAAAAACAAAGAACGCTGCAAGAGCAACAGGAGCAGCAGCAACAGCAACCCAAAACAGCGCCGTTTCGCCGTGCTTGGCAGATTTAGAATGTGAAATGGTTTCGAGAGAGACATTGTTTCCTACGAAAGCCGAGTTGGGAAACCTGCGGAGAGAGAGAGGGATTTGGCCCGAAAGCGAGTTGTTGGCGAGGTTGATGGCAGTCAGGTGAGTCAAATCGGAAAGGGAGAGAGGAATGGTGCCAGTGAAACAATTATTGGAGAGGTTCACAACAGAGAGGTTCTTCCAGGCAGAGAAGTCGGGTAATGGACCAGAGAAATTGTTGAACTGAAGGTAGAGAAAGGAAAGTTCAGTGAGATTGGAAAAATCAGAAGGGAAAGGACCAGTAATGAAGTTGGATCTGAGACTCAATGTTTGCAGGCACGTAACGCGGCTTAACGTATTGGGAGGAATGGTTCCATGAAAGCCTAGGCCAGGTAAGTGAATGGCTATAACTCGTGAGTGGTCATGGTTACAGGTTACACCGGTCCAAGAGGTACATGGAGAAGAGGTTGCGTTCCAATTGAGGGGTCGTGAAGGAGGCAACTTTTCCACTAAGTGAAGCAGTGCTTGCTTGTCCTCTGTGGGTTCTGCATTTGGTTGGAAGAGGGTGAGAGAAAGCAAGGAGATGAAGCACAAAATGCGTTGCATTTTCCGGCAGAGAACGAGGTGGTTCTTTCTGCTGCAAACGCTCAAACCAACCACCACTGCTTTAGTTCTGTCTAACAATGAGACCAACAACTTACCTCCAAAATATTATACACAAAGAAAAAGAAAAAAAAAAAAAAAAAGGATTTGGAAAAGAACGAAATGAGAAGCGGACACAGAGAAACATGCATCGACAAATGTGCCTTCAGATACAGCCAGGATGTGTTTCGTCAAGTCAAATGAGCGCAGTAATTTCTTAGTAAACATTCAACTCACCCATGCTCAAGTAGCAAGGAAATAAAGTTAAGGATAAAAACAGTTTGATAGAATAGAAAAACAGAGAAAAAAAAACACAATAAATCTCACCATTTTAAGGATTATTTATATTCTGATATCTGGTACCAAATAACATAAATTTAACTTGACCTCTCTCAGTACTTTTTTTTTATTATTCTGAATCATAGAAATGGTAAAAGGGAGATAGTATTATTATTATTATTATTATAAAGTAACGAAAGGAGTAATATTTATTGGAGTGAAAAGGAAATTGGAGGCAGAGGGTCTGAATTTGGGGCTATTATGGAGAGATGTGATTCACTTTATGTTTTGTTTTATTGTTCCTCCTTTCCTGCCCTTCAAAAGTCATCCTTTAGCTGCATTGCCATTTCCAAAAGAAAATGAGAGAAAGAAATAAACGTACGAGTGATGATTGGTGAGAAATAATGGTAATTGGTAAAAGGAGTAGCATCCAATGCACAACTCTCCTCCACATTGCCATTGTTAGAGGCGTTTGCTATGAAAAAAATAAATTACCTCTTAAGGATGATGGTATTCAAGATCAAACTCGAAGATATTTTTACAATCTTAGCATTTAATAAATTAAAATTCCACTTATATTTTATTAAGAGTCCATTTAACACACGAGATGAAGCATAATCTTTCAATAGGATTCTAAATTGTGACTAACAGTTTGCAAATTGAAAGTAGGATCAGCTTTATTTTCCTGCAACTGCTACCATGACAACAACTGTATTCTAAAACCCTTCAATATTTGTGGATGGTAGTTAAGTTCTCCATAATAAATGACATAATAGTTGTAATAAACTTTATTATGATAAGCTTTATTATTATTATATTGGAAACTAAATTTAAATTTAACTCGTTTATAAAATAAATTTTATATCCATTTGTACAATATATTTTGACTATTATTTATATCACAAAACAAGTGTGCGGTTGTAGTAATAATGTTATATGTGGCACAGAAATAGATATTAGGCATTCAGTAAATGCTCCTACCTTTTCTTACCCAAACGAAAAAAAACAAATTTGAATATTCAATATCCCATTAAATTAATAATTTGATTACAAATGAAATTTCAACAAAGTAAAAATTAGGTATTTAAAGAGAAAAAAAATCTTGTAACACTCCGTTTTTTAATATAATTAAAGAACATAAAAGCAAAACATAAATTTATTACGTAAAAAGTAATAGATTTGTTGAAAATTTGTTTTTTAATTACTTAAAAAAAGTAAAATTTTAATAAATTAAAATTAATTTATGCATGAATTAAGTAGGTTCTAAAAAATTTTAACATAACATAATTTTTTACAAACTTATTTATAAATTACATATACAAAAAATATATTTAACCTATATTTTAAATACGGGTATTTGGACATTGATTAATAACTACAACTAAATATATCATATTAAATTATTAGTATTTTGGTGAATCACACGTCATGAAATGCAACCCTCTTTTAAAAAAGCATAGAATTGAATGACTTATTGTTTTAGTTCATAAAATAAGTATTTGTTTACAGACACATTAAAAAAAAAAAACTTATCGGTTCATGAAAAAAATAGTATTAATATTGTGCGTATTATAACAAGAGAAGTTGAAATTTTCTTGCAACTTATTGATAAAAGAAACTATCATTAACAGGTCTTAATGGAATTATATAATATGATCACAATGTGAGTAGAAACATAGAAAGTGGAATAGAAAGTATAAAGCGAACTTGTTTACACTTTTTTTTTTTTTTCAGATTATCATTGAATATTATACATTAATTATTTTTATACAGAGATAACTATATGTGATGAACATTATAATTTAATTTTTATAATTATTTTATTCCTCAAACAGAGGTTAAATTTTTTGAAAGGGTTTTATTTAAATACATACACCCCTTGCTAAAACTACTCTTAATATAAAGTACAAGATTTAACTAAAGTTTTATTTTTGTTAGTATTGTTTTTGAATAATGAGAACAAAACATTCATTCAATAATCTTTTTTTTTTTTTTCATTTGGTAATTATAAAAAAAAGTTAATGATAATAAAAAAAAATTAAAATGAAAATAAAAAAATTTAAAACTAAACTATATTATATTATAAAACTGTTAAATGGATGTTTATTATATAGAGTGTGGATTTTTTGTTTTTTATTTATGTTTTGAATGTGAACATGGAATTGAGACGATCAAGAAGATTGAAGAAGTGACAGTTCTAAGCGACCTGTCCATTCTTCTCCTGGCTTGAGGGTGATTGGGTTTTCAACTGCTGCACCATCAACACACAGCATTTGCTTGTACTCTTCATCTCCTAAATCTACAATGGACTTGGACTTTCTTTCCCAAGGGTTCCAAACAACTGTTTAACAACCAAATGTGATTAGTTTGTGCAAGAAAATCAAAATACTACTAAATATTTGAAGTTTTACAAAAAAATCCTAAACATACCAACATCCGGAAGTCCTGCATCCTTTCGTATCACAAACGTTCTCTTCTTTTGGTGATCCATGACAGCTATCACATTGTTAGAATCAATGTAGATCCTATCAACCTATAAGATGGGACAATAACATTTTGCAAATAGTATAAATCTTAGGTGCCACTATAGTATCTCTACATGTGGAAAAGAGATTTGAGAGTAAGATTTGTTTAAATTAAAAGATAAATAATAGGAGATTTAAAAAAAGAAAAAGGGAAATTTGTGAGTAATTTGATTAATGTAAATGATAAAAAAATATTTTAATAGAAACAATTTAGAGTTAATCAAATTGTCTTTTTAATTAGAATTAATTGTTAGTGTTAGAGAATCGGTTCTAAAATGTTAATAATTGATTATCCATTAGAATATTTGTGTAAAGTACACAGAGTGAGTTATCATTTTCACCTTATTTTCTCACTCCACTAAGAATCTTTCCTCTCTTCCCTTCCTTAAATCCACTCTATTTACTAAAAATAAATACAAAAGCTACTCGCTTTTTCATTAACGTAAACGGGTACAAGCACAATATAGTACTTAGTTTAAATTAGAGGATGAATTTGGAAAGCCAAAAAAAATGAATTTGAGGGAAAAAGAATAAAAAGTAAGATTGAGATTGTTTGAATTAAAGAAAAATGAGAAAAAAGTTTATGAGTAATTTGTTTATTGTGAATAATAAAAACATGTTTTAATAAAAGAGTTTTGGACAAAATCAAATTGTTCATTTTGTGATAGATTTTTAAGATGTAAGAACCAATAAAATATTTGAGGAAATTATATGACATAAATTACCTTTTTCATTTTATCTTCTCACCTTACCAAGATCCTCCATCTAATTCATGCTCTCAAATCCATTCTATTAATGTGAAACAAAAACAAAACTTTCTCATTATTTCATCAATGCAAATAATATATAATTGGTAACAAACATAACGTAATAATTTGTTTGGATTATATAATAAATTTAAGGGAGTAAAAAGTGATGAATTTGAGGAAAACGAGAGATGAAGTGAGGTTGATTGGAATAAGGAAAAAATGACAAGGAAACACTATTTAAAAATTTTGATAGGACCAATTGATTCAACTAGTCTAATCAAATACCGGTTTGTTATTTCTAAATAATTGAATTTTAATTATAATGAAACAAAAAAAGGATAAAATTAATAAAATTGAACAAATGGGCTGGAATTTCGAGTTGAGCAAGTTTTAAAAAAAGATAACATAAATTTTTTAATATATATTTTTTATAAAAAGATATAATATGTTTAAATATTTTGTTCTTATGTTAGTTATGTCAACTTTAAATAATAGCTATTTAATTGTGTTTTTATTTTATTTTAACAATTATGTATTTTTTAATTTTTAATATATTTTATATTTGTAATATTTATTGTAATTTATAATGAGCATGACAATAATCTTTATTAATTTCTTGGTGTGAAAAAATATTGTTACTAATAAAATAATTAGATACATATTATAAAAATATTATTTTATTTAAACCTTAAAACATAACCCATAATTGATTTAGTGACCAGTTCAATTTTAAAAATATTTGTAAAAAATGTAGAAAAATGAGAAAAAAAATTTGTGAATGATAAAAATATGTTTTAATAAAATAATTTTGGAGAGAACCAAATTGTCTCTTTGGTGAGAATTGATTCTTATCCCACCAAGAATCTTCCATTTTCTATTCCTCTCAATTTTACTCTCTCAAATCCATTCTATTAATTAGAAATAAACAAAAAAGCTACTCATTCTTTTATTTGCATAAATAATATATAATTAGAAACAAACAAAAAGTAACACTTTGTTTAAATAAGATGATGAATTTGAAAGAGTGAAAAGAAATGAATTTGAAGGAGTAAAGAAAAAAAGAATGTGAAGGAAAAATAATATAAAAATAAAATTATTTGGATGAAGAGAAAAATAGTAAAATACCATAAGAAAATGAGAAAAAAAAATTATACAAATTTAAGAATAATTTGATTAATGTGAATGATAAACAATATTTTAATAAAAGAAATTTATGAATCCAAATTGTTGATGAAAATCGATTCTAAAAAATTAGATAATCGTGGGTAAGTTATAAAGATGAATTGTATTTCTCACCTAATATTTTCACCTCAGTAAAGATTTCCTTATTTTTCCTCTTCAAATTCTTACTCTCAATTCTATTCTATTAACCGAGAAGAAACACAAAAATGACTCCCTCTTCCGTACACGTACGTTTGAAAACAAACACAACACAAGGGAAAATGGAAAATAATCAGCATTGAATTAAAACATTATGAATTGCGTCACCTCTGATTCAAATGTCAAAGCACCTCCTTGTTCTGTAAAACGTTGCCTCTGCAGGAGGTTGTCCAGGTAATATTGAGTTTCCAACCCTTCTACTCTCACTTCACTGTTAACAATTAATTAGCACATCATAACTAGCCATTCATTACAAATTCATCATTTTTCCTTTTCACAATAATAGTAGGATATGATTGTATTAAGAGAAAATATAAATAATGAAAAAAACTCTGAGCAATAAGATGAACTTGCTTACAAGTTTAAAAAGTAGAAATTTAGCGATGTCACGAGAAGTATTTAGGAAAAAATTATCCAAACATAATGTTAATAATAATAATAATAATAGTTACCTAATATCAGAGACGGAGAAATATGTATGATAGGCAATGGAGAAACTGAAATTCTTGCTATCCACGTTTCTGATGCGCGAAGTCAAATTCAGAATGCCATCTGCTGCCAAAGAAATCCTTAAACGAAACTCGAAGCTGAATAGAATAGTATATGGCGGTATTCAGAACTCTGATACTAAAAATAAATATACTACAACAAATTTTCCTGGCTTATGGTTTGACAAAATTCAATAGTATTCATGTAATTCTCTTACATGATCGTGTTAATTAATCTCAACCTCACAAAGAGTTGCAATGTAAAATATTAAAATAAAAAAGAAAAGAAAATGGAATTGCTATGATCAGATAGTAATAACACGTACTTGTGTGGCCATATTTTCGCATCTTCTTCGTATGGTTTAAGCAGCAAATCAACATACACTTTCTCGGTGAAATCTCCGGCAAGATGTGGAGGATTATTTTCAATAATCCAGATCCTGTTTCTCGCAAATCCATGCCGCTCCAGTGTTCCCGAATTCCCAAACTGCAAAAAAATTACACCAACTCAGCCATTAATTATGCAGTGTTAATCAAACTTTTGAACAAATTATTTGTACTTGTGGAAAACAGATTGGAATTCCTCCGCGTACAGCTGTGGGAGGATCAAATATTGCCTGTTAAAAAAAAAAAGAGTTTCATGAACAGAAGAATTCAACAAATATATTAAAAATTAATTAATAAAGGTTTAAGAACAAGTGACACTTCTCTTAAAATATAGAATATGTTATTAAAAAGATTATTAATAATTGGATAAGTACTTTGCTGCTTAGGAAGAGTAACTCCTCTGCTCTTTTTGTTTTCCAAGAAATAACCTGACCTCCTAACAAACTAACAGTTGCAGAAGCTCCATTGTTTCGGAGCACGAGTCGGGGTATTCCATTCTTGTCGTTGACGAGTTCAACTCCAGTTTGAACTGCTTTGTTGGCTGGTGATGGTGGTCCTCTTCCTCCTTCAGAACTTGAACCAGAATTCTTCATCCCCAATATTTCAAAAGTAAATTGGTAGAGAGAAGTTGGCAAAAAGAAATCTGAGATGACGAAAAAGATGAAGAGTCATGGGGTTGCAATGACACTTTATAGATTTTGTGAATTTGAAACCAAAAACTCAACTATATATATGGGTTTTGAAAGTCAATTTATGAGAGCGGGTAAGGTGGGAGCTATTACAGTTGAGGAGTTGGAAAACTTCAGAAGTAATTCAATTTTATAAAGTATAAAAAGTTATTAACGATTAGTGGAGGATAAACATAATTAAAATTAAATATGATAATTTTAATAATATAATTATAATGTAATGTTGTTTAAATATTATTTATTTTGTATATTAAAATATTTTATATAATCAATCATTTTAAATTTTTATTATCAATTTTATTTTTTTTGCAAAATATTCGCTAGTTTTCCTAAAAAAGTTATAGAAATATTATTTTTTTTATACCAATATGAAAAGAAAATATAAAATTTTCAATAAATTTTAAGAATGTAATGTGTTTTGCCAACCGTAAAAAAAATCATAAATAAAATGTTATAAAAATATATATATGGAAGTTTAGGTCAATATCGAATAAGTTTTTCAATACCATGATAAATATATATAGAAATAGAAATAAATTTTTAAAAGAATAAAAAAAATGACAAAATAACTAATGAAGAAGTTAGTGTATACAAAATATTATTAAATCAATTGTAAAATTATATTATAAAAGAAACTAGAGAATATAATATTTTAAGTATATAATAATTAATAAAATAATTGATGATTATATTATTCATTCCCTTTTAATAAATAAAAAAATTACAAACAAAATTATTTTATAACTTATTAATAATTGAGAAATAAATAATTCTAAAAAAAGTTTGAATTTGTTATAGTAGAGATAATTGTGTGAGAGGAATACTTTATATCAGAATATATCAATTTCTATTTCTAAATAATATGATATGCATTTTAACAGAAGTTTTCAAATGCAATATCCTCAATATGTCAGTCATCCCTCTCTCACCATCAAGACCATCATAAATACTGGTTACAAGTTAATTGTGTTTAATTTTATTTTATTGGGTATAAGTTTTAAAAGTTAAACTTTTTGTATTTTAAAAATATATTTAAGTTATATTTCAAATTAAGAGAATATATTTGGGATAAAAAATAGTATTATATTTTTATTAATACTAAATATCTACAAATATACATGATAAATGTACTCTTATATTCTTTTAAAAAAGACGTAAGAGAAAAAAAAATGGTTACATTTTTTTTGATAAAAACAAAATCTATCTAGGCATGTAGACTCATTAATTCATATCTCTCAATGAAAAAAAAAATCTCAAAATAAATACAAAATAAAATATAAATAATATATTAATTAAGTTTACTAATTAAGCATTTAAGATTACAAGATGGATTAATTCCAGGTCTTTTTTTCAATTGGCGAAATTAGTAGTTTTAATTTATTTTAATTTGTTTTACTTAACTCGTCAAACAGATGAAAATTACACTGGATTGATTTACTTTCTAATTTATTTTAAAAAAATATTTATATATTAAAAAATTATAATTAAAAATATTATATTATTAAAAATTTTAAATATATTATAATATTATGATTTAAATTATAAATATTAATCAATTTAATTTAAATTATTAATTATAATAAGATATTTAATATATAAATATAATAATTATTTAACTGTTTAATAAAAATTTAATAAATAAAAATTTAAAAATATTTACATAATTAAAAAAAATATATATATAAATTATTAATAGTCGACATACTGTTCATCCATCATTTGATAAATGGAAATAAAATTTATAATTCATCCTTGACAAATTAGTTTGTCTCAGATAATTTTAGCAGGTAAAAAAGACAATGGATTAAAATTGGTATATTGACCCGTTTATATATGTTAGAAGGATGTAACTACAAATTCCAAAATTTAATGCTATGATGAACTCTGCAATATTAGATTAATAATAGTAGTTATACCACAAATCATGATGTCTTCCTCAGAAGATTAGACAATAGTTTAATACTATGTTTAGTTAGTTTAACATTGCCTAATTATTTCTGCTCATTTCAAATTTAATCTTAAGAAACCAGTTTTTATGTTCAAAGAATATTCTTTAATGAACAACTTTTTGAATTAAAAGATGATAAAAAATGAATTGTTTCTCTAAAAAAGCTCTTATATATTATATAATCCCTAATATTGTAAACACAATTTTTAAAATAATTATTATAAAAGTAACATACTTATTATATTATCATGAATAATGACAATATATCATAAAATGATAGAGTATGAAATGCGTCTCTATTAAACTCTGGTTATTCTATCTCAACTCACATCCAAGTCTAAGTATAAATGTTGGATCTTACCCACGATTAGTTTTGCTAGTTATTTAAAAATAATTAGATCCTTTCAAAAAAATTCACATATTCTTGGCATGAATTAGCCCAAAAAAAACTCCATAAAATGTTTCAGATAAACAAATCCCTTATGAATGCAATATATTAGGGTAGTTGATTAATAAGGTATAGAAGGAATACGTTCATTAATAATTTACATCATAGCTCAATTATAATTAAAGTCGTAATGATAACTATACCAGTGATAATAATTATACTAATTAATAATAATAATAATAATAATGATAATAATAATAATAATAATAATAGTAATAATAATAATAATAGAAAAATACTCTCTATTTGCAGAATACATAAAATTACTCTGAAGCAACATGGCAAATGTCTTAAATAATATGTTCCACGTTATTCAGGGAAAAAAAAATGAATAAGGCAAAAGGCATGGATGCATGATGCTGTGCGCAGCATAGATTGTCTACTCTACCAACGACCAACCTAAAACCAATATTCTACCTATCAAGTCTAATTTCAAAAATAAAATCCTATAATTAAATTGCTATGAAATTCTCTTAAACTTTTCCCACGTGGTTTATATTACACGGTTAAGTGGGGAAGGAACAGTTTCTCAAAATCGGACAAACACATATGCCAATTTCTCAATACCATACCATTCTGAGGAGCATGTAAATATCTCATGTAAGTATCTCATGTCAGGTAGGCATAGCTCTTAACCAACAGCCCTCGCATTCAAATGGAAGAATCAAGATGAGGTTATCGTAATGACAAATCACCTGATACAAAAATGATGATCGAGGAACTAACAGGTTTCTCCTTACTATATATCCATCTGTCACTCTAATCGTCATACTGCTGCACATATTGCCCCTACAAGATGGGAAGAAAACAATTTATGTGGAGCTGTGAAAATAGCTAAATCCATTTCCTTTTGTGTGTGCATATATGTTAAATCTCTTTTTCTAAAGAAAAAATACATTGTTTTGTAACACTTACCCCTTTCCACCCTGAAAGCCCGTTACCAATGATAAATCCTAGAACAACTAGGCCAATGGGTGTAATATTATTTATAAGATGATTCATTATTCAAACCATAATTGATAATGGAAGCTCCTGATCCTATCCATACCAATTGTAAACATGTATATTTAAGAGAGAGGTGGGTAGCAAAAAATTTACCTGGGGACCGGGAGGAGCAGCACAGTTTTGTTTCATCAAGGTGCTGTACATCAAGCCCAATAAACCAAGATCCAATGCTTACATCATCGTGTGCATATGTACGGAGCATAAAACTGCAAAGTAAACATTTCAAATTGATACAGCATTCTTTGTGCATGTTTGGATAAAAAATGCAACTATTTGTTGTTTTGACTTTAAAATTATAATTAACTATAATAATTGAATTTAATCCAAACACGCCCTTGGATAATTATTACAAACACACGCAAAGGAAAACTATACCTGTTTATAGAAATAAACTGAGCCAATGATTTTGAAATGACATAGGCCTCGCCTGAAGCATGTCTAAAGTATCTGAATCAAAGAATAATGAATTTGAATGTCAACAAAAAATGTGCAAGAAGAGGATGAAAGAAAAACAATTTCTGGATCTAATATCATGATTTAGACAATATATTTTTATAGGTAATCTTGGATAAGTTTTCCTAAAGAACACTTCTATGTCATTTTTCATGAAAGCTGAGGAAAGTTCTAATACAGTTTTTTATGTTTTTCAAAAAGAAAATTATCTAATCATTATAATATTTTTTTTTGTATGTCTTATCCCGGGTATACCCTCTACACTAAATATCATCGGGTTATTTTACCTATATTTTAAAGACACGCAATCATATTGAGGATAACCTTTAAGAAAATCCCATTCATCTGACTGAGGCATATGATGATGGAGAGTTGTTCTACACTCATGGCTGCATCATTCTGAGTAGAAATTGTCAATGCTTAATTTTCATTGATAAAAATCCAATTAATTTATCATTATTGATCAAAATTCTGCTGTTGCATAAACTAATCAAGGAATTCATTATATCGCTAAACATCTTTCGAGTACATTTTTCTGAAAAAGAAAAAAAAAAGTGATAGCATCATATAGACTGGAACTAGAAACAACTGGCAATTTCTTCCCAAAACGGTAATATCCTAGAAATAACAATTTTAGCTTTTGTATCAAAATCTCATCAATAAATAAAATAAAAATGAACACTTAAGTCTGTATTACTCACGATTTTCCATCACCAAATCTCCACCAGTCTGGCTCATGCCATTTATGTGTCCTATAAAACAAGATTCAGACGGAATGAGAAAAGGGAAGAAATTCTAATACCATAATAACCCGTTCTTATTCCCAATGAAGCGTTTGGTAAACACTCACTGCTCAGAGAAAATTTTGCCTGATTTCATGCAACCAATATAAACACGAGGCTTGTCCACGTATGAAGCTAGGACTCCTCCAAGGGCATCTGTAGAAGAAATTATTTCACACACACTGAAACAGCAAAGATCCTACACCAGCTAAAAATACTAAATCCAACTGACTTTAATCAATGACATCACGTCTGAATGTTCACAACTTTCTAGGAATTTAAGAAATTTATATAACTACTGGAGTGGGGTTCCAGTTCATCATCAAATCATCGGAACCAATAATTTCCCTGGTTTGATTTTCATGAATGGTAAGTTCTGCAAGTGTATGAGATGCATGATGCATTATATTTTTCATTGCCAGACAGAATTAAGGACCACATACCAAGATTAACATAGACATCATCGTTGACCTTGGCATAAAATTCAGCATCCCAGTTGCTCACTGCATAAATGAAGAATGATTTTATCTTTCTTGCTTTTTCTTCAGGTGCCTCCACTTGATTATCCTGTGAAGTAAATAAAGCTATACGACATTATCATATTTAATTGTTACGTGTATTAAATTATATGTATATAACTTCATGCGGAGCATCTAAAGAGTCTATCACCACATTAAGCTCTATAGTCCACAAACAAGAGGTAAGAACAAAAGTTGGCTGAAGCCTTTATTAACTACATTCCAAAATTTTGAATTTGAAAAAGGAAGTTCGAAGCCATAGTTTCATTTTATACCAAGGCCTTTTTACAGTTCAAAGTATATCTAAAATGCATAAGTCAAATTTACATATTCAGTCACAGACCAGATAGTCACGAGGGGAAATTTATGATATCTGTACTTCCCATCAAATATTGTTAGCATGAAACTATCATTATAAAGTCAACATACAAGAATGATGAAGTCATTGGTGTGACTGCTTTCTTTGTTAATTTCTTTGTCCAAACTGTCTCCGCGGTTTGCACTGCATCAAAATGTTAAAAGCCAATCATTTGCTACAATTGAATTTGAACCACCAAAATTCTACCTTCTTCCTATTACAAATTGCACAATGAAGTCGTTCTTATCAACCAGTTCTCTCGTAGCTGTACCTGCAAATAGGATATCAATGAGTTTGGCAAGGCTTCTACAGACTACATTAAAATAAGTAGATAGATTAAAAACAGAAGCTATATCTATAATAGAGAATTTAAAATAGAAACAACAAATTATTAATTGACTGCTTAAAGATATAACTAAACATGCTGACATTTATAAACCAAAATAAACTATAAAACCACAAAAATGGGTAAAAATTGGTTGTCAGAGAATACTATGTTGCTTGAAACTGAGAAGTGATCGACACCTGTTGTCAAATTTTTGAGTTCTGACTTCAAAATTAATGCATTTTAAGAGCCGAGTCGAAGGTCATATGATGACTCATATTTCTGTCAGTTACAATATTAGAAAGGATAAAACTGAAGAAAAACAAAAAAACAATAACAGCATGCCAGATAGTCATGATTATTCAGAGTAGCTACTAGCCGTAACCAAAATACAAAAATTTAAGTCTACCCTGTTCACTGAATAAAGATGAGAATATCAATATGCAGTAATCATGAAAAAGGAAATCAAAACAATGAAAAATATACCTGCTGGCATCCAAGCCTTACGGATTGCATCTCGGTTTTTTCTCCGCCCAAAGGTTGTCATCACTCCTAATACTACAAGTACTTTCTTTGTAGGATGCTTCTCATTATTTCCTGGCAAGTGCTTCGGAACAAAACCTTCCTGTCTAGCCGCAGCTAGTTCGGTCTCAAGGACAGACAACTTCTTACTTTGTTCCCTAAAATATGGGAACAACAGCCTCATGTAGAGATTATGCCTAACCAAATTCAAATTCAGCACCCAACATGACACTGGCAAGATTACAATAATAAGAAAATTACCTGCAGGCTATAACTTTCAGTGTATCATCAAGAGAAACGTCTGATTGACCCTGAAATCGGATGAACTATACTGTCTCATTGATATCCTAAAACGATAACTAAAAATTAAATTTAAAAACAAAAACAATCTCACCGACTCACAAAAAAGGCACAGTACAGAACACACTTCATTATAACAGAACATTCGAGTGTCAAAAATACGTCTATGCAGCACAATGTACGACAAGACTATACAAACTTCAATGAAGAAAAAAAACACCATACCTGATCAGTTTTTCTTTCGAGTACTTCGATTAAATAAGTCCTACTTTCGGCATCCTGAAATAACCTGCGCATCACACAATACATGAAAAAAAAAATCGAAACACAATCCACAATCGAAGTTGAAAAAAGATGAATAAGGAGAAGAAAATTAAAATAATAATTATAATAACTAATTAACAAACTAACCTGGCGGCAACATAAACGGTAGCCATTGTAGCAATCATGGCTAGCATGAGAGCAGAAACACGTGATCCAAAAGAGTTACCAGATAGCCGGATTTTTGATCCCCGGCTACGCATTGCCGTTTGTCGAAATTATCATTCAAGTGTCAGATCCGGGGAGAAAGAGTATATAAATGGGTGTTTAAGAAACGAATATATCTTCTTGGTTGGGGCTTGACGTTTCGAGTTTGAACTCTGAAAACGACCTTATAACCGCTTCTAATTTCAGGGTTCATGTAATTTAACTGTTTTTATGGTTTCAGGTCTCGTCGGAGGTACTGAACGAACGCTGCTGAGACCAAGAACCACTTTAGTTACATAATAATTCAATGCCACCACTGCATTAGTTTTTTTAGGTTTTTCTTTTTCATTTTATTTTCAATAAAATAAAATATATTATATAACCTGTATTTTACTTTCTTCTTTCAATTTTATCCGTCTAATGAAAAAAATTTCCGCGTATTCATTTTGTAGGAATTAGAGTGTTTTCGGATGCATAAAAAAAGTGTTTTTCCTTATATTTAAACCTAATAATTTTTTTATTATAATCAAATTTGATTACAGCAATTAAGTTTGTATATATTTCTAAGTTTAAGAATACATATAAAACAATCAAGTTTAAAAAATATATAAATGAAAACATATTTAACTCTATAATTTGCATGTAATGCTGTCAAACTTAATATTTCAATATAATTAATTGAAAATAAAGTATCAAAATAAAATATTGAGTATAAAACACTAAAAAATTTAAAACTATCAATTTTCAATATGAATAATTTTTAAAGTTAAAAAACTTTATTTAACGCAAAACTATTTTAGAACGCGTATGCGTATGTTACTATCATCTATCACACGTGTAAGTAATCTGTGTTTGGTTTGCTTGTTGGTTACTTCCCTGCGAATGCTAAAACCCTCGTCTGTTTCTTCTTGCTTATACGAATGAGATGCTCACTATTTCATACAACAAATCGAAACACTTTCAAAATGACAGTGGCAGACACTGACGATGTTAGTACGGAGTGTAACTTCGCGTTCGCATTCAACAACGTCAATTTCTCAGACCGAATTCTCAACATTGAGGTTATACCTGACCACCCTCATTTCAGCCGCATCCGATCCCATTCTCCCTCTACTGTAACTCCCAGTCGCAAGAGAAGCAGACATGGTGTTATGAAAGGTACCTTCGATCCAGACACTTCAATTCCGCACCTGGTTCTTAAATTAAATTCGATAGGTCTAAGATTAATCTCAAATTAGCCATATATTATGTTGTTTCTGGTAAACCCCAGAAGCTCTTCAGTTGGTTTGTTGAATTTTAAAATTCGGGGTGTGATCGTTGGGATGCATAGTCCTTACCAGGTTATAATTTATTAATTTGCTTTGGTAAGTACCTGACAAATTCAAATGCTTTCGTTTAACAGCCAATGATGTCCTCTTGCAGCCCGAGGAAAAGGTAAATTGTCATTTACCAGATGCCGAGGAAACTGTGGCAATCACGGAGGCATCATCACCTTCAGGTTTTTGTGTTAACATATGGTTCTTTTTCCTTTTTTAAAAAATTTCAATAGCTTGGATTGTTATTGTTATCCAATCCTTCGCTAATGCTTCAGGACCCCTTTTTATATTCAGTATTATTATACTGAATATAAAGCAATGTATAAATATGTCTTCTGTGTATATGGATCTTGGCCTAGGTTGTTGAAATTGGATTTTACCTTAATGGGGAGAAGGGACGTAAAATTCACAAACCGTGAAGTCCTATATTGAACTGTATTCATATTTCATATTCCATATGCATTGTCATAATCATAAATCATCACTTATTAAAGTAGTAAAAAAAATAAAAATCCAAAACACAATTACACAACATATTACAAAGCTTGAAACTTAACCACTAAAAGCAAATAGTAATACTATAATCCTAGAATCTAGACGTATTTGTGTGAGTTTGAGCAAGAGGAGTGTAAGAACTAAGAAGACAGGGTGCCTTGCAAAAGCCAAAAAGTGAAAAAACCCAAACCTGTATGGCAAACAAAGGCTTGAACAGAAGAGTGGAAGAAGAACATCAACGGCTATGAAGGAAGAAGAAGAAGATCAACTATTAGGGATCATTGGTTCACCAAACCAAATAAGAGAAGGCTTTGCACTGTGTCTGGGAGAGTTGTGAGGAAAAATTAGAAAGTGGGTCAGCAAAAGAAGAATTGCTTCAATGTCCAAATGAATCAGAAGTGATCTCTTAAATCAATTTTTTGTGATTTAAGAAGCATTTTTACCTTATTTTCGTTTTTATCTATGGTTTGAATAGTTGAAAGAGATTAAAATAATGGAATTTTCCTATTTGAATTCCAGTTTTAACTGCCATGATCTTTACTCTAGATTTTTAAAATTTTAAGAAAAGATTGATCATTCAGTTTCCCGATAGGATAACAGAATAGAAAGGTATGATGAATTTTGTCCAGGTAATTTAGGAATTGAAAATTTAATGACAAGGATACTGCCTTAATGATTGGAACTTGCTCGTTAGTTTGTGCTTTGGACATTATGTGACTGTTAGTACAAACAAATAAATCTAACTACATCAAAACAAGTTCAACTGGTGAGTTCTTTGTGTGATTGGGAATTTCTTCCTGACTACCTTCATTGGTTATGATCTGATAATTAAAGAATGCTTTCGGTGATAATCATGACGCAATAATATTACACCTTACTGGTTGAAAATGAATATCTCCGTCTGCAAACTGCATCTGTGCAGTAAAAATGTTTTCTAGACATACTTATGTATGAATTTTTACTGTCAGCTTGTGATACAGTTCTTATGATTAGAGTGCTACCTTTGTAGGTGAAGTCTCCCACGGCAATGATTCATTATTGGACAAGAGTCTGTCAAAAGTTCTAAGAGTTAGGACCATACATATAAGTTCTCCAATTCTTGCAGCAAAAAGCCCCTTCTTTTATAAGGTATGTTGCTTTACTATGCCTTGTGCTATTTTTCCACTTAATATCCTTTGTTGTTAATTTGCTTTTTAGTTATTGAGGTTGTTTCCAAGTAGTCCTACATTCGATGACGGGCTTTAAATCTTCCTGTAGTTATTTTCAAATTTGACGAGAGGGTCTAAACAACAAAATGTGACTCTCCGAATCCACAATTCTGGTAATTGCAGGATATATATGAGCTGAAGGTTTTTGTCCTTCTCTTTGCCCACCCTCTCCCCCCTAGTTTGTAGACTTTATAATGCTTATGTTAGTTTTTTAATGTACAAATGTCAGCTAAAGCATTCTTTTCTTTTTACACTATCACTGGAGCAGAAGAGGCTGCCGTTATGGACCTACTTAATTTTATGTATAGTAATACTTTATCAAGAACGGCAGCTGCTGCTGTATTGGATGTGCTGATGGCTGCTGATAAATTTGATGTAGTGTCATGCATAAAGTATTGCAGTAAGATGTTGAGGTTCATTCCCATGACTTGCAAGTCTGCCTTACTTTATTTGGATCTTCCTTCAAGCATTTTGACGTCAGATGCAATTCAACCACTGATAGAGACAGCAAAGTTGTTTCTTGCCTCACACTACAGAGATATAACAAAGTGCGTTTCTTTACTCAATATGTCTCTTTTAACTGGGCGATTTGTTCTTTCTTCAACCACTAGTTATTGTTATTGCAGTTTTTGTTCTTATTTCCATTCTCAGTTTCCTCTCTATTTTTTCTTGGCCCCTACTTTATTATATTTTGCAAACTTATAAGGTTCTTCTTCATTGAATGATCTAGGTTTGCAGATGAAGCACTGAATTTGCCCTTAGCTGGCATTGAAGCAGTGCTATCTAGTGATGACCTCCAGTTGCCTTCGGAGGATGCTGTCTATGAGTTTGTGCTCAAGTGGGCTAGGATACATTACCCCAAAATTGAGGACCGGCGAGATGTCCTTGGAGCACGCCTTGGTCGACTCATCCGTTTTCCACACATGAGCTGTCGAAAACTGGAGATGGTCTTAAAATGCAGTCACTTCCATCCTGACTTTGCATCAAAGGTTGTTCTTGAAGCTCTTTTCTTCAAGGCAGAGACACCGCGTCGGCAACGTTCTCTCGCTGCTCAGGATGCTGGTGCCACCTACTCTCGTTTTGTTGAGAGGGCTTACATGCACCGCCGTGTGAAGGTGGTTGAATTTGCATTGCCCCAGCCACAGTGTGTCATATACCTTGACCTAAAGAAAGAAGAATGTGCGCAACTTTTTCCCAATGGTCGAATTCACTCTCAGGCATTCCCCCTAGGGGAGCAGTTGTTTTTCTTGTCAGCTTGCTGCAATGTGGACCAGCAAAACGGATCCCTTAGCTTTGGCCTTTTCTTAGCAATGAAATTCAAGGAATCAGTTCATGTTGAATATGAATTCGCTGCTAGATCAAAATTCACTGAGGAGTACATAAGCAGACGCAAAGCAAATTATACTTTCACGAGAGGCAAGGCTGTAGGGCATAGGAACCTGTTTGGTGTACCATGGACTGCATTCATAGCTGACGATAGCCATTATTTCATCAAGGGAGTACTTCATCTAAGGGCTGAACTTACCATTAGACAATGACTCCATTTTAGGATTGGTGCTCTCTACTTTCTTGCACTTGATGACTAATTTCCAGTATTTTCAATGTGTTACTTTTTTAGAGCAGGCAAATGTTTTTCATTGATTATTGTTTAACTGCATATAGGAGATGAATGAATAGGATTTGGTGTAATTAATATCAATAATTGATTGTAGAATAGTTACTGACTGGTGTTGATGCTAAAAACATAAATAAATTTAAAATGTCATAAACTGTTTTATTCTCTTCTATAAAAAAAGAAAAAAGAAAAAAAAAGGATAATAAAAACAGGTCTTATATGAAGCTTTAACTGACCACTTCCAACAAAAATACTAAGTAATATATTTTGTTAATTTAGATAAATACAAGTTTTTATTAAACGTCAACATTAAACTCGTATTTTTCTTTTGGAAAAAAGTAAAAAGAATATTTAAGAGATTATATATATTTTTACTTCTATTGTTATTTAGAGAAAACTAAATACAAAAACTTATGCATTCGTCTTAGGTTCATATTTCTAAAAGTTATACAAAAAGTCAATAATTTTTTTTATAAAAAATGTAAACTGTTTGTACATCTTTGTTACTTATTTTTTATATTTAGGGTGATGCCAAATTTGTTTTCCCATTTTTTGACCAGTATTGTTCATCAATTAAACAAATGCAAACTGTAATAACCAAAATTAAAACTCCAAAATCACATTAATAAAAAAACTAAAAAACATCATATTTTACATTAGATATGATCAATTTACACTTTTTTTAGATTAAAAACTAATATTATTCAAATTAAATCAAAGAAATGTTTTATATACATGTCCTGCGGTTGAGAAATTAGATTATATCCATGAAACTAATTTATTTAATAATTAGCTATGGTTTATTTAAGAATTTGCATGGGTTAACTACTTTTTATAGATTGTGTATTTGGTTTTGAGATAATTTATATTTTAAAATTATCATGCTTTATTCTATCTTTGTTCCTATAAGTAAGACTCTTTTATGATCAAATGGAATATTTTTCTTTCCCAAGAAAATCAATTCAACTCGGGTTCACAGACCCTGTGGATGATTATTGTTCCTATATATATATATATATATGTGTGTGTGTGTGTGTGTGTTTATTTATTTATTTATTTGAAAGATAACATAATTAGGAAACTACACTTTTCATGCCTATCACTTGTACTAAATGCGAGAAAAATACCAATTTTCGCAACAATCCATTCTTTTCCTCACTTTAAACCAAACTGGGAATAAAATGACATAAAAACTGATGTCAGCAAGAGTCATTTTTTAAATATGGAGTAATATTATATTTTTCTAACATATTTAGTTATATTTTAAACATATTCATATAGTAAATATTAAGCAAATAATAAATAGTTTGAATATTTGAGAATATAAAATACATCTCATTATTTTGCATTAATAAATGAGAGAATATAAGAATGCTATAAAAAATTAAAAAAATTCTGAAATATATTCCCACAGAAGAATTGAATATTCCCCAGAACTTTTGAGTTTTCATATGGTTACATGGCAGACATAGAAAGGGTACAATTGGTCCTGTCAAACTAGGTTTATACTTTTGAGTCTTTCACTATTTCATCCCATTTCTCTTCTCATTCATTTTTTTAAATCAACAAACAGCAAATCAAATATAACTCCAGTACATGCGGAACAAGAATGTATGTTTTCTACTTCTAGTTAAAACCAAAATTAACCTTATTGTCAATGAATAATGTTATGCATGCAAGATCATATTTTTTGTGTGTGGAAAATTAAGAAAATAAGTAAAACAGTTTTTTTTTAACTAGTTTAATTATTAATTTACCTCCTATGAGATTACTTATATCTATTTTATTTTAAAATATATATTATCTTTCTTATCTTTTTAATAAAATAAAAATTACATTTCTTATAGTTTTTAGCTAAATATTCATTTTACTTATATTTTTAATAAGTACTATTCATTTCTCTTATTTTTTAAAATAAAATAACACTCATCTTTCTTAATTTTATAATAGAATGACGTCATCTCTAATATTTATTTATAAAAATATTTTTAAAATTTTGTTTCTTAATTTTTAATTTTTGCATTTTAGACATTTAATTAATAATTTAAAAAAATAAAAAAAATGTCACCTTATTAAAAATATAAAAATGATTAATGTTTATCTTGGAATGTTATTTTATTAAAAAATAAAAAAATTATGTTTATCTTAAAATTAAAAGAATATAAATATATTTTAATATAATGGAAGTAAATCCAATTCAGTATATAAAAAATGAATAAACATGGCATCGGGTTCACAGGTCATGTATTCCATTATTTTCCTTTTTGGCTCATCACTTCCCATCTTTTAATTCTTTTCTGTTTTATATATGATGCACAAAACTAATTGGTAGAACAAGGAGAATATGAATAACTTCCTCTCCATCATAAAAAAAGTAGTAGTAATTAACAACTAATTAGATATAAATGTCGTATTACCATTCAATAAAAAAATTAACACATGCAATAAAATTATTGACTCTTAAAAATAATTACTTCAAAAAAGTGTTTGTATTCATAATTTTGAATTAGAAAATAGTATATAAATATTCACACATATTAAACTCATAGTTGATTTATTTAAGAGTTTACGAAAAATTACATAACATATTGCTCTTGACAGCAGCTTATAAAAAGGCCTTTGTTCCATGAGTTTCTAAGCATCTTGCTCGACAATAATAAGATTAAGGTTGTGATCTGATGATTCATGGTGGTTGGGTTTGGTGAATAAGAAAGAGATATTTGCATGAAGATGTTAACAGCAATGAACAGAAGGAGGTAAGAGAGAGCTTTCTTTGGTCCACTAACAAGGGGTAGTAGGGTTTAATTAGCTGCTGACTCATTCATCCAAATGCTGATAGAGTGAATGAAACTCATACAGTATCTGACTGAATGATGCGGGAGACAAATTGAATCTTATGTTTCTTGTTCTTGGACTGAAGGGAGCTCCCTTTTTCTTTATTCATCATTCATCTTTGCTTCTGTATATACTGTGCTTTTTCTAGCTTTTACAGTTAGATCATCAGATTTTCACATCAGACATGAACTTTGGCTTTAGGCAGTAATAATCACAAGGTGAGTTTAGATCAGTTTAAAGCAATTTTTAATGTAGTAATTGATATTAATTATTATCAGGTTAAGGATCCAATTCAGCTGGTTGAAGCAATTTTGTCCAGAGTTCAGAATTGCACTAAGATATAATATTATCTTTTTGAAAAGATGCGTCTTTCTCATTTTAATTTTAACTGTGTGATAGAACTAACAACAGCGTAATTGGTCTAACCCTTTTCAAGAAGTTGTTTGGCAGATGAAGTTGGTGTGAAGATTATTGATTTGATTTGTAAATGTAGATGAAGTTTCGATTATGGTTATGATTGTGCAAGTTTTCAATCTTTACTTGAAAAGAGGAATGCAGATGAATGCAGGGCACGGATGAATTATTTACAAGAAAAGTTTATTGCCTCCGACACAAATAAACTGTTGTGAAAGAAAGAATTAAAGGACACTTCATTTTTTTCGTTGGGAGACAAGGGATGAATGAATGCCACGTTGAAACAACAAAAATGGTTTTTTCTTCTATTAATATTTAGTTGTAGTTTCGATTTATGTATTATAAATGTAAGTGACTGGTTATTGTTCATAATTTATTGCTATTGTTTTATTATTACTTTCAATGTATTAAATTCTTTGTACTTTCAATTTTTTAACATTCTATCATTTATTTTATTTTTTAATAAAAAATTGATATGTACTTTAAAAAAAAAAACAATACAAATAAAAGAGAATTCAAAACAAATTAAAAGTATATTTGCACAGAAGTATATATATATATATATATATATATATATATATATATATATATATATATATATATATATATATATATATATGTGTGTGTGTGTGTGTGTGTGGCATACAAAATTATGTAAAAGTCAATGATCTCTACATTTATCGGTTGATTCAATATTTAATTTTACTAAATAGTTTCAATTTAATAAGTTGGTTATCATAATTATAGTTAAAAAAATTAACTTTAAAACACCGCGTCTAAAATTATATATATATATATATATATATATATATATATATATATATATATATATATATATATATATATATATAATTGGACTTCAACAATTTGAGAGGTAGAAAAAACATATTTTACTTTAAAATAAAATATAGGTGATGTTTTCTAGTACAATTTGTTTATAACTAAAAAAAACAACAAATATCAAAATTTACATTTGTGTAGCATTTTGAAAATAAATAAATAGAAACAATAAAATTATTATTTTTGTATTAATAGATAATTTTCAACTTAATAAAATACAAAATTTATTTTTGTTTTATAAAACCTCATTAAGTGAAAACGTTACGTTAATTTTCTCGAAAGTTTTAATCAACAAATTAGTCTACTAAAAATCCTATATGCTATCAATTTAGTTTTCCAAATATTTATACTAATTTCTCATTAATTTAATTTGTACAAAATTAGTTTTTAAAAATCCTTTTATTACGACTTTAATTTTAATAAAGACTTATTCTTGTATAATTTGGTGACAAGATTTTTGAGCATAATTACAATTTTAATTGTATAGATTTTTTAGTAAATATATTTTATAAAGGCTAATGTAATGATATATGTAGCTTTAGAAAATGAAATTAAAGGTGATGTTTTTTTTTCTGAATACTGCGTTGTGTTTCTGTCTGATACAGAATCTAACATCACTTTATCCATCTTATCGTTATCTTCATAACTGCTCTATCTTTAACAAACACAAGATTTAACCAAAAGTTGTTTGTCATTAATTGCCAATTACTTATCATGTCAAAGTTTTTAAACCAATTTAACTAAAATTACTTCTCTTTTCTTTCTTGAAACTAAATACATTGATAATTTGATAATTATATTTTTACGTCAAATCCTTCTTTCTTAAACGGATGGGTATAATTTTCACTTTGATTCAATTATTTTCATTTTTTATTATAGAATAAGGGGATATTATTGAACTGTGGGCAGTTTAATATAGAGAGTGGCGTTTGAGACAAGACAATGGAATTTTGCATTGCGTTTGCAAATACACTTAATTTAGGTAAAGTTTGATTGCCCTTTATTCCCCGGGCCAAGATGTTTCCAACCTATCTGGAAAAGTATGAAGAGTTAGTCAAGTGGATTTGTTTGTTATTATCATAAAAGTCTTGTCCATCATCATACTCCACTTCCGAATCATCCTATAATACAGTCACAGAACTTCAAAATTAATTTTAGAATTAAATAATAATTATATTTTTAGGACAAAATTCATAAATTATAAGAAATTTCGAAAACTTTAGATGACAAGACCCAGCTCCCCACTATAATATGCTACTCAGGAGGTGAAATTGCATTGCATGGCTACATCACGTATACTGCTACAAGGAGTTTTATTTATCTGAATCGATTTGACAATAAATAACATATCACTACCTTTTTTTTCTTTGCTAGTGGAGAACATGTACATATGGAAATCATACATGTCATCTCATCATTTCCTACTTAATTTCTAAATCAATATTAAAGATGCTTCCACCAAGGCATCTTCGGTGTTGTTTTTTGTTTGAGAGATAAATAGCAAATTTATTCAATTCGGATTTCTTGGTCAAGTTTTTAGTTGATGAAGAGGAAGAAGAAAAAAGAAAATAAGAAGGCTTGATATTCCAAGGGTAAAGTGGTAGTCTCACACAAAAACCCAAAATGGCGTGAAATGTAGCCGGTAAAGATCCTTCCTCACTGACAGAAAATCTTATGTTAGATTACGAGAATTTTGATTCATTCATAGGAGCCAAATTAGTACTGCCAGAGAATAAGATATGTTCTAAAACACAATACGATATTCTTGTAAAGGGACTCTGTAACCATTGTCTCAGGTTGTTTTAAAATTAATTTTAAACTATTAAACTTTGAACCATCAAAGGTGATTGATGTGTGACTAAATTATTAACATATTAACTATATGCATGTTTACATTACATCATGTGTTGAAAAATGAATGCTCATCCTTAAACCTATCAGCTCTATGTGTTCACTTGATGTTCAAGCTAAGAACCCCTGGTGGAGTACAAGAATGTTCACTTTCCTAAAACTTGCTGAATTCCCTTTTAATATTCTGTATTCGATGAGATTGTATCTTCAGTCTCGTTAGGGCCATCCGTGAAGCCACTGTAAACAGTGAAACCCGGATTTTCAAATGTAATATTTTCACTAGTAGTTCCTTTTATTATCATCTCTTCATCCTTTCTCTTTTCCTTTTGCTAAGAATCGGTCACTGCTAGGGATAGAGGACGATGAAGATAGATTTTTTTTCTACAGACATGGTTTATAAAAATGTTTTCGGTTAAAATTAATTATAAAATAATGTGATTTATGTTTGAGAATACTTACTATGGAAGCAAGTTTGTAAAGATTCAGTATAAAAATTTTAGTCTAACAGAAAAATCACATTAAGTTGTTTCAACTCAATTAATTTTAGATTTGGAACTACTTCATCATTGGAAAACTAAACACACGAAAATTTATTTAAAATCACGTTAACTGTAAAGTGATTACCAACAATCCAACTCATAACTGTAAAGTGATACTAAGACCACTGTCGTCCGTGGCGAGTGATACAAAATATCATGTTTTGAAGCAGCTTCGGTACTAAGATCACACTGCATCTTCATGTATCACATGAAAACATTACATATGAATCTTTTCAACTCATGGTAGAAAAATTGTATCCGACGCCATATCATGTATTAGCACACGAGAAATATGAAATACATTAATCCAATAGGGGGTTTGGGCAATCAAATATTTCATCGATGGTTGAGTGATTGCTTGAAAGCTTCAAGTTTCAATGTTTCACCAAAAAAGTCAATCCTGGGATAAGAGTAGAAGACAGGATATGAAAATTCAACCAAAGTTAAACAGGGAGGAAAGAGAACCTGTCGTTCTAAAAGTGAAAAATAAAAAATAAAAAAAATCAAGAGATGATTTCCTGTCCATTCTAGCAGATATGCATGGTGCCAAAAAAACCCATCTAAAAGACAGATAATTTGGAGGTATCTTAATAGCTTCGTTTCAATCGTCTAATCATTTTGCCTTATTCGCCAGGTCTATTGCTTCACACACTAAATCCTGCTGCTGCTATAGTCTTTGACAAGATAACATTATCAATTATTGCAGGGAATCGATTAATCAAAAAGGCATCACATGTTTACCCTTCTTCAGCAAGATCACAGCGGGCTAAAAACTGTTACCATGACAAAAGAGGGTATCGTTGATACTGAATCTGCTATGTGTCTTAGACAGGTTCATACAGGCCTAAGACATGTCCATCAATACACCGCATAGCTGCAACCTGATCAGGTAAATCACATCAGACCTTGGGCAAGCCCTCAGTAGTATGAAACCTATGGATGAATCAGAATACCTTTCCATGGACCTCATATTTGATGGGCCCATCGAGTTCAGCTCCTAACGCCATTAATTTAGTTACTGTACTGTTCATGTCAGTGACCGTAAATGACAAAAGGGAGGAGTACCCTTTCTGCGTGGTGGCTTGGTCACTGTGAAATTAAAAGTGAATCAGCATCATCACTCCATCCAATATTCCAAACCAATAATTTATTTCAAAACGTAATAATTTGGGCCACTAAGTAAAACCGTAGAAAATTAAGAAAAAGGATAACAAGTCAACAAAATAAGAAACCAATCATGTTACTATTGCAAGGTTTCTCGAGCTTAATCGAGTTAATTAAAAAACCACATACATTGTGGTCATCATTAATCATGGGTGGGTGTTTAGGAGTGAACAAATGATCAAACACGTGGAGGGCATGAGAAAGGAGAGAAGAAAAAAAGTACTGGGAAGAATGCATGAGGGCAAGCTTGAGAGAACCAGATTGAAGTTCGGCCCAACGAAGAGAGCAGACGTTGACGGTGAAGTCCAAGCCTTCGGAGTAGAAGCGTGCGGCTTTTGGAACATCCCTGTGTAGTTGTAATATCCATCTGAATGACGCTGCCATCAGGGACTTCGTCTGCGTTTCGCTCTTCTTCTCAATTGAAGCTCGCTTCGCGCTTCTTCAATTGGACTTCAAGGTTCGGGCCTGCCAAATTTGGCCCATTTATTTATTTTTCTTGACCGATATGACCTGGACCTCTTCGATTGACCTAAAACTCGTCCATATTTGCCATCTAATTACATAATTATCTTCTGTTTTACGTTATTAATTAATATATGTAAAATTGTTTAAAAAATATATTTCCATCGGATTTCTCATAAGTTTAAATATCTCAAATAATAATTTTAGTGTATAAAAAAATTGCATTTAACTATGAGTTCATTAAAAAAAATTTAGAAATAAGAATAATATTATAAAAACTCACTATTAAAATAAAAGATTAAAAAAAAACATATAGACAATAACAAAATTTTACTTCAAAAATATATTGTAATACTTTCTTTAAATTTAAGAGATAATTTAAGAAATTTTAAATGATTTATAAGATAAATATTATATTTTTTTATAATAAAAAAAATACCAACGTATAATTTTTTCTTCACAGACGTCTCTTCTTTCATTGGCAAAATTGGTTGCAGAGAGCTAGTTGGTTACATTGAACCCAACCCCAAAATTATTAGCAGTTCATTAACAATTGCATTTCAAACTTATTATTCTCTTTCATAAGTTATTACTTAAATCCTCATTCATGTTATTATTCTATTTCATAAGTTTTTATTTAAATCTTCACATACACATATACTAGGTAACTATTCTTGTCATTTCTATTTATAAAACCTTTTCATTTAAAAAAAATCTATCCCTTTTCGATAAAATTCTTTTATAATTGAATGATGCAATTAATTACTCTTTTCTTAAAAACTTTTAATTAATTGACACTTTTAACTAAAAAAAGCAATGAATAGTTCAAATTATTAAAATAAAGCTTCTCTCTCTAAACATAATACTCTCTAAACACAAATACTCACAATTATTAAAGTCTCAATCAACTACTTCATATGTAAATGAAAATAATTTTGAAACAACAATACAAATTATCAACAAATTTAATGTATTCAACTTTTTTTTAAAATTTTTTTTTTAAATCAACGACGGTAACGCTAAATCCAACATATACAATTATGGATTAATGATACTTACGTAGAAATTATTTTGCCATGTGCTGTTGGTCTCTGGCACTTACAAACGCATCACAACTTAAGATTTTGGGGCAAGTATGTCATAACAATGAGATGAACGAAAAAACTATCCAAAATTGTATATTTTTTTCACTTCTCAAAACTCGACCTGATTCTTCTTTTTGCTACATGACAACATCTACATTAGTATATAGAGAATAAACAGACCCCCAAAGGAAATAATGTTACAGATACAAAGTGAAAATTATGAACAATGCAAAAATTGCGAGTGAAAGCAAAAGACTAGAGAGGGAAGTGTAATGGCCACCATGCATGTTAAATTTTTATGCTAAAGCACCTCTAAAAGGACCCTTTCAAGGCTTTCAAACGCGATCGCTGACCCTTGGACCTAACTTCAAGAAGCTTCGCCTTCAAAGTATTATTCTCCTTTGATCCTGAAGGCACTTTGGAAGCCTCCAATATGTCTTGGTCTTGGGATGAAAGTTTTGCCATCCATTGCTTCACAGGGCTTGCCTGATTCCTCCATCCAGCATTGCTGCAGGAAGCCTCACCATAATTATTCTCAACATGCGTATTGCCACCTTCTGATGCCATAAGTTGACCTCTTATGAGATTATCAATAATGTGACTTTTACTGGAGCTGTGCAATTCAGTGGGGTTGATTTTTCTTTCAGAATCATCATCTTCCTTAATCTCAAAGTGTTCACACTTGTCAGATATAGTTCCTTCAACAGGCTTGATATCTGTTGTCTTCCCCTGATCTGCATCAATTGACTGGGACTTCTTATGTGAATTAGATGACATGGTCCAAGCCATCTGTTCTTCAAACTTGACTTGCAAACTAGATGGGCTACGATGTTTTAACCCTTCTCGTGGTATTGATTTTTTCTTCGTGTGCTTGGTTTTCGATGTCTCCTCAAAATTTTTGTCAGCGGGCTCTTCTTCATGTACCTTAGAAGATCCCTTGTTGCTTGGCTTGTTCAGCTCAAAACAATTTGAATCACTTTCGTCATCACCCACAACCTGTGGTGCACTAACAGCATCATTCAGTGGTACAGATTCCAAGGAATTACGGCGATTCCTTACCGCTATATTCTCTGTACTCCTACTATTTTGTTTAGCTTTAAGAAAAGTCTCTATTTCAAGGCTTAGTTTATCGACTATGGACTTATCCATAAAACCATTCTGTGCTGCTTCCACCTGCATTTGCATACGTTCATCCAGCCATGATTCAGATATGTGGAGAATCAAACGATCATTATCTGCCCTTTGAACCCAGTCCTTATCAGACTTGTGATTCAGAGTATGCACCTCTCGTTCATATTCATTTATTCCCCTGGCAAATTCATCACAGAGGTCCTCCAATAGTTTTCTTCTTGTTCTCTCTTGATCCAATTCTGTTAGAGCAGTAGTAAGAGAGGACTTCACTTCGGAGAGATCCCGAGCTAGTTTCCGGTGAATGCTCTCTGATCGTTTCCTTAACTTCCTCTCATCCTCAAGTTCATCCCTCACAGATTGAACAGCAGCATGGAGTCGATCCTGCTCCTTACTCTTCCGAACCAATTTATCCTCTGCAATTTGCTTCATCAGGTCATCCATCTCATGTCGATCTGCTTGTCGGTCTCGAAGCAACTCTTTGATCCGTATACGTGCATGATCTAGCTCTGATTTTAATGCTTTTATCAATGAAATGTTAGAAGCATGTTGTTCTTCCAAGCTCCATATTCTGTTTAGCACTTTTAGAAGTTCTGTAGATGTTTTGAGACTGTAATGCGGCTCCCCAATCCTTCCCTTAAATTCCAAGGAACCAGAAGGAGTGGCTCCAGGATTATAGGGTGTCATCTGCAACCCAAGAAACGATAAGCACAGCCTTCAATAAAATATTGGATATTTATCCAACAACAAACGAACTGTCAGGAGATTAGGGATGAGAATTAGCTATCCTTCGTACCAAACAGACAATGAAGTATGAACTTAGTATTAGCAGCAAATATTTTAGAATACACTCTGGCACAAGAAGGGAGTTCTTAAACTAATCTTTAGAAAGACCTATACTTCAGTGGTAATTTATTCAAAAATAAATCTATATACACGGCGACTCAAACTTTGAAATTGTTTCATTCTTTAAGAAAGCTTCATGGTTTGTTACAATTGTTTTATTATAGATATCATTCTGACAGATTATTTTGAAAACTAAACTGCAACATAGCTGTTAATGGTATGCTATACCATTATCTTTGACAAAATTAGTCGTTGAACAAATTTCTTAGTATCAGGGAATTGGTTCCTACCAATATTTTTTAATTTCTTCCACGATACACTGATAGATCATAGTTCAGAGAACTCCTATGACCTAATCGATCTTATACGTTGCAATTGTGCCTACCATGAATGCATTCACTTAGAAGGATATTTTATGCTCTAAAAGTGTCACCCAATAGAAAAGAAAAAGAAGGTGGAGGTTCATGGTTGGGGTCAAGGTGGATGCTTACCTCCATGGAACTACCATAACTTGCAGGAGATAAAGGTTGTAGTGCATGATTATTTCTCTCAATTGCCCGATGCTGCTGCATCAGAGATGTTGCTATATGCCTCCTCAAACTGCTCGCGCTAGCTGGCTGATGAAGGAGCAGATAAATATCAGTTTACATGACTTCACACTAAGATTTGAACATATCTCAATGCTCATAGACGCTAAGACCTAAACATGACCATCCACAAAATAAAAGAAGTTGAAAACAGGAAGTACAATAAGGGCAGATGAAACAGATCATTCAACCAAACTCATATACATAATACAAAGAAAGAAGGAAAGAGAAAATTAAATGGAAAAAAGAATCAGGCTTATCAAAATCCACCCAAATTAGATTCACTAAGCCCTTTAAAAGAAAGACGACGAATAAATTGCAGATGCTGAAACAACATTTCAGGTATAATAAGTCATTAACATAAAAAACGACAAGTCAACAAAGATATTGCATGGGAAATTAAAAAAAAAAAAAACAGTATTCTTCCTTAACCTAGTAGCATAGTAAACATAAACCCGCAACGCCCTTCAAGGATCATCAAGCGAATATAAATAATAAGCAGAAACAAGACCCATGACAAAAGTGACACAAGTCAAGAAGACCATCAAGGATAATAGACCCTCGACAAGACAAAAACCCAAATAAACCAGCGAAACTAATCAGGGTAGTTCAAAAGACAAAGTTGAGAAGCAGAAAGAAAAAAGGAGACAGAACCTGATCAGGGGAACTGGGAGAAGCATCAGCCAAGAAGTTGGAGATGTCGAGAGCCTTGTCCCTATGCAGGATGTAATGGTGGCGGCGATGTCTAGGATCGGCGCCGGCGCCGGCAGCACCAGCAGGAGCTGTAGCGTTGTTAGCAGAACGATGCATTTGAAAGAGCGGGAAAGAGTTGTTGAATTCCCAGAGCGCTGCGGCGAGGTTTCTAGCAGAAACAGAAGGGCCCTGAATGTATTTGTTAGCGTGAGTGGCCGAAAGCCAAGAGGGGAGTGGAGTAGAGGGTCCCCTGCTTTTCCCTACCAAAACCCCTCGCCTTAACTTTTCTCCCAAATTTTCCTCCTTTTCCGCTTCCCCCTCCTCGCTTTTCATCTCTCTCCACCTTTATTTATGACTTCCCCTCTCTTCTTTCTTCTCTCTCATTCACACTCCCAACCTTATTATCTCTCATTTATTATTTTCTTTCCCTTTTTGTTGCCTCCTTTGTAAAACACGTGGTGCCTCTATTGCTATGCTCTGCCTGTCTTCCATGTTTCTTCTCTGCACTCTCTCTTCCTAAGCCATGTCATCCCATCATCTTCCACGCTGTTTTCCACTGCTTCAATCAGTATATTGAGAAATA